GTCTCCAAACAAGTAAACAATAGTAGTAGTAGAGTGAATTTCCGTCGGCTCCTGACAAAATACGAGCATTTCTACTTGTGACGTTTGAAAAGTGCTATAGGAAGAGATGTAGAAGTGCAAGCTCATAACTAAAAATGGTTCTTGAAAATTAATATTGCATGCTGAGCATCATATCAGCGGCACTAATGGATGATAAACAGACTAAGAATAAAAAGTAAATCTTAAACCTAGAAATATAGGCTGAGATTATAGGAGCATATTTTACATAACTGGATAGATTAATCTCTAGGCTAGGGATAAGGACTGCAGGAAGAGGTAAATTATTAACTCAAATGTGATCAGTGGAACCTACAGCCAAAGCATATCTGTGGTTTTGTCCATGAACTTCCAGAGGTTTAAAAGGGATGTGGGAGTGACAGAAAGGATATCCAAACTTGCTATTGTTTACTTGGGAGCACCTGGGCAATTTATAAAAAGCTGTGAATAAATGACTTTTCTCCCCCATCTTTGCATGCTAAGATTTATTTACCAGAGGTATCAGGTTACCTGGCAACCCAGTACAGTTTACAGTATCAGGCCCGGCCTCTCTCTGCCCTTCTCAACGGGCAGGTACTGAGACACAGTGGGCAGCCAGGCCAAAGACTGAGGAATCAGTGACCGTCTGGAATCATCGGGAGAGACTGGACACAGGGCCACTGCATCACATCCTACTTGCAAACAAAGGTAATCACACCCTTCATTTGAACATTGATATTCACTAGTTTACTTCAATAAATACTATGTATTGAATTATATTTATTTATCTCTGATGTCTTTTTGAAGTGTATTTAACACTGATTCATCCAATGAACAGTGATGATTACAAATTTCTGACAGGAGGTCCAATTACATGTAATTGCGTGTATTTAATTTGACTGAAAACCTAAAACAAATGTTTTCTGATTTCAGATTTGTTCTTTCTAAAGCACATAGATCTTATTTTCTGGAAATGAATGGAAAATGAACATTTCAATTACTTGAGCTGGAGAGATATAATCAGACATTAGTGTTAAATATATTGTCATGTTTATTAGATAATCTATTCGTTAATCTAATTTATCTTTCTCAGCAATTCATTCTCCCTTGTGTTTCGTTACTTTTTTTAAATGAATCATGTTGTTTAACTTCTGGGCATTGAATCTGGTTTCTGTTAAAATTTGAGACTTTTTACATTTACTTTTTCATCAAGATAGTTATGTCTTGAATGAAGGGTTAAAAGTGTATGAGATTGGTATTACCTCACTCTCACTAACCTTACCTCCGAGAGCTCACTGGTGTCCCACTCCTGCCAGTGCTCACTCATAGAGACAACAGCCTCTTCCCCTCACCCATGAGGTACTGTACAAAGGAAGCAGTAGATCCCCATTCTCTGCCTGTGAGGATTCACCACGTGGCTGGCCAGAGTTGTCAAATGAGCTTTTCTTCCTGGAGACACTTTCACATTAAGCTTTCTGCACCTTTAAGTATGCTCTATGATGGGCTCTGTGTTTTCTGAAATTGTACAAGACAGCTTTCTGGCACTTTGTAGTTATTAAACTGTCATCTTTCTTCATTTTCCTCCTAGGAATGCTTAAATCGTCCATCAGACATAAAAATGCCAGCTCTCAGAAGCCATTCCAGTGCAGGTAAATGCTTCTGTCCTAGCTGAGACTGCATGGTAAGGGCAATGGAGCTCTTTCTCTGCATGCAGTATTGTCTCCTTGAACAAGAAAATATGGCATTCAAATCTATTACTGTTTTAACTGTTAAAAGCATCTAAACATGAGAAAGAGCAAGCATTTTATCTTCAGAATTGCATTCCAAAAAGAAGGAAGCATGAATATTTGTCAGAAGTCTTTCATTACAATTTTTTTATCACCAAGGTTCTGATAATCTGTACCTTGTTAGAATTCTGTTGTTCATATACAACAAGAAATCATGAAAGAAATTTTAACATAAGTCAGGTTTAGCAGATTGCGCTGTGCATTTGAGATATAACTGTATAATTCCGTTGCACATAAGGGTGATCAGTAGGCATAAAAAGTGTCTCATACAATAAAAAGTGAATCACTACTTGTACTTGTCAGTGGTTATTTCACTCCTGGGTGTCAGAGTACAGCCCTTGTGTGACAGAGTGTGATCACCAAGAAGGTTAAAAATTGTTGCTGAGAGAAAAAGAACATCAGTTTTAACTGTATTGATTTAATTTCATTAAAGATTCTGAAAACTTTATAAAGGTAAAAACACCCTTTTTAGATATATATGATATTTTAATATTGTAAAGCAAACTAAATCTTCATTTAATGATAATTGTAAAGGTAATAAACTGTAGATGTATATTTACAGTATTGGAAATAGTCATAGAAATTAGGATAAAATGGCTTTCTAAGACAAATACCTTATCATTGTGGAATAGTTTTGTGTAAAAATGAAATGTTATCTCATGCAATGTTCTATTCATTTGTCACATTCTATTCACAAAATGTCACTGGTCATCAGGAAACCAATTGGAGAGTGTCACACACGTCATGGTGTATAATAGCATAGGCAGGGATCCCATTATGGAGTTTCAGAGATGTGATGAACAGTATGGTTTCACAGAAGGAAATCTCACACACCAAGAGCGCAGAAATCAAGGTTTTAGCAACGTATCTTAGGAAAATAGTACTACTATATATTTTATTAGGTGCTTTGGTTTCTGGAACCAGAAATGCTTGGTAATTGGAAACTAAAAGCCCTATAATCTGGTTAACCCACTGAAACTATGTGCTGTGTGACCAGACACATTAGGTTTAACAGCAGTTAAGATTTCTGCAGTCATATTTAATTGTTTTATATTAACACAGTGAAGCTCTGATTATTTATTGTTATGCACAGGTACACTTGTGTAGATCATTGTTTTAGAAGCATTTTCATTGTGTATTAAATACTCCAGGTAACGTGATCAGACTCTTGGGACATCTGAGGGCTCAGGAAGCGGAACTGTTTTGGTAGTGGAGCTAAGTGTTACTGCACACTGCCCCCTGGTGTCTTCCAGTGACGGAGCAAGGCAAAGGCGGGATGTTCCGGGGGCATTGTAAGGCCCTGGCCCAGAGTGAAGACTCCCTGCAGGCTAACCATGCCCACACCTCCTGGGTGAAAAAGAGGTTTCCTAAGCACCTTTAGGGGTTCTTGTGTAGCAGAATTATCTCACCGAATTGCTTGAGATGGCTGTTTACCTCTGACTATCTACAGCAGAGTACAAAGCCAAGTATCATCATCTACAATTTGGGCTATTTGGACTATCTGATGGGCTGATAACAGGAAAATAAGTGTACGGTTGTGTTGTGAGAATGTTACCAGCACAGCAGTCACCCTTGGCAGAACTGGGGGGTTTCATATCTGTAATTGCAACACACACCACTGGGGGATGGTTAACATTCTTTACTGTCTATCTTCTTTCACTCTGACCACAGGAATCATTTGAAAAGACTGCATGGAGTTTACTCTGCAGTAGGTTTGAATCACTCAGGTTTTAAAGATGAGGTGATCAAAAACTGAAATTGCTGTGCTCAGTGCGTACGGATGCCTTCATCTGTCCAGGTCTGTCTGTCTCTGTGCTTCAAGCCAGCAGGAGGATGTGACCAGGGAAAGCAGGTTGAGGAGAGAGGCCGAGTTCCTTGACCAGCAGTTACAGCAGGGTTACCAGGAGGAGGCGCTGTTTCTCAGGAGGACAATGGAGATCACTAAACAGCAATACCTAATGAGGTAGAGTCCTAAGTCAAGCTGAGCCTTGAAGGATTTGTAGGATTCTTACAATTGTTAAGGAGAAGTGGTGGAAGACTAAATAGTGGTATCTGGGCATGATTAAACCATGAAAAGCCTTCTGCTGCTGACTGATTTTGCATCCTCCATGGCAGGCTGCAGATGCTTGAGTCGGAGCTCAGTGTTGCAGAGCTGCAGCGAGACCGAGCGAGGAGGCGGAGCAGAGCTGCACGAGCAGAGTGGGAGGCTCTGCTGCAGGAGAACCGCTCCCTGATCACAACACTGCACCGAGTGCGAAAAACACTGGAGCAGACAGCGCAGCAGAGGCAGCAGGCAGCCCTGAAGAGCTGCGCGACGCCGGAACGGTACATAACCACCTGGAAATGAGTGCAGCAGCACAAACCTCAATGGCCAAGATCCCGATCCCCGCTTGAGCTCTCGGCCTGATCTCTTGCTCTCGGTTTTCGGTGCACTTCATTGTTAAGAGTTTGTCTGCTCACGGAACAGAAAAAAATAGATGCATGCAATTCTGTGTGACACGCTTAATAGTTCAATACAAATTTGTGTTGTGCTGTTAAAGTTTTCAGAGCAGCATGATGGCACAGTGTTTATCATTGTTATCTTGCAGTGTTGGGGCCCTGGGTTCAATTCCTGGGGTGTTATCTATGAGGAGTTTGTATGTTCTCCCTGTGCTTGTGTGGGTTACCTCCGGTTGCTCTGGTTTCCTCCCACAGTCAACAGACATGCTGGGTGGTTCGTTGACTTCTGGGAAAGTTTGACCTGGTGTGAGTGTGTGCCTTCGTGTTTGTGCCTGTGATGGACTGGCATTGTGCCCATTCATTTCTGGGATAGGGTCCAGCTCCCCTGCGACAACTGTACTGGATAAAGTGGTTAGAAAATGCAGCTATATGCATTATATCCTTCCTACAGTGCACAGAATCTCTGTTCCATGCTTCACAGCCACTAAATCCCTCAATTCTCCCTGCTGTCCGCACCCTCCTACAACGCTGTTAAAATTAATAACAAAAAAGCTATTCCTAATACTAAATGTAAAGTACTAAAGGCTCGTTGTCGCCCTCTGCTGGTGGCGTCGCTTTCCGGTTTTCCTGTTTATCTGAAATTAAAACGCAGTATCCAGATATGAATGATTTCGTAATATAACATATATTCTTAATATTCTTAAACAAAAGTATTCAGAGATCAGATAACGTCTGAAAAACAAACACTGACATTATACAGCAATTGCAACGACCTTTATCCAAGGCGACTGACTTAAAACAATCCTAAATTGTCACAACGAAGCATAACAACTTCAAAGCCAATTTTAACAATGTTACAGTAGTGCAATCAATGACAGTGCTTTTCAAACAAAGAAAAGAGGAAATTATTTTACACAAAGGGCTGTCACGAGTCCCGAACAAGCCACTCAGTCGTTCTGCTGAAGCTGACACCTCATCTCCTTTCAGAAAGAGCAGGATGAGATTCAGGGATGAATAAAGAGCTACTTGCAACCCAGCTATCTAAAAAGGTCGTTTGACCTCTTCCCGTTTATATGAAAAATATATGAAAAAAATATGATATATGCTAAAGTTAATCATATATCAACATAAACTACTGAACCGACTAGATGTGACGCAAGGTAGAGATTAAAGAGAGGAGCTGCAAAATATGACAGAAATCATAACCGCGTTTCAGGAATTCACAGTAAAACCAAGATGTCTCTGTTCTGATGTCAAGAACAGTGCTGATGACTGCAATTTTAAAAAAAAAATGTTAATGTTAACTAAATGTGCAATCGAATCGATTCACCTTCTCATTACTTTGATATTTACACGGGATTTACAGTACATACAGTATGGTCTAATTAATTGTATGACATTTTACTGTTTAATGGGGCTGATCGTTCAACAGATGCTTTAGCTCTGCTTGTAACGCAATGAATTTATTTTCAGGAAAGAGGTATTTCTCGATTATGCGTTTCACATCGTCCTCCTCGATCGTTTCAAAGTCCTCCTGGTTCTTAAATGGCAAATGTCCTGCAAGCTCACAGAGGGCCACGTTGAAGGCAGACTCCTCTTTCGCTCCGAAACAGGAGATCCGAGGCCACACGACTATACGGACACCGGGACGGGCCGAGTCCGGATGAGGATGATCCCCAGGCGGGCGGCCACGGGTTAGGAAGAGGTTGTGAGCGATGTTCCTTTCCACTAAACTGTCAGTGAGCTTACAGACGTATTCGACGGTTGCACGCAAACCCTCGCCGTCTGTGTAAAACATGAATCCGGCGGGAAATTCAGGAAGGAGATGAAAGCCCCTTTGAGGTATGAGTGGCTCGGTGCGGGCGGATTCAATGCGGAGCTCATGGTCCAGGTAGTAGCCGTGGAGGTGTAAATGGTTGACGGAGGCAAATGCGCCCAGGCTGTTAAATCCCACTCGAAAGCCCGGGTGAGAACTCAGTAGAACCGCCTCGATTCCGATCCGAACAGCGCCCGGAGTGAGAATCTGGGGCAGACACCGGCTCGGGTCGGGAATGAGCAAACAGTGGCCGACTTCCAGTGGGCTCACGTTAATCACGACTAGGCTGCGGGCGAGATCATCTGCGGTACCGTTCTGGTAAGAACATGTCTCCCCCTCTCTGGTTTCATCGCCTTCACTCGCGTCACACGCATCTCGCTTACACAATTCAAAAACGATCTCCCCTGGCTGTATTTTATTGAAGTGAAACTGTTTTGCGTCAAACCTCTGGGAGATGCTTAGTATCTCTTGCGGTTTCCTGCGTTCCTTGCCCCGTGAGATATTTAACTGAGCAACAAAGCGATGTGGACCAGGTAAAATCCGTGTCTGTAAATCCCCGAGGTGATATCGAAATAGCCCCTGGGCCATCTTTTCAGTCCAAGCGGACCTTAGTGTTAAATCGAATTTAGACAGAAACTGTGAATGCTTGCATTTGTTGGAATCGCCCGGCCAACAGACATTGTGGACAAAATGTTTGTCACTGTACAGAAACTGGTGGATGTGAGTCATTTCCATTAAGCTGAACGTTTCAGTCTGGGTCCGAGCTCCACTCCCGAAACCTGCTCCGAGTTCCTGGACACCGGTAAACCAGGAACAGGGAGACGCCATCGTCCTATATTGATGACATCATTAATGCGTAAGTAAGTGGAGGACCCCATTGTGGATACCACTAAACCGCCTGAAGAAAAAGAGAAATCCTAAAAAGAATATTCGTTTTGAGAAAAACAAATCACTGGATAGTCTCGCAGATAATATCAGTTAGTCTAGGAACAGAGTTAAATAGGTGTGGGAAACCACTAGTTAGAAGCTAAAATAAGATATATATCTTATTACATAAATATAATTGTAAATAATTCAAAATGAAAGCACCGCATAAGTAATACTAATGAACATACCCAAATACGTTTGAATACATATTTAATTAACCCAAATACGTTTCAATACATATTGTAGCGTTTTCGAGTTCACGCAGGACAAAAGACAAGTGGAGACGAGATAGCGAGACAAGTGATTGCTTTACTTTCCCATTCAAACCAAACCCAAAAACAGGATTTACACACACACATAAGGGGACCGACGGAACACGTACACAGGTTGAGGGTGGTAACTCGTTATCAGAAGACTATACACTTACAAAGCTCCACAGGACGCTTAAACTAATATAACACTGTTTACATAAGCAGGGTCAGCTGCTGGTCATCGTGCTGACCCTCAGACTCCCCCCCCGCCTACAACTCCCAGCCTGCTTCGCGGTACCCGAGGGCGCTACAATATTAATAAAGATTTAAATATTTATCATAAAACACAATGACAAAAAATTGAGATATTACCAATATTAACGATGTTATGTACAGTAGCAAAAATATGTATCAAAATTCTTCAGATAGGGTCATACAAATACGCACAGTTTTGGCAGAGGCCTCACACAACTTCGTGCGACGGCTTCTTTTGTAAATCCGTTTCTACGGCAACTGTTACGTCATTGCAGGAAGAGGAAGTGGAGAAAGTTTAGCAAAACTTCTATATTCGATTTCGACGTGAAAAAAGTTGGGTCTGAACTTTTATTTGATTTTAGTTTGAGCAAACTATGGGGACATCAGCGAGCAAATTACCAAAAGACTTACTGTCAGAATATCAGGTAACTGATCGAATTACATATTTATTTTAAAGGTTCTTGGAATAATATTAAGGGTGTGCTTTGTTGTGATAAAACAACGAGTTGATAGAGAATATATACTGAGGATCAAAATAGACTTATCACTCTATTTATGTAAGTATGGCTTTAGAAAAATAAATGTACGGATGTTGGATATTGCTTAAATGTTTACTATGTCATTTTGATTAACTGATCATTCATAACTAACCGTGATACACTCGAATGACTAACTTTTCATAAGATCTTAATCTTAACGTAATTAGTGATTGATCAGTCAATTGATAACGGAAAATGAGGTCATTTAACGTGTTGAATATAAGCAAGTGAATATGTTCAGCTTATCAAGAGTGTAAAGGCGTTCAAATGCCAGGATCTCACCTGCTGCCTATCTGCGAGCTCATCCAGCGTTCTAGCGAGACCCTGCACATCCTCATACTGCTCGTGTACCTTAGCACAAACATGCGTCCTGCCAGATGGGAATGTGACATTTATGCCGTGGATACTAGTTACTACTTTCCAGACCTGAATCCCATTCAACATTTGTCACATGAGCTGAGCTGGTACTGTGTGGCATCTAGGGCACAGAGACCAGTGTCTGAAATGTCTGACAGAGACCAGTTTTCAGACATTAAGAAAGAACTGGGGCAGAGTCAAAGAAAGGAGCACATTTAACCTGATCCATGGAATTGATCACAGACGTACAACTAGCATTGCTTCCAAAGATGGTCACTCCTGCTACTGTCCAGTCACCTTCACAGCTGACCCCATGTTGATGACAATTGTCAGTCAATATAATGCATTTACCTAAATTATATGTGTTCAATAAAACATCAGTGCACCTGCTACAAAAAATGTAATTTTCCTGATAATACCTTTGTGAGTTTGTCAATTACAAGTGATAGGTTATCTTTAATAACTTACAGTAAATAATGTGGTTATTATGCTGTTTCATTACCCATGTAACCCTTTATACATGACACTACAAATGTATCCATTGTTCATGAATATTGTTTCATAATGGCACATTAACAAGATTTTTACAGAAAGAAAAACTTGACTGTACACACATCAGAAATAAGTTTGATTCATGTTTTTTTAATACACTTGCTTTTGAAAGTATACCTTTTGCATTATTAAATAATTAATTTCTTCACATTTGAATTGATAACTGATTATAGATTAATAACTTAACACTAGAAAATGAATTAATAAAAATACATTTTAAACCCAAAGTAAACAATATATACTACTATAATTACTATATATATATCTAATAAAAATAATTTGTTGATATTTTGCATTCCAGGAGCTGACATTTTTAACAAAGCAAGAAATTCTGCTGTAAGTACTTTCATTTTTGGAATTTTATTATCTTGCTGTAGTCCTGTTGGTGTAGACTAGATGATAATGTTATCTGAGGAGCAACTGTTACTTCCTGGTGAAAATGGACTTTGCTCTCTAGAACTCCAGGCTGAATTTCACCTGCACTTCAAGCACATTTATATAATTCAATATTGTCAGTCCCCAGCCTTAGACAGGGTGACTACAGGGTTCTGAACACATGAAAACGTACAAAGACAATGCTGTGTGATATTTGTTTAGAATTAGTAGATCCTAGATAGACACCTTTTCCTTCCGTGTTATTGTCAAATTCAAGCAATCGCCCATATTGCTTCCTAAAACCCCCAAAATACTAACCTTGTGAAAGTCTTTTATATAACCAGACCTCATTAACTTTGCTAGACTCACAGAAACTGGGTTCAATTCCTGTGGTGCTATCCACAGAGAGGTGTTAGTGGGGCCAGCAAGGGGCACTCACCCTGCTGTCCATGTGGGTCCTAATGCCCCAGGAAAGTGACGGGGACACTATAGTGTAAACAGGCGCTGTCCATCGAATGAGACGTAAAAAACAAGGTCCTGACTCTCTGTGGTCATTAAAAATGCCTGTTATCCTTGATTGAAACAGACTCTGGATTTTTAAATGTGCAGTGTTTTCTACTTGGCTTCTACCTTCCTTTTTTTTCCATTTGTTTTCAGTGCCCACAGGAAATTCACCGAGCTCCTTTCCAGAGAAGAGAGGCAGTTTCCAAGTTCCAGGGTATCCATGGAAAAGATCCTTTCTCTACCAGAACTAAAGGTATTGTACTGCAAATCCCTTCAATGCCAGTATTGCGGATATTTTTTAAAGTTGGAAGTTCAGACATTCAACTTTAAATAACTTTTCTTGAGGTACACTTTGTATACTCACTGGTCTTAGATATTCACAGTACATAAGAAAAGGTGAAGTTCAGCTTGCACTCCAGTCTAATGTACTGTACCATGTAAGACACACCCTGCTGTCAGGAAAAGAGCTGGGGGGCTTTTCTGTCATGAAGCAGAACAAGTTCCGAATTGTCTCTTCTTCAGCTATTCTGCCTCGTACAAATAAATCTCTGATGCTTGTTGAATGCGGACTTTATTATACTTGGGAGATGCAATCATTTTGTCAAGCAGCCAAATGAACTAGATGGTCTGAATGAGCTCCTCTCCCCTGCAGCATTCTTTATGATTTTAATGTTTTTCTCCCTCACCAGTGTAATCCATTCCGGCAGAGGATCTGTCTTGTGTTCTCTACCTCAGAAAATAAAGATGGCAGCCTGTCATTTGAGGACTTCCTAGACCTCCTGAGTGCCTTCAGCGACTCAGCTACCCCCGAGATCAAATCACACTATGCCTTCCGGATTTTTGGTAAAAGCTTTTAGTAAATGCTGGTATATTAAATCAAAGGTATATTAAGACTTAAAGCTCTGAACAGCTGAAGTCAAAGCTTTTTTTTCCCAATTGTGAAGATCAAAAGTGCAAAAGTATTGCAGTTTGGTCAAATTGCAATTTAATAGAGCATTTAGTGGAGCCCTAAGAAAGGTAAGAATAGTTGGCACAGAAATGTATATCTAAAGTCTACTAGGTAAACGACTTTTACTACAGAAAGTAAAGTAGCATTTATATCTTTATTTTTATTCTCCCAACAGGAATACTAAACCGTGTTGTTGAGCAGGGACAATCAGATTCTTTTAAAACTCGCTGCAAGATTCAAGACACTGTTAATCTTTTTCTCTGTGTTTTTTTTATGGATCAGACTTCGACGATGATGGGACTCTGGATCGGGCTGACCTAGAGAAGCTGGTGAACTGCCTGACTGGAGACACAGATGAGACTCGTCTGAGCGCAGAGGAGATGAGACAGCTTATTTCCAATGTAAGTTGACAGAAAGTGCAGCTTTGCCTCTCACTCAGCCCGTTTAACAGACTTTCTCTGAAATCAGATTAATACACTCTCTTCCCAAATTCTGTTCTATTGAACTATATAGTTGTAAATGAAATTGTAGAAATACATTTTGATGGCACTTTGGTGAGGGTGTTTTACATTCATTGTACTGAGAGAGAAGGCAAACAAGCAAAATGTTACAGTACTGATAAATGGTAAAACCAGATTGTAAATGCCATGACGCTGAACAGGACAGACTGAAAGTGAATGAATGAAAGAAACCATATTGTAGAATGCATTACTAACAATGTGAAGTTAGTGTTCAACACGTTAACTAATTTTAAACAAACCTTAGATCCTCGAGGAGTCCGATATTGACAAAGATGGAACTGTGAATCTCTCAGAATTCCAGCATGTCATCTCAAGATCGCCTGATTTTGTTGGGTAAGAGATTTTAAACACCTAATTTGAATCTTCAGAGCTACATTACTTCATGGTGAAAGTCAACATTGGATGCACATGGTAAAATGTTTGTGGAGTAAATTAATTCAGGAAAAATAGATGGTATATGGGAAAAATATTAAATACAAAATACTTTTTTACTTTAGAAGAGAACACTTTCAAAAAATTATATCTACACATTTCCATGAATTAAAATCACTCATGGCTAAAATATATATACCTATTATCTTGTATTAGCCAAAAAGAAGTTATGACTTAGACTAAGGTAAAAAATAAACCAGTGGAATTGCAGAATGAACTGACTGACAACGTTGGCAGTTGGTGCTGCTTCCTAACAGCTCCTGGGTGTGATTCCAACCTATGAAGTGGGACATCCTCCCTGTTTTCATGTGGGTTTCTGCCAGGTGCTCCAGTTTCCTAGGTTAACTGGCATTTCTAAAATGTGTGTATGCCCAACCTACAGTCACCCTCTTTTAGCTCTGTGCCTCCAGCATAGGCTCTTGGCTGCTGTACCCCTTACCAGCAATGAGGCTTTTCTGGCACTGGCTGGTTGGATGAGGCAGTATGGCTAACAGACCTCTTGTATTTCTGAAGCTCATTTAGGATTATCCTGTGAGCTGGCTGCCCTGTGAAAGAGTCGGAGCCACTGCAAGCAAGCCGTCTCATGGTCCTCTTCCTGACAGGCAGGATGCCAGCATTTCAAACTGCAAATTTTAACTTTTTATACAATGGAGCTCCATCTTGTGCCTTAAATTATAATACATTGTTTTAATATTTTTTAGAACCTTAACATTTTGTAGATGAATGTAGTTCTACTGTGAAAATGCTGTTATCTATTTTATATATGATCTTAATACTCTCTCGTGCAATAAAACATTTTCTTCTTATGTGTGCAATGTGTTTGCAAGATTAACAAGTAAAAACAAGATTTTTCTCTCAACAAAATTGTGTTCTCACTGTACAAATGCACCTACACAACTCAATACTGGGTAAATTAAAGTTTAGTTTTAAAACAAGACACTCCAGAAAGTCTACAAATCTTTATTAATTGTCCATGGAAAATTAATGGTGATTAGAACACTCCACACTCTTGTAAATATCTTTCACATCCAAGTAGGAGGCAAAGGTCAAGTTTCCTAGTTCTGTATTTTATTTCATAGACTTAGACTTACATGGTGACCTATTCCTAGCATTAAGCAAATATTCAAAATAAAGTCATTATTTCTAAGGTTCCTAAGTTTTCTCTTCAATATTCATGATTCAAAAGCTATGTAACAATGGAACAAAGCATCACTGTTACATCGCAGAGCAGTAGACACAGCTTCAGAGTGTTAAAACTACTGCATCAACATCTGCTATTTTCCTAGGCTGAAGAGCTGAATAAAAATCCAGAAACAGCGGGCTTGTGGGATGGAGCTTACTGTACATCACAAGAGCATGGCTTTTTTCTCTTCTGTATAGACAAAGGTGTTCCAGGGCCCACACACCACATCCACCACCCGCAGGCTCTGTTCAGTGAAGTAGTCCACACGGGCAGGCTGGTCTGAACTGTGTGGAGTTGCCTGGCCGAGCTGTCCATAATCACCTGCAACACCAAGAGCCTTACAATACAGCATAATACAACAGAGGGGAGAGACTAGTTAATTATTTAGTTTAAATTAATTTTATTAAGTTAATTATTTACTAAAACCTGTTCTCTCTTGTACCCTAGAGTGGACTTTTATTATCCTTGAAAACAAATACTAAATGGATTCTTCATATCTGGGGACTTCAAAACGTTTACAGGGAATAATGCACCTTTGTCTAAAATGCCATGATAACTGCAAGCCCAATCATGCTCAATAGAATAAGTGATAAAACAGCTGGTTTGGCAACGCTATTAAACTTACCCCAGCCCCATGTGTAGAGATCACCAGTACCTAAACCATAAAACAATGATTTACATTTTATTTACACAAGTCATAAGGTCTTTATTGATACAAATTACTGCAGGTGAAAAACATCATTAATCCTCATTAAATTACTTTGAAGAAAATAAATGGTTTTAACCTTAATGTCACAGTAATAAAACACAGATACATTATGAATTTGCATAATCTGAAAATATTGAAATTGTTAAACATTTATTTAATGCTAACTGTCTTATGTTAATTTCAACATGTCTACCAAGCATCACAGTGAAAACTGCGTACACTGGGAAAGAGACATTTTTGTTACCTACATGCAACTGCTGCTGTGTGGCGTGACCCACAACTAGCTCTGGTGACCTCTGACCCCTGAGGCAGGTCCACCAGGGCAGGGAACGCCTGGATTGAGATGAAGACATCACTGTTCGCATCCTGCTCTCTCATCATCCCACCACTTCCTGCTGTATTAAAAGGCATCAATTTTACAAATACAAAAACAAAACCAGCATGCATCATGCACAATTTCCAACACTGCATCACCAGCATAACGCCTGGCCACCTCACTGCATGTTCCTGCTGATTTCTAGATAATTTCAGCATCTGTCCAGATAAGTGGGTCAAGTGCCCGCAGCTATCTAATTAATTAGTGAAAAAGAACTTTAATAAGAAATACAGTAAAACCTCAATATTCGCACATTCTGGATTTGTGTTTTCAACAATTAGGTGAAAAGTATTAGTGACCACTTTTTCCACATTCTCAGACCAAATCCCCCTGTTAATGAACTGCACAGTAGGAGAGTAAATGCAAGCACCCACTTGCTCATCTTCCTGCAGACCTACTTCACACATCCTGCATCACTCTGCGGTAAAGGCACTGCCTGGTTATCACAGAGTTGGCATGTTTGGGTAGCAGTGCATCATGGGGTGTGCATGTGTTCAGCTTCCTTCAAGAAAGCATTAGATGTGCATTGTATGCAGATCTGTTATCAGAGTAATGCCTGTATGTAACTCGGTGGTGTGCTGCCAAATTAAAGAAGTGTTACATAACAAATACCTCTGTGGACACATACTATGTTAGGTGGGGAGCTGCGTCAGCATGCGTAGGCTGCAAAGGAACAAGTAAAGGTTTATTCCATGCTGAAAAAAAGGAAGAAAGAAAACAACGTTTCGGCCGTGAAGCCTTCTTCAGGTGTGAGGCAAGAATAGGAGTTAGTTGAGTGGGAAGGGAGTGAATACACTTAATGAACTTATTTGTCTGTTATTATTTTGGTGGAATAAAGTACAGTAAACTATTAAAGTACAGAATGCACATACAATAACTTGAATTATAGAGGGAAAACTGCATTTTTAAGTTTTCAGTAATTATTGGTAATTTTCATTACCAATAATTACTAACGCTATTTCTGAAACAGTTAAAAGTTGTTTTAAAAATATTATTCTAGAAATGCTTGTTTCACGAGCCTCAGAATCATACCCTACGTTCCCCATAAGTCCAGAATTTGGAAATTCGCCCTTCAGGAAGACTTCAAGGTACCTAACCCTAGCGAATACTGAGGTTTTACTATACAGTATTAATAAGGACAGTGTGTGCATATATATGTATACACACACACTCATGTTTTTTTCCCCAACCCTCAACAGCCTAGTTAAGTATATAAAGACCACTCTACAGATGCTCTATCAAGGTCAGTTGGTCTGAGTTCGAGGGGCCTTACTCCCACCTGCTCCACTGCTTCGCTGCTGCTGCTCTGCTCTCAGGCCGCGAGAGGGGAGCCCCAGCTGGCCTCTGTCATTCCAGCCCCACACATACAGGTCTCCCCCTGCTGCTCAGGGAAGAAACAGAGAAGACCGACAGGTCACTGAGGGAAAACCGCACACTGCTCCCTAACACCCAGACCCCCCCCTCGCACGGCGACAGCTGCCTTCTCCCGCACAAGTGGTCCTTGAGAAACTGGGCGCACGGGCACGGCCCTTACCACTGATGCAGGCTGAGTGCCAGCCCCCTGCGGCCACGTCCCTCATGGAGAGACCCCACAGCGCCTCCACAACCTGAGGCTCGGCCTGGCTGTCCAGCCCCCCGTGCCCCAGCTGGCCATGGCTGCAAACACAACAAAGCAGCCGGGTCAGGGCAGCCTGAGCTTCGGGAAGACGGAAGAGCTTTTCAAGCTGTGGTGGTCATTAAAAATCCCAGGGTGTTTCTCGAAAGGAGTAGGGGAGTAATCCCGACGTCCTGGCCAAATTTCCCATTGGCCCCTACCAATCGTGGCCTCCTAATAATCCCCATCACTGAACTGGCTCCATCACTCTGTTCTCCTCCCCACTGACAGCTGGTGTGTGGGGAGCGTTCTGGCGCACTATGGCTGCCGTTGCATCATCCAGGTGGAGCTGCACACTGGTGGGAGTGGAGGGGATCCCCATTACCTGTAAAGAGCTTTGAGTGGAGTGTCCAGAAAAGAGCTATATAAGTGTAAGCAATTATTATTATTAATCTGTTTAAGCAGGGGTGGGCAGCACCCATCCTCAAAGGCCACAATCCTGCACGTTTAATTAGTACTGCTCAACCAGCACACCAATTAAAACCAGAAAAAAACAGGCGATCTGACTGATTCTTTTCAAATAAGTATTTCAATTACTTAATTAAGATCACAGGGGGACTAAATAACTGAAAACCTGTGTGTTTTAAGACATCATACTGATGCACATCGCTGCCATTAGTGGGTAATGATGTTCCTGGATCAATGTGACTGGTAGCAACGCAGTTTCTGATCAATGATTAACCAAAGTGGCCATCTGTGCCTGCACGTCCTGCTCTCACCTCCCAGAGCCCCAGGTGTACACAGCTCCAGCGGCAGTCAGCAGCACCGCGTGCTCAGTGCCCAGAGCCAGCTTATGAGCACAGAGCTGTGGAGACAAGGGGCGATAGAAAGGGACATCTGCAGCTACATAGCCTCCAGGAACCAGTGGCAAAGCTGAAGCAAAACAGAAAAAGAGACATTTTAACATCTATGTGAAAGAAACTGTGAAAGTAATTTAATCTCCATTTAAGAAATCATTCTTCAGCAAGAAAGGAAAAACCAAAACTCTTTTTTCCACTGAGCAGCAAAAAACAGCATCAGACTAATATTAACATATAACAGCATTGTTACAGGAGTTTGGGTGAAATTTTTAATTCCTGAATGAATCCTCTTTCAAAAAACATTAGTTGGCTCACAATATGTTAACTGAACACTGTTACTTCCAGACACAAAGCTGAAAGAACTACCTACAGTATCCGGACTGGAGCACTCCATCTTCCAGATAGTCTTGCCCTCCATGTCCCAGCATTCCACTCTGTCTGCGAAAGCCAGCGTCAACAACCTCTCACTCACAAGGGCATCCAGGCAACCCTTTGTTCTTGACACAAAGCTGGGAGGACCTGTTCCAAAGCCTGACAGACAGACGGGTCCATCACCTGGAACAAACCAGGCTTTCGAATTAAAAGAAAAAGACTGACTTTGCAACTGATGCACAGCCATAACAAGGCTATTTTGGAAAGCATGTTTCAGTGCCATTTCTTAGAGATGTTAGGACATACTGTAGATGAATGATTGCGAGCTTATTTTGGATATAGGTGTAGTATTTTTGTAGGTGCAGTTGGTTGTTAGTTGTTATTTAAGGATGGACTTCAGAAAACCATTTTCTTTCTTCTTAAAAATAAAAAATCAGTAGGTGCATACATCTATGTAATTATAAGTGCCAAAACTCTTTATTTCAGCTGACACATTATACAAATCCTTTAAAATTTCACAATAACCTCGAACAAATGACACGTTCCTGCACGCCAATGTAGACCCTCGCACGATAAGAATTCTGCATGTAAATACAAGAAGTAAAGTCTCCAGTTTTCCTTCGATTGTGCGAGGTATTTAAGACTTGCATCCTATCTTATACCTCTCCGATGGAGCACAGCTCTTCTGCTCCAGCTCGCTCGGACCTGAGGACAGCGTTCCTCTTGTCTCTCGACAGGCGTCTCTTCATGACTGCCACAGCAACTGAGCCTGGTTGGGACCAGGACTCTCACACCCCCACTGGGCACGGTTTCTTCTGTCTTGCTTAACTGCGATGGAAGAGGTGTTATCTGTCCAAAGACATTAAATCCGAACCCAAACCAAGGCATTAAAAAATAAATATTTGCAAACGGATAACAATGCACCTTCGTCAAATACAGGATTTACTTCTCACTGCTGACAGACAACTTAGTAGCAAGTAAGCTTTTACAACACTACAATCACGGAAGCCTGCACGAATTCTGCATCTACTGTACGAGAAGTCAGAAAGAGCGTCACCAAAACCAAGCACCGTAGTTAGTCTGCATAGCCCCGCTGCTTTTCGAGGGGTACTGCGCAGGAGTATTCAAAATAATTCAAAACAACCGAGGAGCGTTGACTCACCAAGAGCGTCTGCACCCTCATATAGTCTTCATTCCTCTGACAGCGCCACCTAGCCAGAGGGTATGAAACACCCGCGAATTACTTTGTTCACGAGGATGATACATTCAACGCATGAAAATTTCCCAAATTCCAAACTTCCAAAAACATAATCCCGTGCTTTATTGCCCATGTTAGATTTAAGATATTATTGATGTTATTGTACACAATTTAAGTGTCAACTGCATATCAGTTTAACACTTAGATGCTGCGATACACTATTAGCATAAAAATGCCTACTAATGAATAATTACACCAATAAATAAAGAAGTTTCTGTGGATCTGCATAACCAGGTTTGCAAGCAGCACATTCCAAAACATCCTATTAGCAATTAATAATCATTACACCTTGCAAAATAATGTATTATTTATATATATATATCAGCAGTTATATCACCCTGCAATTCACAATTAGAAACCAGCTGAAGCAGGTGTGAGCCTGGCCAGTACCTGAATGGGAGACCTCCTGGGAAAACTAAGGTTGCTGCTGGATGAGGTGTTAGTGAGGCCAGTGGGGGGCGCTCACCCTGCGTTCTGTGTGAGTCCTAATGCCCCAGTATAGTGATAAGATAAGATCAGGTCAGATCACTTTATTGGCCATATACAATTTCTTGCATTAGGAATTTGTCTTTTCACATACCCCAGCTTGCTCTCCATGAGACACACAGACACACAGACAGGGAGAGAAGCTTGGGGTCAGAGCGTAGGGTCAGCCATTCATACGGAGCTCCTGGAGCTCCTGGGGTTAAGGGCCTTACAATACAGCACAATACAACAGAGGGGAGAGACTAATTAATTATTTAGTTTATTCCTAAAACATGTTCTCTCTTGTACCCTCAGAGTGGACTTTTATTATCCTTGAAAACATAAATACCAGCATGCATCATGCACAATTTCCAACACTACATCACCAGCATAACGCCTGGCCACCTCACTGCATGTTCCTGCTGATTTCTAGATAATTTCAGCATCTGTCCAGATAGCTGGGTCAAGTGCCCGCAGCTATCTAATTAATTAGTGAAAAAGAACTTTAATAAGAAATACAGTAAAACCTCAATATTCGCAAATTCTGGATTTGTGTTTTCAACAATGAGGTGAAAGGTATTAGTGACCACTTTTTCCACATTCTCAGACCACATCCCCTTTTAATGAACTGCGCAGTAGGAGAGTAAATGCAAGCACCCACTTGCTCATCTTCCTGCAGACCTACTTCACACATCCTGCATCACTCTGCGGTAAAGGCACTGCCTGGTTATCACAGAGTTGGCATGTTTGGGTAGCAGTGCATCATGAGGTGTGCATGTGTTCAGCTTCCTTCAAGAAAGCATTAGATGTGCATTGTATGCAGATCTGTTATCAGAGTAATGCCTGTATGTAACTCGGTGGTGTGCTGCCAAATTAAAGAAGTGTTACATAACAAATACCTCGGTGGACACATACTATGTTAGGTGGGGAGCTGCGTCAGCATGCGTAGGCTGCAAAGGAACAAGTAAAGGTTTATTCCTTGCTGAAAAAAAGGAAGAAAGAAAACAACGTTTCGGCTGTGAAGCCTTCTTCAGGTGTGAGGCAAGAATAGGAGTTAGTTGAGAGGGAAGGGAGTGAATACCCTTAATGAACTTTCTTGTCTGTTATTATTTTGGTGGAATAAAGTACAGTAAACTATTAAAGTACAGTAGCACTGCATTTATAATAGACATAATAGCAATGGAAAAAGTAAAGAAAATGCACTCTACTAAGTATAAAAACGAATACAAACAAGAGACACCACATTATTTTATTTGCACATGCAATAACTTGAATTATAGATGGAAAACTGCATTTTTAAGTTTGCAGTACTCATTTTCATTACCAATAATTACTAACGCTATTTCTGAAACAGTTAAAAGTTGTTTTAATAATATTATTCCAGAAATGCTTGTTTCACGAGCCTCAGAATCATACCCTATTTTCACCATACGTCCAGAATTCGCAAATTCGCCCTTCACGAAGACTTCAAGGTACATAACCCTAGCAAATACTGAGGTTTTACTATACAGTATTAAAAAGGACAGTGTGTGCGTATATATGTATCCACACACACTCAAATGGGAGACCTCCTGGGAAAACTAAGGTCTCTGCTGGAAGAGGTGTTAGTGGGGCCAGGAGGGGGCGCTCACTCTGTGGTCCATGTAGGTTCTAATGCCCCAGTATAGTGACAGGGACACTATACTGTAAAAAAGGAGCTCTCTGTCAAATGAGATTTAAAACGAGGATCCTGACTCTCCGTGGTCATTAAAAATTCCAGGTTTTTTTTTAAACAGTAAGGGTGTTAACCCCAGTATCCTGGCCAAATTTCCCCCTAACCTTTACCAATCATGGCCTCCTAATAATCCCCATCTATGAACTGGCTTCATCGCCCTGTTTTCCTCCCCACTGAGAGCTGGTGTGTGGGGAGCGTTCTGGCGCACTATGGCTGCCATCACTTCATCCAGGTGGGGCTGCACACTGGTGGTGGTGGAGAGGATCCCCATTACCTGTACAGTGCTTTGAGTGGAGTGTCTAGAAAAGCGCTACACAAGTGTAAGGAGTTATTATTGCTGTTGTCTTATACAGCATGTACAGATACTGTAACTGCTTGTCAACAACTGTTTCTCCACCTTTTGGAAATGATCTGCTCCCAGACCATGACCCTGTCACCCTCAGTCTGAGGAGAAAGGACAATACTGGCTTGTATTCAGTATTTAAAACATGGCGATTGTGCTGGCGATTCCCAAAACAATCCCAAAGCCAGTTATACCAATGTGTAATCACACGTTTCATTTCAGACTTTGACAGTACCACTACTGTCAAAAAAAGGGAGAAGAAAATGTCATTTTGGGAAAAAAACAGATACTTTCCAAAGTTTATGTGCTGATGCTGCCCTTTTTGTACTCTGATGATGATTACTACAAAATAATAATTGTATACTGTAGTGCAAATGCAAATGAATTCTGTTTTAACATCCTTATTAAACTTATATTTGAAGACCACTTCTTAGTGTCTCATTTTTGTGTAACAATCCAAACATAATGTTCATTTCTTTACAGCAAATAATATTTCACCTATATCTACAGCATGTCATATACTTTAACATACAGAGGATTGAATTGCCTCCACTTCTCCTGTGATCATAACATCAACACCAGCTCCATGTTAGACTCTGCACTGAAGTGTAGTTCTCCTGAAAAAACTGTCCATGATACATCTGCACACTCTGCATATGGAATATAGTGTTTATTTAAGCGTGAAAATAAGATGGATTCTTAAGACAAATTACTTTTTAAAAACAAATTAAAAAAATAACAAAACCTTCATAAACAAAGATATTTAAAAACTGGTATATGTAGAACATAGTATATCTTATTGCTTCTTTCTGTTTTTTTTTCTGTTTTCAACACACACACAGGAATGTTGCCATAGATAAAGGACAAGAAGTTTCTTTCACAAACATCTGGTTCACAGACGTCATTCAAAGCATATTCCTTCAAGTTCCCTGTAAGTACAAAACTCAGTTAAAGGACATCTGGTGTTGTGTTCTTATCTAAAGCATGACTGAAAAAAATGTTCAGGAAATGTAAGGTCTGTGGATAAACACCTGGAGACAACCACACAATCATGCAGTGAAATACTGTATTCTGATGTCTCTACAAAATAAAAAATCTAATCAGAAAAGTATAAAAATCTGACAACATACAGTAGGCAATGAAAGTGGATGTAAATTACATTTTTTATCCTTTTTTCCTCCAATTAAGTGTTTTTTTTGTGTGAATAAAGAGTTAAATGTTTTTAGGATGTGTGGAGCAGATCAGTTTTAATGAATGTTCTTTTGGGGACAAAAAAACAGTAAAAATAGTTCAACAACACAGATAACCCTTGGGCAGTGGGCAATAAAATAGAATAATTAGACAGATTTGGATAATAATTCAGAAAATTAAGACAACAGAAGGCAATCTTTGGTCCCATTCCTGAAGTCTACAGCCACAAAAAAAGGAGCAGATTTACAGTGTCTGTGTTCTGATCCCTTGTTTAAAGTGTCAAGGAAGACATAATCCTACTTCATAGCGATCGGATGACGGGCATGTTTGTTTAAAACCCATGTAGTGCCAAGTGGATGTCTGAAGAAGACAGAGGAAGTGCCTAGACAAAAGAGTGAATTCCAAGGCTAGTGTCCCTGTTACAGCCTAATTCCCTCTAAATTACACGACTGGAAAACAACCTTCTTCTTCGATGAGTGCAGTCCCACAGCACCATTTCCTCAGCATGATCAGAGGGAGTGAAAGGCACTCGGAGCCCGACTAGGCCAGCAGCTCCTCGCTGGTGCCCTCGCTCCCAAGACTTCTGATAATGCCATACTCCACTGCCACATCCAGACACTGCTTGGCAGTCTTGGCAGCGGGGCTCTGTGTTGCGATGTCCCCCTTGGCCAGGACGGTCAGGATCTCCAGCACCTCGCTCTCCATGAGTGTCTCGGCCAGGGTCCGCTCAGCCTGCATCAGGTTGAGCACGAGGGCAGCGCCTCGGTGCTGCAGCTCCACGGTGTCGCTCAGCAACAGCGCCTGCAGGATCTCCAGCCAATGGGTGGTCTGCAGGGAGAGAGGCCGCCACAGGGCAAAGGTCAGGGGTTAAGGGGTCACATACTCCACACTGCTTTCAAAGCAGCTTCTGTTATCGCAGTTAGCACCAAATCAATTGTTGTTTCAATAAGCATAGAATTAGCAGAAGCTAGGATCTGTAACATGGGCCACACAGACACACTTGCTTCTGAGCTCATCTGTGATTTTGAAGCCATGCTTACTGTGGCGGGGACACGGGCGCAGAGCTGCGGCTGCACAGATGTCAGCATTGCCAGGGTGCCTGCCGCAGCCTTCCTCAGCCTCTCATCGTCTTCCCCACTGTACAGCACCAGCAGCTTCAGACGGTCGCTTCCCGTGGCGACGAAAAGCTCCTGAACCTGAGAAACACCACAGGCGCTCTCTGAGACCAGAGCAGACTGCTCCTCTGCAAAGATTCTGTGCTCAGTCAAGCTCTCAATACAAATCACAGGCCCGAACCTAACTGGCCAAGCCCCAGCTGTGCCCAAATCCTAATCTCTTATCCCTTACTCTCACCTTATACAGTACTAAAACAACCCAGACTCAGTTTCACAAACTAAACATCAATCCTCACTACTACGTGTCCTGATACGAGTTTCGGCCCTCACTTACCTGTCAGTTTTCACATTTCCCACTGTACCGATTTCTAACTCGGAAACAACAACAACAGGATTATCATTATTTGAAAAGGTTAAGCTTTGTCGTTTCCCAATCCACTCGGTAGAAACACTGAAAAGGAATTCGTAATAATGAACGATGTTCCTGCAGAAAGCCTCTCACCTCCGTGCTCAGGACCAGGTTACACATGCACTCAGTGGCTGCTGCGCGGACCAACTCGTGCTCCTCGAACATGTACCCTTCAATTTTCGGCACAGCTTTCTCCTTGATGATCTTCTGCCTGCGGGCCCATACACACACAGTCCCTCAAACTCACAATTACCTCTACACAGTGGGCCCACTCAGGAGAGCGTGATCGTTCACACCAGATAACGATCTAGTCAGATCCTTGTTAATTAAAGAAGAATAATAATAATAATAGCTTACACTTATATAGCGCTTTTTCTGGACACTCCACTCAAAGTGCTGTACAGGTAATGGGGATCCCCTCCACCACCACCAATGTGCAGCCCCACCTGGATGATGTGACAGCAGCCATAGTGCGCCAGAACACTCACCACACACAAGCTATTAGTGGGGAGGAGAACAGAGTAGGCCAATTCATAGATGGGGATTATTAGGAGGCCATGAATGGTAAGGGCCAATGGGAAATTTGGCCAGGACACCGGGGTTACACCCCTACTCTTTTCGAGAAACGCCCTGGGATTTTTAATGACCACAGGAAGTCAGGACCTCGGTTTTACGTCTCATCCGAAGGACGGCGCCTGTTTACACTATAGTGTCCCCGTCACTATACTGGGGCATTAGGACCCACGTGGACCGCAGGGTGAGCGCCCCCTGCTGGCCCCACTAACACCTCTTCCAGCAGCAACCTTAGATTTTCCCAGGAGGTCTCTTATCCAGGTACTGACCAGGCTCACACCTGCTTAGCTTCAGTGGGCTGCCAGTTGTGAGTTGCAGGGTGATATGGCTGCTAAATGAACAAATAAATAAAACGACTCATTCCGCACTGATGCAGGCCAGGAAAACGTCTGTTGTCATGCAATTGGGGAGACAATCTAAGCGAGCAGTGCCATTTAAAAGGCTGAGAGGCAGGTTCAGGCTCTGGGGAAAGGAGCTTTCTCTCAACATCACTGCAGCCCCCATTAGCGTCTATTATACTGCAGACATTAGCATCTTAACTCCTCGCATGTCTCGACTGACCTGAGCCTCTCGCTGATGCCTGCTAGGTTGGTGAGCGCCATGAGGGCTTCAAAGTTCTGCAGCAAAGTGCGATCCAGGGCCAACAGGCTCACCAGCGGTCGCACCACCTCATAGATCTGTAGCCAAGAAACAGTGTCGCAGATCAGTCCAGCGCATTTACCCCACACTTCACACACAAACACCCAGGACAACACGATGGGCATCGGAAGTGATCAGATGTCACACACCTACAAACCAGCAAAAGCTTCATCACACTGCACCAGATGCAGCTGCATTGCACATAATAGAGTGGACTGTCAGGATTCAGTCCCTTCGCATCAAATAGGGCATACCACCTCGATTCAAGTGGATAATTGAAACTGGAAAGGTATAAAAAGGAGGTCTTCATCACATATCAAGTTTCAGGCCTCACCCGCTCTCCAGGGAAGGCAATTTCAGGGTTAGACGTAATGGCAATCTTCGCCAGGGCCTGTGCTGCCTTGGTTTTCCCTACATCCGTGCCTTCTGTTGCCAAGGGGATCAGGGCCTAGAAAATAGGAAATCGAAGTGAGGCAAGAACGCCTTAAACGGCAACCAAAAGACGGGGCACTGCACTGACAAATGTGACAAGCTTCAAACAAGACGAGTTGCTCCGACTCTCATGTTCTGATACCGGGAATTAAAAGTTGTGACACTCAGTTGGTAAAGGCGTTCTGCCCTGGTGTGGTTAAGCTCCATGATCCAGACCTTGCTGTTTGATTTGAATTTGCGGAGGGCTCCAAGAAGGGGAGCACAATAGGCTCAGCACCACAAGGGGGCAGTGTTGGGATATGTCGGCCAGAACTCTATTCTGTCCCAACAAAATTGTCAAAAAACAGTAGCCAAGCCATGAAAACACACAACTGGCACAAACACACAAATTCCACACTGGACAGATATTAAACAAAAACAGGAATTTCAGGATAATGGAAAAAGTTAATTTGCAATCTCTACTGACTAGAATGATATATGCTAAAGTGAGACTTCAAACACAGGAGACGTACGTGAATCGGAATCGCACCACCACCACAGTCGGGTTCAATCACGAGCCAGAAAACCTCACCTTCCCACCCCCCTGAGCCACTACTGTGCCTCTGTCCTCCTGCCTCTCCACCAGAGCCAGGAACACCCTGCAGACGGAGACAAACCACAGAAATGTGTCACTCAGAGCCGCTGGTCGGAGGAAGAGGGTCACGGTCATCAAAGGAAAATGGAGAGAAGACACTTGAGCACGGAAGAACGATGCAAGCCCCAAGCAGGACAGAAGAAGAGTCTCCAGCACTGGACAGAAGGGTACTGAGTACGGATCAGAGCTCACCTGGAAACGCACTCCCTGCACGACTCGGTCAGGGCAGGACTCTCCTGCTTGACCATGCACACTAGAGCCGACACCACCCCGGCCTCCAGGAACTTGGACAGGCGCTTCTGCACGAAAGCCTGGGCGTCCTGAAACACACAAACGTGTGAGACAGCAGCAGGAAGAACATACAGTTCAGTACACATAAGCACTACATTTCACAAAGGAATGCAAATCTAGCAGTTGAATGACAAAAAGAGCAGCAGCTCTTCATAACTGGGGATGCTTCCAATTACCTTCGGGTGCTCCTCAGGAACGTGCTGCTTGGCATACTTTGCCAGCTCCACCAGCTGGGGGTCAGGCTTCTCGACATCATAGCTGTTAGTGCAGTTGACCAGCGTGGAGCCCACAGCAAAGAGCACCGTCTTATCTTCAGACTGCAGGCAGAGAAGATCAAAGACAAAACAACATTGCCATTTAGGAATGGAACAGAGCCTAGGTCTAAAAACCACCTGGTCTCATGAGTTCAACACTGTATCTGAAACAACAGACCCTGGGCAATGTCTGACATCCCAAACAATTTGAATTAAAAATAAGTTCCTAATACTTCTTAAGTCAGTCAATGGCATAGTTCCTAAGTCAGTGAGCTGACAAACCTTAACCCTCCCAAGAGAGACCAGCAGTTCACAGAATCACTTTTTTTTTTAGTCACTTCATGCAGATGTTCCTATTACAGAAAAAAGGCACTGTGTGGCAGCTACAGGTTAGCTATTTTGCATTTGACTTATAGTGTACATAATACTGACAAGCAGTATGAAAAAGAGCAACAATGGGCTGGAAAACTTGAAATGGTATTCAGGATTGGCACATGCTGATGTATGAGTCCAAGTCTTCACACAATTATTCCCAGGGGAACAGAAATAGTCCATCTCCTCTACACATCACTGCCAATGCCTCTTGGCACAGAGGCATCTACTTAAATTGGCTTGATGTGCCCTCACCGCACCCCAGCAGGGGTACCTTTGCCAGCTGGAACATGGCCTGCAGAGCCTGCCTGTCCTCTGCCAAATCCTCCTTCACATCAGCATCGAAGGTAAGGTATGCCAGGCCCTCGATTGCCCAACGCCGTGAGCTGGGAGGAAGAGCCTCATTGCACAGCCACCTGCAAGAGTCGCACACAAAAACACGTTCCACCTGTTGCCCACACACCACCACTTCTAATCTCTGCACTGTGCACAATTTCCTGGGCGCGAAACTTTCTGCTGCCCATTAGCTTAACTTTGTTTTAGCATTTTCCTTAACATAAGTTTGATTTCCTCCCGTACTCACCTTTGAACAGACAGAACTTTCAGAATGCAGAGCACACTGCTTTTAAACCTATCTACGACACAATGAGCCTCAGTGCAGCATGTCTGATTTCCCTTGGCATCTGTTATGATGAGATCAGGGACTTGGGTGAACCTCTATAAATAGAATTTTTTTTAATGAATGTCAGAAAATGACACTTACTTTCTGCACTGCTTGGCTAGTTTCAGAGTGGATCCCTCGGCAAACTGCTTCATGCTGAAATCAGTACCGCCTGCAGACCCCAGCTTACACAGACCCTACGAGACACACAGGCCCTCACATTCTTCTCCATACAGTCACTCTGCAAATGGAGCTCCAGCAAAAGAGACTCTTACACACATAAAAGGGTAAATGCTAGAAAGGCAAAATTTCTAGTGCAGACACGATTAAGCAGTCTGTCACAATGTACCATAAGCCCAAAGGAAAGAAACATTTCCTGAAACTGCAATGGACTAAAGCTGAAAATGTTCACCTAATTGCCAAAGACCGATTAACAAAATTAAAAGAGTAATACATCTGATCTGGATTGGAAGTGCAAGGAGGGCAGTGTAATCGCCATTGGTGAAAGCCAACGTTTGAATGAAGCCAAAACAGAAAGGATGACTTAACCTGTAATGGAAAGAGCTGAACTACAGTAGCACACTCGTCTTTTTTCAGACCAGTGCAGTTCTGAGACTGAATGCCGCTAAAACGGGCCTGTGATCCATCGTTTCTGCAGAGAACTCTGTGACGGCTCCTCTTGGATCCAGAGTCTTACCACGAGCGCACGCACACGGATCCTGTCGTTCTCGCTCTTCTTGTAGAGGTCCTTGAGCAGCGTCACCCCATTGGCCGTGATGAAGGAGGCCCTCTTGGCTTTGCCCGCTGCGTGGATCAGAGCCTCTACTGCCACCTGCTGGTGACTCAGGTCGGGAGAGGCGCAGAGGGAGATGATGCTGTCCATGATGCCCGAGAGCTCTAGGGTCCGGTTGCCTACATCGCTAGGACCCTGCAGCAACACAGACACTGCCTGGATGGCCCTCAGCTTCCCATTCAGCCCTGGGGCCGCAAAGTGATGCCTGTCAGCAACATCAAAAACAATAATAACAATAAATAACGCCAACGTGAATCACAAATGTTCCAGCATTAACAACAACAACAATAAAAACTCTATGCCATGTGCACTGACAATGTGGATGCACTCACAAGCCATTTGCTTGTACAATGGCTAAAGTCTGGTTTCATTGGACAAGTACCACAGAGCACAACCAGGAAACCTACTGCCATGTGAAATTAGTAATCTTCATAAAGAATCCCCTGCCTGGCTGTCCTCCCACAAATTCGGTATACATGCAAACCAAGCTAGCCAATGACACTGTACATCCCAAACTGTTCCCAGGGGTCATAGCCAGAGGCTGTTGGCCTCCACTCACTGGATGTATTGTTCGCAGAGGCGGCTGAAGTTCTCCCTCTCCCCATCGCTCTTCAGATCGTCATACAGCTTGTTGAGGAGCACCGAACAGCTCATGTGGGTGTTGTCAGTCAGTGGGGGTCCATCCAAAACACCAGGGACTGTTCCAGACACCTCTAGAATTTTCTTGAGCCCTGGGGAGCAGGAGAGAGATGGGGGGTGCTGAGAAATTGGACAATCACCCAGATCACTAACGGAGGGAGCTCCTGTAATCAGTTCCCTTTTGAAGTTACCACAGAGCCCAAACAAAAAGCTAACAATGTGGCTGAAACGCTAACTTTAATAAGGAAAAACTAACTTTGAGGCTAGGCAGAGCATCATTAAGCGCAGTGCTCAAAATTATATAACACGTTCTGCAATCCAAAATACTTCCAAGTTTAAACTCATCTTCTACAACATCTCACACACCACCCCTCTCCACCACCTCATCCAGAATTTTTTTTTTCCTCACCCTGATCAATCACCCAGAGAGTCAGCGAGTTGTTAGGGTCTTTCAGAGATTTGCGTGGGACTTGTTTGACCAGCAGGTTTATGGCACCATCCCGGCCAGGCCCTGACACCTCTTCCATTGCCAGCACATCGACCAGGTGGCACAACATGGAGCGCAGCTCACGGGACGGCTCTGTGATACAGCACAAACAACACGGCAAGGGATCAGTAATGCACCTCTCGCCCAGCCCGGACCCCCAAAAACTGATCAAGCAACAGCTCAATCACCAGTGCAGAGAATTACAGACCAGCAAGATTTCTGGGTAACTGCAATGGGAATTGATTTGGAAAAAGTAATCATTTAAACTCAATGAGGCGGAGTGGTGGCTCTGTGGCTAAGGATCTGCGCCTGTGGCTGGAAGGTTGCCGGTTCAAATCCCGCAGTTGGCAGAGGAATCCTACTCCGTTGGGTGCCTGAGCAAGGCCCTTAACCCCAGCTGCTCCAGGGGCGCTGTACAATGGCTGACCCTGCGGTCTGACCCCAAGCTTCTCTCCCTGTCTGTGTGTCTGTGTCTCATTGAGAGCAAGCTGGGGTATGTGAAAAGATGAATTCCTAATGCAAGAAATTGTATAGGGCTAATAAAGCAACATTATTATTATTATCAAACAGGCTGTGAAGACTTCAAGTGAAATACACAACAAAAGATACAGTGGCTTCCTAGGATTAGTAATATAACTGTCCCAACCTAACCTTAGTGTTAATTATAACAATAACCTAACCAGGAGTGTAATTCTAACTATATCCTAACTAATCCAATCCTTACAAAATCCTGATCCTAACCTCTAGCCTAAACCTAACTTAATCCTAGCCTTTAGGATGTAATTATCTTTAAGACTTAAGCAAGCCCTGACACAGCATGATGCCTACTAATTAAACCCAGTGCTGCACCCCAACCCAACCTCAGACAAAACCCTTTTAGGAACGCTGCGCCCTTATCATGAGCCCACCTGGCAGGATAGCCTCCTCCTTGCCCCGTACCTCCTTCTTCATGCCTTCCATCAGAGCCTCAAACATGACTTGCAGGAGGTGACAGGCAGCCAGGGAGACCGCCTCTCCCTTCATGCCCATCACAGCACACAGCCGCTCCATGCCCAGCTCATTCACGATGGCCATGGTCTGACAGGAGAGAGGGAGGAAGGGTTAAGAATCAGTAGGAGATGCAATATTTCCCCCAGTCATTAATAACTGGTTACAGATCAATAAAGCAACCATGGTGCGGTGGTAGCACTGTGGCTAAGGATCTGCGCCTGTGGCTGGAAGGTTGCCGGTTCGAATCCCACAGGTAGTGTATGTATATATACATATATGTATTAGAATTAAAAACAACCTTTCAGCCATCTTGCATCACCATCAGGCCCTGATGAATTTATATCCACTATTATTGTATATATTGTCAGCAGCCATATCACCTCACAACTGCAACTCAAATGGCACTCACAACCGGCAACCCACTGAACCTAAGCAGGTGTGAGCCTGGTCAGTACCTGGATGGGAGACCTGTGAAAAACTAAGGTTGCTGCTGGAAGAGGTGTTAGTGAGGCCAGCAGGGGGCGCTCACCCTGCAGTCCATGTGGGTCCTAATGCCCCAGTATAGTGACAGGGACACTGTACTGTAAACAGGCGCCGTCCTTCGGATGAGACGTAAAGCCGAGGTCCTGACTCTCTGTTTTAATTTCTTGAAAACCGTTGGGGTGTACCCTGGTGGCCTGGCCACATTTCCCATTGGCCCTTACCAATCATGGCCTCCTAATAATCCCCATCTCTGACCTGGCTTCATCACTCTGTCCTCCTCCCCAATGATAGCTGATGTGTGGTGAGCGTTCTGGCGCACTATGGCTGCCGTTGCATCATCCAGGTGGGGCTCCACACTGGTGGTGGTGGTGGAGGGGATCCCCATTACCTGTAAAGCACTTTGAGTGGAGTGTCCAGAAAAAGTGCTATATAAGTGTAAGCAATAATTTATTATTATTAATTATTACTCACTCTGGATTGATGCCCAGTGCACAGTCCTACGAGTGTCCTCAGAGCTGACAATGTCGTGTCTTCTTGCTTAGAGTCCAGCAGTCTCTGCAGGAGCCTCACACCATCATTGCGAAAGATCTGCTCTGCACCTGCCTCCTCCCGAGACAGCACGACTAGGTTCTGAGCCGCCTGTGCAGAAACAGGATGAGAGCTATTAGTTGTCTAACATAAAATCTGGCCCTAAGTATCTCATGTGACAAGAATACCAAAAAGTTGTCTTGTTAACTCCTCCAGTCTGAACCGCTGAAGCTCTCAATCAACTCAATCCACACTACTCTTTATGATATATCTCCGAAGATATAAAACTAAAGAGCTGCCTTTTTTAACTGACGCTTTGCAGCTTTGTATGATATAGCTCTGGTGAAAGAAAGGCATTTATCCAAAACAGGCAGAATCTAAGAGTATACATTTACTGATTTCAACATTTCATTATACATTACAAACAGGTTATGCATTCATGAATAGATCAGGATGTCTTTGTTTCAACATGAACAGCAAAGGCCACAAAAAACCTGTCCCATTTCTCTACCCAGTGATCTCTGACCTCCCCCAATACCACACCTTCTGCCTATCGGAAGGCTGTGAGGAGGAGTCCAAGAGGAGAGAGAACATCTGCTGTACGCGAGCATCTGTGGAGGAGAGCTGTAGAGCCTGTGAGCAAGACAGGAGCAAAGAGATACCAGCTTCAGTCTTAATACCCCTTCAACAGCATTTACATTTGGGAATACAATGTGAATTAAAGGGTTTATTTGAGTAGTAATAATAAGAATTGCTTACACTTATATAGTGCTTTTCTGGACACTCCACTCAAAGTGCTTTACAGATAATGGGGATCCCCTCCACCACCACCACCAGTGTGCAGCCCCACCTGGTGGATGACTGCTATAAGTTTTTTGACTAGTTAATTCTCTAGCTATTAGTCAGCCCCGTTTTTTTGTCAATTTAATTCATAAAGTGTAAACATTTTGTATGCACCATAATGGCTGATAAACCCCCATGCACGATACCTTCTGCTGGATCTGAGCTCCTAACTGCCGCAGTGACTCCTGGAAGGCCTTGTTCTTGGGCTCCATCTGTGCGCACCTCTGGACATCCAAGAAGGCCTGGTCCAAACGCCCCAGCTTCTGCAGCGCCTGTGAGCGGCGGAACCGGGCTTTCACATCCCCGGGGTCGGCGTCCAGCGCTGGCCAGAGGGAAAAGACCAAGCAGGCAGCAAGTGAAGAACAGAGCTTACCCGTCAGTACAGACTAATTTGCTCTCGCAGACTCTAGGCTGGCTCAGAAATGATTGCTTTTCAGGCCTGGTCACATCAGAAGCGCCGTGTGAAAGGCTTAGTCTTCATTTTAGAAGTTGTACCTTTTGTAGCATCGGCCTCTGCCTTGGAATAGTCCTCCAGCTTGAGGTAGCAGGCTGCCCGGTTGCGGTGCAGGACAGCACTCTCTGCCTGGCTGTCACTTAGTCTAAGGGCCCTGGTGTAGCAGGACAGGGCTCCCTGGTAATCTCCATTCTTGAACAGGCTGTTCCCATCCTCCCGCAGGGCAGCAGGGTCCTGGGACACACAAAGCAGACAGCACTGCTAAAGGACACCTACAGCACAAGACTAGACAGGGCTGGGCTTCATCAACGACCTATAGATCCTTAACCCCACCATGCTGGGGTTGGCACTACAGCAGAGCTACTCCAAGCAGGATAAATGAAAGGAACGCTGCTCGTTCTCCTCCTGGAATTGGGAGATACAGCACATGCAATCAACCGAACCGTCTTTGGGAAGAGGGAGAAAATCAGGACAATCAAAGAAAACCTGTGTGATTATTTGGAGCCCATACAAACTCCCCTGTGCCACTCATTGGCCTCTACTGTTACTTCTTTAAGAATATATTAAAAAGCCATTAACCACCCCTTAAAAACAGAGGAAGAGATCACATTTCCTTCAAATGCTATAAGGACAAACTAGGAGCAAAATCTCATTTGAAATGACATCCAGAAGAGTACTCATTTGTGCAGCTGGGCAAGTTAGCAGTACACTTCGAGATACATACGTTGCTCAACGGCTCAACAGCAGTATAACTGGGATTTGGAGCTGTAACTGGCCGCTCTGGAATCCAGAGCGCAACTTCTGTTAAGGGATTATATTTGACACCAATACCAAACTACCGAATCAAGTAATGGCAATGGCCATTAGTTATTAAAGCCATTAAATATGATAATCAAAATAAAAGCTATAGATGTTGGCTCAGGCAAATTAACAGATTGATTTGGTTAGAGTCACGGCGTCACTTGAATACGTGCGAAGTCTGTAACAAGTGAACCCAGATTAGGCGTTCTACACAGCTGAGGTATTTTACACGACTGCTTCTGCACAATGTTTCCATGGTGGGTGTTTACCTAACGGAACAGCGGAGTCTACTGATGTTTGTGTAAACCGGTAAAAACCAAACCTACAGTTACGGCAAACATAATGAATGATTTACGAAGCTAGCAGGCGAGATAAGGTTGTACCTTGTCTTTGCCGTTTACACTCATTCTCTATGATCGCACAGTTTATTGCCAAGATATCTCGCTGCCTTCGCCGAGTTTCGGACAGCTCCACGCGGCGTCTCCAAAGTTCTACTACTCTATAACCGATTTTATTTCCTCATTTCATAGCGAGCTCTACAGTTTATGTGCTATATAACCAGCGAGCACAAGACAGCTATAACCTCTCTTCCTTCCTGTTCTCTGGGAGCGGCGTGATGACGTTTCTAACGAAACCCCGCCTACTTGCACGTTCCATCGCCATAGAAGGCAGCGAGAAAGAGATGCTGTCGGACAGTGGGTTTATCTGAACCATTTTGTTCTACTAGTCTGGTTCCAGTACATTCTTTTCATGAAAAAAAAAGCTTACTGAATTACCTTTCTGGAAGTTGCACTCTAGAGAGCCAACATTTGCAAAACTGTATTATGCATGGGATATTTCAGATTTTATGCAGTGTCATGCAAATTGTGTTGAAGCAGTAAATAAATATCTATATTTAATTATATTTAAAGTTCACTTACAGTATCTTTCTTTGTAAAATTCCTCAGTGTGTTAAGAATCCGGTTTGTCTGAGAGTTTACACCTTGTTAAACCATTTTAAGTCCTTTAAATCCTAAATTGGATCAAGCCCCTTTTGTCACGAAAACGTTTGGGACAGATGATGAAAGCTCGATTATAATCTCGATTAATAAACTCTTCGAACCTTTTCAGTCAGACATTTGGCTGAGATGTAGCCCAGAAACAGCCCTTGTTAAAATATGTAACGAATTTGGGTGTCTTTTAATCCTAGATGAAAGTGAAGCTTTTGATACAGCACTCTTCCGCATCACAGTAACATTCATCTTTTTCCCACTCTTCCTTGGTTTGGCTCATATTTGGAGCCAATTAGTGAAGATGTTTTAAATCTGATGTTGTCCCACTGATGTTGTCCCACTGATGTCTGATGTTGTCCCACTACTCAATATTCAGAACTGGGAACTTCACTAATGGAGTTTGTAACGAAATGTTAGGAGAGATGAAGACAGCCAAGTTCAATCAGCCTCAGCTACCAGTAATTCATAATCAATCCTGATGTCATTTCATCACCCAAGCATGATATTATCATATTACTATAATATAGGTGAGCTCCTTCTCCCCCCCCAAGTTCTGCAGGGGGCACGACCTCCTCGTCCTGTGGCCAGGAGCCTGGCCCTCTGCCAAGCGGGTTGAGCCAAATCTATTCTGGCTAAAAGAGTTAAACATTACAATACACTTAATTCTCGGCTGTTGTTATTCCTCAGGAATTTTAGCGTTGTTGATTGAAGTGCACATAAGGAGTGTCGCTTTCTTCTTTCTTATCTTTCTTCCACTTGCATAAAATTGCTCAGTTCAGACCCATGCTCTGCTGGTGTGGTGCTGATGCCTCTATTTCATCAAGCTGAAACCGTCGTATGTACTCCCACGGCGCCATATGTGCTTCAGGATGTTGAGAATTCAGAAGCTCATCTAACCAAAAGAATTCTAATTCAGCACACACTTACTATCCTGAAACTTAAGTTCTTGTAAATTTCACTGGTTTAAGGTCTTCTAACTAAAGTATGAAGCGCTGAAAGGTCTAGCTCCAGATTATTTCAAGGATTTATTGCACTAGTATAGTCCACCCCTTATTCTAAACTCTGCCTTACACCAGCTGCATTGAAGACTATCTGTCAACACATTTTAAACTCACATAACGACCCATCTTTTCACTAAAGCCTTTAATGTACAGTATTATTTACAGTATTTCGATTCTTCATCTCACAAAATTTTCTTCCACTTTCTTTTTGCTGCTGTGATATAGTGTACACGTTCTACTGTGCAGAACTGTTTACTTGAAAGGCACTCAGAAATAATCATTATGTTTTTGTTTTATTTCTACTGCAGAGGGGTTACATACAATTTTAGCTTTCCAAAAAACAGAGTATACATGACATTATAGGTAAAAATAGAGGCTAATTCCAAACTGAAATATAAAAGAAGAACGAATCAAAAACAATATTTTAGCTGTGGAGCCTTTTTTGTATAATACTCCTCTTGTGAAAGCTTGGCCAATGACTCTCTACTGAAAGTGAGTGTACCACTTCAATTCTACACACATGTCCTGATTACAGGGTTCCTAATTGAGGTCTTTAAATAAAAAATATAGAGGGATGCACTTGAATTGACTGTAAACCTGATGGCTTTGACCATCATTGAAAACACTTGAATGCATGTAATTCTGAAGTATATAATGTATATAAAAAGAAGCAGGATTAAACCTCGTCTCCTGTTTTAATTTGTCTGGTAAAAATGAAAATACAAGTGAAATATATATATATATGTTTGTTTTCACAAAATACGTCTTCTTTTACCGGTGTACCTGCATTTATATATACTGTACATAGAATGCAGCAAGGGGTGGTAATCACTCCTCTGGCCACCTCACATCATCCTCTGTCCTTTTGCTGCTCACTTCAGGGTCCAGGTGAGAAAGCTCTGTATTCTGGTTGCTGCTGAAGCCTGTGTCAGAAGCCTGGCAGATCCTGTTGCCTTGGAGACAAGGAAGACTCTGCGGGTTCCTGTGCCTATGTGGAGGAGATGGGTTCCTGTTGCCATGACAACGCTGGGGCTGGTTGCCATTAGGAGCACTGAGGCTGGTGGCCCAGTTGAGGCAGGTGAAGTAGTTTCTCAGAGCTGCCGTGACAGTGAGACCTCGCTCGCGACAGAACCACAGAAAATCCACAACCATCAGAAACACGACTAGAGCTCCATAAAGCAGAACAGCTACAAGAGAGAGCGGGCGGCTGATGGGAGAAAGAAAAAAGAGGGCAGAGAGGAACCAATTTCACATCCATTCAGTACATTTCAGTACCTACCATATAATCACAAGTAGTATATATTTATGATTAGATATGCTCAGAAATACTACATGAAATTTTGTCATTGTTATACATTTTACAATTTTAAAGAATTACAATAAAGCCTCCCATTTGTATCCCACTGAGATATTTCAATCTCTTAAAACAAATTTAAAAATAATCATTTTATTTAATAATAAAAATGATTAAATATTAAGGAAGCATAAGTTAATGTTAACAAGACAGAAATAATAACACTTTATTATGGATTAATATTTCAGTTTGAATGGATATATTTCAACATCTTCTGCTTATTACACAAAATTGCAATGTCTTCCATAAAGTATTTTACCAAATGAAGGGAAATTAATTCAGCCCCAGGAATTACATCTGTTGGTGGAATAACTCAGACAGCTTGTGAATGAATTATTGAGGAATTGTGTTATCTTCCTCTCCTAGCTCAGGCAATAACAGCATTTTGAATATATCATCTAACAGGCAGGCTTTTTCCACCATTCTATGAGTGTGACAACACAGTGCAGACACTACATTTATTATTGTTTTCATATGGATAACATGTTGCGTTGTTGCTGACTCCGATTTGTACTTGGTGCAGAACAGGATCCTGTTACACTGTTTACACTTGCACAGATTTATACTACACTATAATACATATCCAATTCTCTCCTAGAAAATACATGCTGTAATTTAAAATAAAGTAAATAATGCTGAAATTTAAAAACTGTGACTCAATTTGCTTTCTTTACAAGCAGCACGCGCTGAGGCTTGATCAGGAAGATTCTCCGTCCTTGACCAACATCAAGCAACACATAGGCTATGTTATAAAGCAGAAATAAGACACAGAGAATAAGAAGAAATGTGAGGGATGATTCAGGAACAGGTTTCTAAGCCTATGGCAGTTCAGCATCGCCACCAACCTGTGAACCATCTTTGAGGTGCTGCGCCCTGATTGGCTGACGTTCATGGTTCTCTGGAATTGTGATTGGTTGCAGCAGTCCTTGAGGGAGTGTTCTCCCCACTGACAGCAGTAAGATTGCTCTGGCGGGTCAGAAAGTCGTGGGCAGTAGAACCCTGAGTGATGAAGGCCCTGGGCGTCCCAGTATCCCTCACAGAGCATACCAGCGCTGCAGAGACACCCTGAAGAAAGAGGCATGAAAAGGTCATTAAAATCAGCAAAATAATGTGAAGAGTAAGAAGACTCAAAATAAGACAATTTGATATTGTTAAATGGTGAATTAACACAAACCGGCAATTCAGAATGAATGACATTTAAATACTGTAGCCAAAAATGTGGTTTAGCATCTCCTCCCAAACCACACAATGGCTACCGAAGTACTGGAACTATCTATCTAGCTGGGCGTAAGCAGTGTAACCAGCCTGACCAGCAACAGTGTCGCCAGAGGTCAGGCACTGAGACCCGAAACCGAACCATGGTTTGCTCTAGACATCTGACCAGATCATGTAGAATAATAAGACAGCTTGTGGAGACAACACATCTACTGTACGTAAGCATGAGTGCTTCTGAACATCTACGCCAGAAAACAGAATCTCACATCTGCACCCACCTCTCTCCAAGAGCAGCAGCAGGACATGGGTGTGAAATAGATTTGAAGACATCATATTGGAGCTCAGTCTTAGAGGTGAAATATTCTCTGCAGGCTGAGTGTAGAGCCCTTAAAATATAAAACATATGAAATAGTCCATACTGAATTCTCACATATACTATACTTGCACTTATCTAGTGTGATAATCACATAATACACATTTTAGGCATCCACCAAGTGTGTTTTTGGTTGCAGTGGTGCAGGAGAGCATACCTTTATCTCTCCTTTGAAGTTTACACCTGGTTAATTTTTACATTGCAGTTGGAGCTCTGGTGAACACTGGGAGGCTGTGTTGAAAGGAATTAAATAACATATTGTTGTAGAATTTGGATGCAGCTAACTAAACAATGCTCAGTGTTAACTGAATGAATGCAGGACAAATTAAGTTTTAATGGAAGAGCGACATTAGTGACACAAGTCATAACTGATACCTTTTGTGGCTAATAAAATACAAATTCAGAAATGCACATTTCATTAGGATTTCAGCTGGAACATAAAAGAAGAAATCCCACTGGATTCAAAGGTAAATAAAAAAGTTTTATGCAAGGAAGATTAAGGCAATGCCTTACCTACCGCAGGGCTGCTTCCTCGCTGCACTAGGGTCAGTGGAGAAGGCAGAACATACCTGTCTGCTTACAGCACACCTGACGGCAACAGAGGAGGAGACAAGTGTCTGGTTTCCACTGGGAACAGTCCCAGTCTCCTTGCCTCACTAACGCGTAGATCCTTAGAATTGTTCCCCTGAGGGGTGGCTTAAATACATAATAATAAATAACAGCATGCAAGACTCATGAAGCACCTCACTTGATCAAAATGTCTCAAGTGCTTATGGTTTACTATACCAGTGATTTCGTACTGTGTGTAAAGGTGCATTCTGAAATTATTGTGCACCTTAATGTAGGGCTATAGAATCTACCCCCTGTGCTCAGTTCCCGTAGGGCTTTGTGTCTTCTGAATTTTGTTCCAACTGGAAGAGTCAACTAAACCTCACTATATTCTACATGAGACATGTGTAGAATTTTCCTTAAGGTCTTTTGTTCTGTTGTTTACACAATCCAGTACATTTACCTCATGAAAGGTACAGCTATACTGAAAGTCTTATAGGTCACTAGTTTCTAAAACTTGACAACACTTAAGAAATGAATTGAGGTATAATCTGTTCAAAATAAGAGGACAATAATTTATTTGAAATAGACAAAATATAAGTTATATAAATTAGTATACCCGAGGGTCATCGATTCTCTCTATCCTTTTCCGTTGCACTACAGCTGAATGCTATCCCAATACCTGCTCAGTTCTGTATTTGCCCCTCAGTATCCCATAATACCACTCCAACCATGTGCCACTCAGTATCCCATAAGGCTGTGCAGTGCAACTAAGGCTGGGATTTCAAAGAGCCGGATAACGGTACGGCCGGATAAATATTCCTATTTGGAAGTGATGTGAATATTCTTATAAATTGACGCCGCTGAAAAATAATCGGGTATGTTTTCTTTTCTTTATATCTACAAATAAAACGAAGAAAACTTGCATTTTCAAAGCCTGTATATTTGCGGTCATTTTAAGCAAGTGTGTGGAGAGAGGGGAAGAAAAGGGCGAGATTAGGTAGTGTACCTTGTCGTGAAGTCAGGCTTTTGCACCGATGGAGTTGCACAGGTTTTGAAAGATTGTCATGGGGAACAAAAATTCAACTTCTATTTTACGGTACATAAAATAAGAAAAAAAGCACTCTGGTGGTTTGTGCCCGTTGTGTTTCACTGAACCCGCGATACCGAGAAAGCCTGTACCACAAGCCTGTGGGAACGACTTCAGTAGGACAGTTCGGAAAATACTCTTCGTGGTTTATACAATGCTTTATACAGACCTAAACAGACAGAAGACAACAGACACCCGGAATCTAGACACATCTCTGAGCTAGCAAGATACGCCAAATACACAAGCCGCAGCTAACATATGGTATTATGTAACACAAAGGCAAATAACAATGTGATAATAGCATTACTTGAGGTATTCCGATAATTGTCATCATTATTTAACGGATGGCCCAACAATACCAGCATACTTTCTAGTAAGTAGACGAAGCATCGGATAATTCGATTTCCTGGGTGTGTTTTAGTGAGGTTACTGAAATGTATAAAAAAACAAGACTAGGGAATCAAAGTGTCTTAAGAATATTTGTGACATTATGATTGTATTATTAAATATGCTGTGTTGAAAGACGAAGATGATGAATATTGAGGTAAATTAGGCTTCTGAAGACATCATAGGAGAAAATAACTTAAGTTCCGACAGTTCGCAGCGAAGATGAATAACACATAAGCGGCAATAAATATTTGATGTCTCTTCTGCGAGCGAAACGGCAATTTTCCCCGAAGAAAGGAAATAAATCAGTTCCTCCGCGTATGTAGGTGCCCTTGCCAGAGCCGTGCGCGGAAAGGAACACAGCCCAGTTCAGACGCTATCAAATAGGAAACGAAAGGCATCGCGTTTAGTGTCTCATAAATACAGAGCTTTGTGTCTGCGGGTGAGTGATGTGATGTGCACAACAGCTTGTCCTGTAAGTCGGATACAGGACCCTGAACAAACATCTGCTCGAGCTGCCTGACTATCAAAACCACATGAATCGGTGTAGGTCTTCATTTATGGCAGTGCTGATCAACACTGTAGCCAGCAGAGCACCAGCAAGTTCTGGAGTGAGGTGGGAGATAGGTATGGCATAAAACCACTCAAGCAAAGTCCAATAATGTGAAACGACTCTTTGTCCTGCAACCAAAAAGCATGATTGTCTGCATTGCTTAATAGTTCACTTTTGAATTTTCTCTTGTATAAGCCTGTTTGTAATTAAGGACACAAAGATGTCTTAAATGATACATGCCTATAAATAATTAAAATATATTTTATTTTGTCATACTCAGGTGTTTGGGTGGGCAAAGTGGAGAGGAGCACTGAAGTATTGAAGCCCGTCTGCTTGGCAAGCTTGGTGCTCGGTTATCGTATCCTGCTTTCAGTACCTTCCCTGACCCTGTGAGATATCATTATTTCAAAAGGGGGACACCAGCTGCTCTCGCACACCTTTATCATGATCTTCAACCTGGCATTGAAATGCTCAGAGCTGTGATTCGCGAGTGTGGGTTTCTGACACTGAGCCCCTCGTAGCAAAACCCAGGTGTCTGCTTTCTTTTCTCCCTCCTGATGGACTGCAGACACACCAGGATAAAACCTGCGGGAGGGACTGATGTGAGGCTGTGTTGGAAGAGCAGCGACTAGAAGGATGCCGCAGGATGACTGACAGGCTTGAACAGAGAAAGAGAGAGCGAGACTCCCAGAGAGACAGTGGCAATGCGGACACAGGAAAAAAAGTGCCGCACACAGCAATTTCTTTGAAAACCCCCCGTTTGCCAGCTTGTTTACTTTGAAACACAGACCTTTCTAAGCACGGAGTTCCGTTTTTTTAATATTTCTAATATCCATCTATGAGAGCCTTGATCATCTGATCTTCAGAGACCTTGAATCAACAAGGACAGATGGCTGAATAGTCAAGGTGGCTCAGTCGTGCTGCTGCATTGGAAATAAAATTCGTCCGTGTATTTGCAGGACAAACCAGGCGTCAGTAAGTCCTGGTTTTGATACAAAGTCTTCTGTGTGGAAGGCTAAGTGACACTGGCAGGCGGCAAGCTGATGAGATTAACACGCTGTTGGATTTATACACCCAGGGAAAGAAGAGCACATGCCCAGCTTCACACTTTCTTTAGGAGGATGGAGAATGAAATCCAGGTCATGGATTGCAGCTTGTAGTGTTGGTGACTAATAGATGATCAGCTTTAGTCACACTTGTATGGACAGATCCAGAGGTGCTAGTAAAAAAAAATAGTATCTTGAGTCTCATATCCACAAACGTCCTGGTAAGGGGGGAAAAAGCAGGCCCTCAGAATCTGGGGAAACAAAGTTCTTTCTGTAGATCAAAATCTTAAAAAAAACTTTACTTTTTCTAAAACTGAGCTTGTTCATGTGCAACGCAGATACAGCAGTAAGCAATCGGATCCAGCTAATTTAAAACCCCCAGTTTGGAACCCCAGCAACTTTTAGCCTCAGCTAAATAAAGCCCAGCTAACTCCCTGCCAAATCATTTTACATTCAGTCCCAGTGTGAACCTGCTGTGCTCGCTGTTACAGCTTAACCTTTTGGGCCACGTACGCGACTGGGAGTTTTGGATGGGTTTAAGGATTAGAAGGACTGCAAGCTTGGATTGGTTTAGCAGAAAGTAGGAGAGCCCACACCATGGGTCACAGACAATAGGCTGCCTGTCTCTGTCTGAAGACTGTTCTGGGTTACTTGTTTGGTTGATTAAATATGAAGACCACAGTGCTGATGCCCGGGAGTTGCTGAAGTGTGGCTGTTGCTGTCGGGCCACTTGCCAGTTTCATCTCTTCAGTCTCCTCTGCCTCCCTGTTCTGTCTTCGTTGGCTGAAAGTTTAACTCCAGCCGCAATGAGTCGGGAGTACTGCTGCTGTCAATGGTCCAACTAAGTCCACTTGTTACTGAGCCAGACAGGTATTACATCACTGTGTAGGACATCCTTGTTCAGCCGTCAAGGACAACAGGCTTTGCTGTGCCTGGCTGCCTGTTACGGACCTCGAAGGGAGGGGGTGGGGAGGGGGGGCTTTGCCGGAATTCAGCGGGCTCCTGTCAGAGCAGCTGGGCTGCATAATGAAGCTGAAGAAGCAAGTCACAGTGTGTGGTGGGGCCATCTTCTGCGTGGCTGTCTTTTCTCTCTACCTGATGCTGGATCGAGTCCAACATGACCCAGCCCGGCGGCAGGGCGTAGGAAACTTCCCCAGGGTAAGAGGGCCTGCCCGCTCCTGCGGGCACAGTAATCTCATGCATGCTGCTATTTGAGATGAAATATGCATGTCTAATAGTTGGCATTTGTTTGCTGTTTTCTGGGGCAGTGTAGTAAAGTGCCCTGCAAAGGATTAGAGTTAAAAGCATTCCCCGATAGTGTTGTAATGATGACTCATGCCATACAAACCAGGTGGTAAAGTGCCCACCCTCATTTTGATGAAGAATGTACAGGCCTAGGGGAAGAGAGAGCCATTTCAGACTTTATTTTAAATAATTTAAGGACTTTATCACATTTGGGATCATTTCAATTAAAATTTAAATAGTAATAAAACAACAGGAATCGAGGCTCAGGTGCTTAAAATTGAGCAGTGCTTATTTCTGTTTAAGAAATATGAAATTCCATTGCAGTTCATTCATTCAGAGGGGATTATGTAGGTGCTCTGCTTGTGGAATCGCAGCACCCAAACAATTTGAAGTTTATGCCCAAGGTGATTAAAATCAGAGCTAGGTCAAACTGACCCTGGCTGAGCGCTGGTTGTGTGTGGTTTCAGAGCCAGATCTCGGTGTTGCAGAACCGTATTGAGCAGCTGGAGCAGCTGTTGGAGGAGAACCACCAGATCATCAGCCACATCAAGGATTCAGTGCTGGAGCTGACGGAGACTGGAGCAGGGGCCCCTGGGGGCCAAATTCCCTTCCGCAGCCACAATGGCTCTTGGGTGGTGCCTTTTGATGGACGCCCTGCCTTCCTGTCTGTCTCACCACAGGATTGTCAGTTTGCCCTTGGGAATCAGGGGCAGAAGACGGATTTACAAGTGAGTGTTTTTTTATTTTGCAGTTTGTAGCAGAGTCATGGTAAATGTCTGTTAGTGTAAAAGGTGGCTAAGAATATAGGTGTATATATACCTGGTGTATATACTGTAGCAATCAGTGTAAGAACCAATGTGACTGCCTGCACCATTGAATTTGTTGTTTTAGCGCAGTCTGTCTCAAAAACTAATTTATTGCAGATCTACGAATAAAAGATGATCAAAATGTATTTTACATAATGGAAAGTTATTCTTGTGTTCTGGCTCTTAACTGCAAATGAGGGCTTAAGACTCATGCCGACTGCAAGGGATTTCAAGGAATTGAGTAATTCTTTTCCACAGGATGTACATGGGATGTGCGTCTCAGGATCCTTTTAGCGTATTCCAGTTGTCAAGCTATATGTAAGGGGATTCTGAAGGAAAATGACTGGTGCCCTCTCTGTTTTGCTTCCAGACGCTTGATGTGTATTCCCTGCTGAGCTTTGACAATGTAGATGGCGGAGTGTGGAAGCAGGGCTTTGAGATCACCTATGATCCCAGTGAGTGGGACAACGAGCCGCTGCAGGTGTTTGTGGTGCCGCACTCCCACAATGATCCAGGTGGGCGATGATGGAGGTTTAGCGCACTTCAGAAACGAAGACGTGACAGCATACCAGCATTTAGTCCTCTGTAGGTTTGGATAAAAGAAAAAAAACAAAGAATTCAGTTTATGGGGGAAAGGTTTTTGAGAAAGGACTTAGTTAAAAAAAAGGGATTAATATGTTTACATTCATTGCAATGTTGCTTTAGTAAATTCTGTATATTAAAATTCAATGGCTTAAAATTAACGTCATGCAAATAAAGTAAGAGAAGAATAGTACCTTGAAGAAGATGGATAGAAGTGGAAGCACATGTATTGTAGGTGCATTGCTCTTTTACAGAAAGCCCTGCCTTCTGAAAGGGAGGAGGACAGGCAAATTAATTTATGAGGAATATTGGCCACACCTGAAAAGAGTCTCATAGCAATTTTTGCAGGTCTGATCACGAAGAGCTTGTATTTCATCATTAATCAGCCCCTAGGATATACAGAATCTATCTGATTGGTGTGGACAGATCACACTTCTCCCGGCCTAAGCCTGTGTCCAGATGATTGTGTCTAGCGAGCTGTGGTCTCTCCACCATCCTGTTTCCTGGTGCTTGTGCTGGGAAACAGCAGGTTTCAACTGCCCTTCCCTGGGACCGCAAACAATCCAGGCTTCGATTTCAGCTGAGTCTTGTCATTTCTCCATTTCGCCAACAGAACTGCTGTGCCCCAGAAAAGTCCTTCCTTTTGTGTAAATGTAATGTTATATTACATTTAACAAAGGGTCACAAAGGGTTCTGGTTTATTTTTACACTAAAACTGTAAAAAGGCAGAGCTGCTGACACAGCTCTAGCCCTAGCTCTAGTGTTCAGTTCTAGACTGGGGTTCCTTTTGTGTGGAGCTTGCATGTTCTCTTTATATTTACACGGGTTGTCTCTGGTTCCCCCAAGTTTCCTATAGGAAGCTGCTGCCTATAGACGGTTTATCAATATCTATAAACAACAATTAACTTATGAATATATACAAAATCTTTTAATCCATCATCTGGAAGATGTTTACTTCCATTAATGGCTGTGCAATGCTCGTGTTCCGTCCAGGATGTAGTCTGGGTTGCACCCTGTGCTTCTGGGATGGCCTCCAGGTTGCCACAGCCATTAATGGAAGTAAACATCTTCCAGATGATGGATTAAAAGATTTTGTATATATTCATAAGTTAATCACATTAAAATTATATGTTAAATGCAGATGATGATTATTATAATAATAATAAAAATAATAATAATTGCTTACACTTATATAGCGCTTTTCTGGACACTCCACTCAAAGCACTTTACAGGTATTAGAGATCCCCTCCACCAACACCAGTGTGCAGCCCCCACCTGGATGATGTAATGGTAGCCATAGTGCTCACAGTATTCTCGGGGAGGAGAACAGAGTGATGAAGCCAATTCATAGATGGGGATTATTAGGAGGCCTTGATTGGTAAAGGCCAATGGGAAATTTGGCCAGGATGCCGGGGTTACTCCCTACTCCTTTCGAGAAACACCCTGGGATTTTTAATGACCACAGAGAGTTAGGACTATGGTTTTACGTCTCATCCAAAGGATGGCGCCTTTTTACAGTACAGTGTCCCCATCACAATACTGGGGCATTATGACCCGCAGGGTGAGCGCCCCCTACTAGCCCCTCTAACACCTCTTCCAGTAGCAACCTTCGTTTTTCCCAGGAGTCTCCCACCCAGGTACTGGCCAGACTCACACCTGCTGAGCTTCAGCGAGCTGCCAGCTGTGAGTTGCAGATGATGAGAAACTCTGTTCATATACAAGATAGATACTTTATTGATCCCGTGAGGGAAATTGCAAGGTCACCTAGTATTTACTGTAGTTGTCTGTAGTGCTGCATGGTGCTTTATCAGTGCTGTTGGCGTGCTTGGATTGGTTATTTATTTCTTGTTTGAAATAAAAGCCTGTAGTGTTGGGGGTCCCACTAGAGGTGAAGGAACAGCTGTGCTGTCAGCGCACTCAAAGCCCTGCTGTCTGATTGACAGGCTGGATTAAGACCTTTGACAAGTATTACTTCGACCAGACGCAACACATCATCAACAACATGCTGGTCAAACTGCAGGAGGACCCGCGGCGCAAGTTCATCTGGTCCGAGATCTCCTTCTTCGCCAAGTGGTGGGAGAGTGTGGACATGCAGAAACGGGAAGCTATGAGCAAGTAAGCCAAAAGAGCCACACAAAAGCTGGGAGAAGAAACTGAAAAAGAAGCAAGGTTCACTCAATGTCAGTTTCCCAATAATCCTGTTTATAATCACTGCAAACAGTGCATTCCATGAGTCTCCCTCCCTCGGTATAAAAGCCTACACTTTTTTAAATTATAAATGACAGTCTGACCTAATGCAGTCTGACAAGTTTCCAGATGTGAAGATCATTCACAGTGCTACTTGGAAGGACTTTCTAAATATTTCCCAATTCCAATAAATCCTAAACATTTAACAAACTAAGGACTCCTCATGTTTCAAGAATGATTTCTTACTCCCTTAGTATACCAATTGTGGGGTGTCTGCTGCAAGTTGAAAGACTGCGCTTGTGCCCTGGTCCTGACGGTCACTTTCTTGTGCTTCATCAGACTGATTCGGAGTGGTCAGGTGGAGATGGTGACAGGGGGCTGGGTGATGACCGATGAGGCCAATGTCCACTACTTTGCAATGATTGACCAGCTCATTGAGGGGCACCAGTGGTTGGAAAAGAACATAGGTAACGTAATCATCACAAAGTACTGTCCTCTTGAGAACTAATGCTGTGAAGTGTTTTCAGTCCTAGTAATGTGTGTGGTATGGGTCTACAACATGATGCACTCTAACAGCCCCCTACGTTTGCTCATGGTACTTTAACTCTGTGGAATTGCAGCAACATGGTAAATTTGTATTCTGTGCTGTAGGAGTTACCCCACGGTCTGGCTGGGCTGTTGACCCCTTCGGTCACAGTGCCACCATGTCTTATGTGTTGAAGAGGGCCAATCTGACCAGCATGCTCATCCAAAGGGTGCACTACTCCATCAAGAAACACTTCTCTGCCACACAGAGCCTGGAGTTCATGTGGAGGCAAGCGTGGGGTAAGCATCCATATGCCACTTGGATTCTCGGTGACCTTTGTGAAATATCAGTCTACTGTAGTTGTTTCAAAGATTTCTGACGCTAATCGTTACATTTTTCAGCAAGCAAGTGAAACTTGAAGGGGGGGAGGGGGCTAGCATCATTATTTGTACTTATCTTCTCAGCCATTCATGAAAATCTGTTGTCTATGAGTGCACATAAACTAGAGATGCTAGAGGGTGGGGTATAAAGTATTAAATTAAGTAAGAAAAAAAACTTGTTTTCCAATTCCAGATCCTGCCTCTAGTACAGATATCTTCTGCCACATGATGCCCTTCTACAGCTATGATGTGCCACACACCTGTGGCCCTGATCCCAAAATCTGCTGCCAGTTCGACTTCAAAAGGCTGCCAGGTGGGAGGGTGAACTGTCCCTGGAAAGTGCCCCCCCGTGCCATTGTCGAGGCGAATGTGGCCGAGAGGTGAGTCTGTCTCTCCTTGCACAGTTCCACGTGCTGTTCTACTCAGGTTTACATGAACCAGTATGCGGAAGTAAGATGGATTTTACAAATTTTACACCAATATTAATGACAAAATATGTGCTGTCTGGCTATCGTCCTCCCCAAATAGAGCCAAACTCCTCCTTGATCAGTACCGGAAGAAATCGAAGTTGTTCCGCAGCAAAGTGGTTCTGGTCCCACTGGGAGACGACTTCCGATATGACAAGGCACAGGAATGGGATCAGCAATACATCAACTACCAGAAGCTCTTTGACTACATGAACTCGCACCCTGAGATGCATGTGCATGTAAGAATTAGCTGGAGCCCTTTAAGCGTATGCTCTTTGTCTGTTATAAGCTCTGTTTCTTCTATGTTGTTCCCCATAAAGTTATGTGTGACATTAATTATAGATTTTTTTAAACTATGTACAGCTGTACAAAAGTCTCATTATACAGAGTCCTAATACAATGTGTAAACTCTGATTACCAGGATAAGAAATGAAGGAATGTGTCCTTGTCTTTGCATGGCTGGAAGGATGGATGGAGTCTTATTACTGTCATGATTCCGTTTTGATTTTGGATGTCTGTGTTTGCCCAGGCCCAGTTTGGGACACTGACGGACTACTTTGATGCCGTTTACACCACGAATGGTGTGGCACACGGGACCAGACCTCCTGACTACCCTGTGCTGAGTGGGGACTTCTTTGCGTATGCAGACCGAGAGGACCACTATTGGAGTGGCTTTTATACTTCCCGGCCTTTCTACAAAAACCTGGACCGTGTGCTGGAGTCCCATCTCAGGTGAGCGGCTAACAAGTTATAATCATATTCCTTACACCTGCCTCAGGGACAGTTTAATCTTTTTTAAATGCAGTAATCAGTTTATGTATGTGTTTCATCTCAGAAGCAAAATCTTTTTTTGTTAAATCAGGGTTATAAACACTTAACACCAGTTTAAACCTGAAAGCCCACCAAGTACTATTGAATTAACTTTTATTAATCAGTCTTACAGATGTATTGGATTAATGATATAATCTCGATCATTGTGCCTTCTCATGCCTTGATAGCACTTTACTGTGCGTGTCCTCCTGTCATGATGGTAATGGACTTATTTTGCAAGTCGCCCTGGGTAAGGGAGTCTCCTAAGTACATATAAATATTAACAGCACAGTGGTGAACAGTGTCAGGCCAGTGAGGTGAAGACTGGGTCTCCATACTTACAGTTGTGTTTTGTGCTGCAGGGGTGCTGAAATTCTCTTTAGTTTAGCCCTGGCTCACTCAAGGCATGCTGGCATGGAGGGTCGCTACCCCACGTCTGATTACTCTCTCCTCACTGATGCCCGCCGCAACATCGGGCTCTTCCAGCACCACGATGCCATCACTGGCACCGCCAAGGAGGTGGTTGTCATTGACTACGGTGTCAGGTAGGTTAAGCAGGTGGGGGCTCTCCAGCCCTAGAGGGGCTTAATGCAGCATGTGTCATGGCTACCCTGTACTCCACCTTAACAGGTATTTGTCTGAAACACCGAAAACATGACTGAACTAAGCTGACAAGGGTGCTTCAAATTTTTCTTTACAGTAGAGATGACCTTTTTTTTCACCATGTGTTTTATTAACATGCAAAGGTAACCAGAAAAAAAAGGAGTTGCCAGTCATCTTAGAACTTCAAGTATTACAAATATAAATGAGTATAAAGTCTGTTATGTATCATACTTTTGCATCTTTACAGAGGATATACTGCATAAAGTAATTCTCATTAAGTTCTAGAAAAAATCCACATCTCCCAGTATCTCACAAAAATTTCCTTTTGGTCTCTTGACTGAAAGAAAAATCTCTGAAACAATAACAATCCAGTTTTCTTTTGTTTGGGGAGTCTCTTTGTAACCATTTACGTTATAGCTTTCTTACTTGCTGCCAAGAATGCATTTAGCAAGTATTTATCTCTTCCTACAACCTCATCAGGGAGATTACCCAGATATAGAACTGAACAGTAGAGATGGCTCTTAAATGGTAGAAAAAGACTTATTTTCCAATTCCAGAACCTGCCTCTACTACAGATATCTTCTGGCACATGATGGCCTTCAGCAGCTAGGATGTGCCACAGCCTGATCCCAGGATCTGCTGCCAGTTCGACTTCAGGAGGCTACTGGGTGGGAAGGTGACAGTTTTTAAGCTTAAAAAATAATTAACTGAGAAATATATTTTTTATTTTCTCAGGTTACTGCGTTCCCTTGTAGGCCTAAAGAGAGTGATCATAAATGCTGCTCACTTCCTGATCCTCAGAAACAAGGATCAATATCGTTTCTACCAGACAGAGCCCTTCCTGGAAACGGTAAGTGAAAGACCCTTTTTATGGATTTTTACTGACACTGCAGTCTTCTACAGACATCAGTTATCTCAAAATCTCACAACCTTAATTGTCTCTTTTCAGGATGATAGGCGTGCAACACAAGACTCACTGCCCCAGCGCACACTCATTGAGCTGGACTCCACCCCTAGGTACAATCCCTCAATACTCCCCCACACCACAGAACAGGTCAGGTGGGGAAATAATGCATGCCGAACTTTTTCGCTCTCCATGTCCAACCACAGCACAAATGGTAGCCAAATTAAAGCGATTTTGTTGTCCTATGGAAAAGGTAAGATAAATATGGCTTTAGAACCCTGCTTTCCTAGCCATGTATCTTTTTTATAATTAAGTCTGTAACTATTCATGGAAACTATTCTGGGCTAACCGTTTCTCTTAAATACCAACTAAGGCCCCAAACCATGGAAGTGTCACATAGCCATCATAGCACTGTTTGTTCAGCTCCCTGACCTGCCTTTCCCCTCAGGTACCTGGTGGTGTTTAACCCAGTGGAGCAGGAGAGACTGTGTCTGGTGACGGTGTTGGTGAACTCGGCGCGGGTTCGGGTCTTGACTGAGGACGGGCAGACTCTTCCGGTCCAGCTGAGCGCCCAGTGGACCTCCCCCAGTGAAATGAGTCAGGACGGGTTTCAGGTGGGTGTGGTGTCAGGGTGTCACCTGTGAGGTTGGGTTTGCTCCAGCTGTCTACCAAAAATGTGTCCAAAATATTTCATGGGATTTCTTTTCCTGAAAACCATTTTGCACTCTGAGCTTGAACACTGCACCGCTTTTTCCCAACAAGAAAGCAAGAAACGCTGCCAGGTTTTTAACTTGAATCTCGAATCTTCCCAATTCTTACCAAACTACCACATCAGTCTCTTTGGCAACATCAGGCGTAGATGTTGTAGATATTTATCTGAGGTCTCAGGGTCCTTTTCCGCCTTCTTACCCTTCTGGTTGTGCGACGATGCAGGCCTCCTTTGCCACCCGTCTCCCTGCTCTGGGCCTGGCGGTGTTCCAGCTGTACGACTCCTTCGACTCCGCGCTGACCCTGCGCTCCGACACGGTGCTGCGCTTGAACGGGAGGGGGCTGACGCCCAGGGGCGTGGACCCCCTCCCGCTGCGCGTCCACGCCTCGGACCAGCACGACTTCTACATCCAGAGCCAGAACCTGCTGCTGAGCTTCTCGGGCTCCACAGGCCTGTTGGAGGTGAGAGGGAGGCAGGAGAGAAAGACAGGCTCTGGCCTAGTAGATGATGTTCAGGATCGGGCGATCGGTGTAGAGAACTGCTCTTTTATTCACGGGGCCTCTGCATTGGAATACCCCTGAATCTCCCCGAGGCCTGGCATGGCCAATGCTTCTTAAAAGACATGTTCAGCTGAATTTTCATGGATATTGTCTATACAATTTTAGTGGCAGGACACCACAATAAACCATAGTGATGCCTGTTGGTGTCATTATATTTTGGGGTGTTAATGCAGCGTGTGACTGGGTTTCTCTCTTTCCAGAGTGTGACGCGCAAGGAGGACCAGCAGGAGGTGAAGCTGCAGATGGAGTTTTGGATCTACGGCACCAGGGCATCCAAGGACAAGAGTGGGGCGTACCTCTTCCTGCCTGACGGTGAACCCAAGGTCTGCTCTCTCCACCTCCTCCCTCTCCCCCACTCACTGAAGTCTGTTTCCCTGATTCCGTCTGAAGGTGGAAATTTATTCCTTCTGGCTTCGCCCTCTCGCTCTCTCTCCAGCCCTACATGCAGAAGGAACCCCCAATAGTACGTGTGGTTGAGGGCCCGTTATTCTGCGAGGTGGTCACTTACTACCAGCACTTCCAGTTGACTGTCCGGATCCACAATTTGCCCGGTATGGCTGCACACAGTGGGTCTGTTCTCTGTCTGTGGCTTTAACAGCTTCTGACACAAGACAGCCTGCTTCCCTTCCTCTCATCAGCCTCCGTGTCCTCTCCTTCCCTCTGTGTCTGTTCCCCAGGAGTGGATGGGCTCTCTCTTGATATCACCACCTTGGTTGACATCAGGGACCAGACCAACAAGGAGCTGGCAATGCGGCTGGTCACTAACATCCAAAGCGAGAGTTTCTTTTTCACAGACCTCAATGGATTCCAGGTGAAATAAGCCTACAGCTATAGACGTGTGTGTTAAACACAAGCCTTTTTATGACTTGGAAAGCTTCTTAGATTTAAGCAATTTTATATTACAGTGCATTTAATTAGTTTACAACTTTGCTATTTAATTAGCAAAAGGTCATCCTGACTGGCTGTAGAGATCTCCTATGACTCATTTGTGTTTTTTATTCCAGTCTGTGATTTCAACCCCAAATTAATTAAAAAGAGGTATCTTTATTAATCTCCTTCTTATTGTGCTGGAAACCCAAGCCTATGTATGTGTTTAAATCCACTCACTTTCTCTCTATGTGTCCATTTGTGCAGATTCAGCCCCGGCGATACTTCAAGAAGCTCCCCTTGCAGGCCAATTTCTACCCCATGCCTACTATGGCTTACATCCAGGACAGCCAGTACCGGCTCACTTTGCACACAGCGCAGGCCCTGGGGGTGTCCAGCCTGGAGAGCGGTCAGTCTTCCTGGCTTACCTGAACACCATGGGGGAGCAGAGCTCAGCCTGCGCAGTATAAAGCTACCAATTTGCCTCGTGTCTCTTTTTCTTTCATCTGGCCACCCCTTCAATTTATTTAGAGATCGTACACTTGCAGTGACTTCGATTAGATTTAAAGCTCAGATGCCTTACTGATGAGGGTTCAGCCAAAGAGTCCACACAAACTAGGTAGCAGGTAGAGCTGCAATGCCACAAAAAGACAAGTCCCTGTCACTCTGCTTGCCTCTCTCCGTCTCCCTAGGTCAACTGGAAGTGATTCTGGACAGGCGGCTGATGCAGGATGACAATCGCGGGCTGGGCCAGGGACTGAAGGACAACAAGAGGACTGAAAACAAGTTCAGGATCCTGCTGGAGAGAAGAGTCTCTGCTAGCAAGGTACCAGAGAGGCAGGGGTATGACAAAAGAGAGGGAGTGATACTGCAAAATCTAAAATCAAGGGAAGGATGACTAGCATTAGCATGCCACTAACTAGCAAACTTCATTAAGCGAGATTTCTTAACTGAACTACCTTTTGTAACAGAATTTACAAGGTAAGTATTAGAGTTAAATGCTTGCTATCTGAATTCTTGGCAGTCTTTTTTTTTTTTTTTTTGGTATTGCAGCCGCCTGAAATGTCACATATCTCATCCCGCTCATGTTAATTCCCCTTTTCCTTCTCTTGTCATCCCTGCTTGCCCCCTCCACTCAGCATGCAGGCTTTCTTTCCACAGTCTCCTCCATGTTTCACTCTCTCATCTCCCACATCTTTGGAGGCAGCACCCAGGAGGTAACATGTCTGGGGTGAAAGGGGAGGACATGACCCTCTTCACCTTCTGTGGCGTAGCTGTAGCTGCATTTCTCTAGACGTTCAGTGCCCTTATCGGTGCTTTAGTGCTTCTGTGAGGTTGCTGGTAGCTGAGAATCTATGTGTCGGCAACAGGAAAATAAAAGAAGGTCTTGGTGCATAAGTTCTCAGGTCTGAATTTCACAGCAATGGGAAAAAAAGATTCTCTTGGCTTTGACAAGTATATTTTTTCAGAGGTGGTAGCTCTGGAACCATTCCGACAGTTGTGAAGCAAAACTGCGATGGCTTGAGGCAAAAAACAGAGACAGTAACTGATAACCGTCAAGTTAAACAGCCTGATCCAAGAATTAGAGTTGAGCAAGTTTACGTGTTAAAAAATGGCAGATGGTATTACTGGTACAGATATACTAAGAAAGTATAGGCTTTTTTGTTTTTCTTTGGCATGGTCCTATGCACATGGTTTCCTGCTTGCTCTTGACCAACCTGGTCTTCCCCTCTCTCCTAGGTGCAGGACAGCCAGCCGGTCAGCTTCCCCTCGCTGCTCAGTCACATGACATCTGTGTACTTGAATTATGGGTTCCTGGCTTTTCCAGTGTTGCCAAAAAAACGTGGTGTGCCCCCCCTGCGTTCCTTTGCTCCTCTCTCAGGGACCATGCCATGTGACTTCCACCTGCTGAACCTGCGCAACATTCAGAATCAGGTGGGTGGCCATGGCTGACCAGCCTCCCTCAAAGACACCTCCCTCTAGTCCCTTCAAGAGACAATCCAGCTTGAGAAGGAGCTTTGATGACTAAGAACAGTGACCTTTCCTCTTAAGCTGATGCACTTTCAAAAGCAAGATAGCTTGCAAGTAAATTGTTAAACAGAAGGCTGATTCTAAATTGCAGTGAGGTGAGTAACACAAGAAGTGCCACAAGTGTCTCAGTTTAACAGTTCTGTCCGCCCTTGTGGAAGGTTAATTCTTCCAGACACCGTGTTTGTGTTTGTGCAGACGTAGTGCTCCGATGCAGTGCAAGATCTAACAGCAGCTCGGTCTGTGATCTGTGTTGCTCGACAGGGCGAGCAGACCCCATCCCTCGACACTGCCCTGATCCTGCACCGGAAGGGCTTTGACTGCAGCCTGGAGGCCTGGAACCTGGGCTTCAACTGCACAACCACACAGGGCAAGGTGAGGTTGGGACGAGAGGCGGGATGCTCTGTAATTGTGTTGAAAAATGTAACTGTTCAAATTACTCTTTTTTTCAGCCTCATAAGATTCTAACTCAGTTACATTAGCCTAATCCTAATTCTAAGTTCAATTCTTTGCCTAAGCATCTTGGTACACTAATTATTTCTGTCCGAGGTCAAACCTGAGACTTACTCCATCTCTGACTTAGAGCCCAATCTTGGCCGTGTTTTAATCCTAATAATACAGTATACTGTAGACCTTAATGCATCCTTAGACCTAATCCTAATTTTTACATTAGTTCTAACCTCTCAACTTTTAAATGAATCCTAACCCAGTCACAATCTTACTCCACCCCCAAAAGTTAACTATGGTAGATCTGTGTTACTGAAGTTCTTCATTAACAGTGAATCTTTTCACAGCTCAGATCCTAGAGAGCCAGTTTTATAGTCTGAAATGGTCAATGAACAAACATCTAAATGCATGTTAACTACACCTATTTAAGCAACCGATTGGTCCAATTGAAATGAAAAGCAGAAAATAGTATGGCTCCCCAGGACCAGGAATGCAGACTCATGACAATTGAAAAAAATGTTTTACATTTTTCTTGCTCCTTAAATTGATAAAACGTTGGAGGAGTACCATGAGTTGTAGTTGTATACAGTATTCATGTTCTTAATGTAATGGACTAGACATTGCATTATTTCCGATGCCCTATTCTTAGTAGGATTGTGGTGACTGAGAACTCAATTTAAGGCTTTCTGTGTCTTTCACTGTGCAGCTGTCCCTGTCTGGCCTGTTCCAAGCCTTGGATGTGCAGTCTGTGCAGCCCATGTCTTTATCTTTAATGTACGCTGGGACTCCTCTCTCCAATGGCTCTCTGATCAAGATGGATCCCATGGAGATCTCCACCTTCAAGATAAGATTCCGCTAGCTTCTTTCGCCCACAGGGCCTGCAGCATCAAATAGAGCACACCTGATCCACTGTCTGCAGTCTGTCCTCTTGCAGTGCTGTAAAAGCCACTGAACTGGAAAAAGACTTTCATATTGCGTGTATAAATCCACGTACACACGCATATCCATTGGAACTTTCAATGTGGCTGGATTTCATTCAGGGTAAGCCTGTGCTCTTGGAAAGCATCAGTTTGTACCACTTTTTCCTGCCCTTTGTGGTGCTCACTACATTGTTATTAGGATCAGCTTGAAGCTGCACAGGACTTGCATCAAATATGAGTGTGGAACTGGGAAAAATGAGTGTGTGGAATCCAGAAGCCCTCCGGTCCATTCATGTCCAATAGACTAGGTCTCCTCTGGTCAGACTGAAAGGAACTCTATTCCCGTGAGAGGTCAGATCAGCCAGGGGCAGAGATGGAAACTTGCCATAAGTATCTGTGCCAGTCTGCACTCCTCTGAGAAACCAGTCAATGGCAATCTGTGCTTGTCTCCACTCACTAGAGCAGCAGTATTTTGCAAATCAGCTTTAAGATTCATTGAATCATATAATCTCCTTCTTAAACCCCCTAACAATGAACTACTTATAAACTGTAAAATGGTGTGCTTCATGGGGGACTTGGATTCTTGTCAGATGAACTGCTATTATTTCTGTATTCTGATTGTTAAGAATTATTTTGTACTATATCACACACATTTGCATCAGGGAGAGACTGAGATTTGATTTTCTGTTTTCCTATTGTACATAATCGGGTTTTCGGGTCGGGCAAAGCTTTGTAAAAAAAGTTTGTGCGTTCCTGAATATTATCTCAGTGCCAAAAGCTTATTGTGTTCTTATACGAGGGCATAATGGCTATGGTCTCTTTCCCTGTATGTTTTGTTGCTTGACACCTGTTGAGTCCCACAAAGTTGTTGGTGAAAGGCTATATTTAGCTGTGTGTGAGTTCTTTGCTGTAGTATATCAGGCTACTTTCAAGCCTCAAAGGTTGAAGGCTGTCAACCCCCTACAACTGTGAAGTGTTAATATCAACAACCTGCTTTCTGGCTCCTTTCTAAGCCTTGAGCCTACTATTGCACTAGTTCTGAGCTAACACGTACAGTACCACTGCACAGGCCCATGCGTGGCTAGTGGGGTTGGCGGAGTTCACTGGCACAAAGCACTCTTGGTGAATGGTCAGCCAGATTTGATCTAGGATAGTATTCACTGTATGTCTGTAATATAAAAACTGCCACTTTGTCATGTTTAACTTATTCATTTGCCATTAACATCAGATTGGCGTTGTTACACTTCATGCAGTAGAAAATCCTGCCTCATTTCGAAGCTATTAAAAAGATTGGTAAGTCATTGCTGCAGACAGGAGACAGCAGGCCTGTGGGTGTAAAAGCTGCAAGCAGGGCCCAGCATTTGTTTCGTGGTATATAGAAGGCCTGTCTGTGTTGACGGTGTCAGGCCTCTCAGCCCAAAGTGTTATCAGACATGCAGTGTTGTCACTCTGTCGGCCAGTCCTTTGGCTGTGCTGCCAGACAGCGCGTGAGAAACCTGAAACCCTGTCAGTTGCGTCCTCTACACAGACCTCTCTGCCTGGACTGCACAAGGCTTTATCTCCTTTAGTGCAGCCACTCTGCTATTAGACCATCAGTGTTCCACGCTTCGTAGTTAGACCTTTTATATGTTGTATTTGTTGTAGCTCTTGATTTAAAAATGAAAAAAATAAATGTTACAGATTTTATTTCTGTTTGACAAAGAAGTTGTCTTATCTTTTGAGTACTCGCCAAGCTGTGTGTGAAATAAGAAAATATCCATTGGTCCACTTTCCCATTTCCTATCCTGGCAAGCGACGGTCAAGAAGGATACACCCTAGACGGGACACCAGTCCATCACAGGTCAGAAACGGACATGAACGTGCACAAACACACCAGGGCTGGTTCTCCCAGAGGCCGTTTAACCTGCTGCTATGACTTTACACTGAAGCAGTAATCCAATGCAATACATGGAGAAGATAAAAAAAAAAAACTGCAGGATTTAAGGCTGACTTAGTAGTAGTAGTAATTACTATTAATTTTTGCTTTTGTAACGTGTATGTGGAAATCAGCCAGCAGTCACAAGGTGCTGTGCCTCCAGGTTGAAATGCAGCAGAGTAACAAAACCCCTGAGTGAGAGAAGTGGACTGTAAAGAAGAAAGGATTGAAAACGTGCTGGCTGTCTTGTGGCGTCAGTCATAAACAAGTCCCTAACTGAAAGTGCTGTTAGTACACAAGGTCACCGCTTTCATCTTTCCTATCAACAGTCCCACAAATACATCAAGATACAAGAACTGCAGCCCGTGATTAATATTAAGCACTTTGCTCTGCTGAAGAGTGAAACCACTTCAGAGGCCAAGGCCTCTCTGCTGCTGAGCTTTCAAGTTGTTGTGGTTCTTGCTGAGAAGAAATGGACTCGGCCACACAGCTGTAGCTTATAACCGTATCTAACAAAAGAAGAACATGAATATAAAACCACATCTGTTTTTTTTTTCCAATTTAGTTACTTCAAACGTTTGCAGCAATTAAAAAAACATTACCGTCTTACATTCAGGTTCAAACAAATGACGTTGAGCAGACTTACTGCTGTACATGCAGGGTAGAAGATCGTGGTAATCTGCTGATCAAGATGTCTACCTCAAAGCACATCGGAGTTAGCAATACTCTTCTCAGCTGTAGCTTTCCCAACAGTGGGCTTTTTAAGCACTTAGACCTGACAGCTAGTGGTCTTATGATTTCAGTACAATTATTGTACGATACATGAAGTATGAGTAATCAAGAATGTCTTAGAATTTACAGTACTGACAAACCTTAAGAAAAACAGCCAGCGACAGCATTATCTAATGTTACAGAGCTGTTCTCACCTTTACTAGCAACAGTGTAGTTCAACAGCCCCACACTTATATTTAGCCTGCTGTAGATAAATCTTTCTGCCAATATAGATACATGGTCTAAAGATCACAGATCAAAGTAATGTTCAAACAGTACACGCAGTACCTATTGCCTCATTGAGCAAATAAAATCACATTTAATTCTGAAGATAATTTAGAACTACTTTATGAAAAGCTTTCCAAGGATGGTGCTCAGACATCAAACCTTCAAGGTACCCGGTGACAGATGAGATCAGATAAAAGCGGCGCTCTGAGCTGAGCTGTGGCCTGACTCCGACGTGTGCTCTGTGGTCACCGGGTCTTGCGAAGTAGACAGCTCAGTTCCTTCTGCAGCACCTGGAAGGTGGGCCGTTTCCGTGGGTCATATTGCCAGCATTGGCACATCAGGGCATACACGTCCGCTGGGCATCCATCTGGAGCGGGCAATCTGTAGCCTGCAGGCGCAGCCCGTACAATACGAGGTGAGACATAATTCACAGTGCTGCGTTATATGAAGTGTCTGAGTAACTTCCTCATTCTACCAGTTTTACACAGCAGCTGCGAAATGTTTAGAAAAGCCGTTTTTTTTTAGGCCAGTAACCGTCATCTGTGGACCCGAAGGAGCTGCAGGGTCTCCTGTTTCTTTAATTCACTCACAGCTCTTTAGAATTGAAGCAATTACTTGCCAGCCTGCTTGAGTTAAAAAGGAACAAGTACAGTTTTATTCCATGCTGAAAAGAGAAACACAACGTTTCAGCTGTGGAGCCTTCTTCGGATGCCGAAACGCTGTGCTTCTTTTCTTCTCTTTCCAGCATGGAATAAACCTTTACTTGTTCCTTTACAGCCTTACGCATGCTGACAAGGCTACCTAGTTGAACTGACTTGAGTTAAAGATTGTTTTCAGGTTTTAATGCAGCTTATGATTTCAAGAGACCCACAAGATTACTCCCTTCTGGGACTCCTGTTTCCCATTACTTTAGTGGAGAAAAGGGTAAATACCGAAAGCTGTCTGTCCTGACTACAGTCAAGGCTGAAAGAAGTGGTGCAGATATTTTTGGATCAATCTCATGTTTCAGCGAACTGTAGCCTGGGCACTTTTTCTTCTCCAGTAGAGAATAATTTCAAGTAGAGAATTCGAAGGTTCTTCCAAAACAGAGTTAGCAAAGTCTTTCCACTACACACATTTAAAAAAAAAAAAATTTGCAATAGCAGCTTAATAAACAGCAGCAGGACAGTAGGCAACCCAGCAGCTGTCTGGGTCGTCACCTTTTTCCACTTCGTCTCGCGTCTGCTGATTTGTCATGGTGGAGTAGGGGGTGATGCCACAAGAGAAGGTCTCCCACAACAAAATTCCAAAACTCCAGACATCACTCTCGGAGGTGTAGCGCCCTGAAACACAGGCAGGGGGCAGCAGTGAGACGGACAAAGACTGGCAGAGATGAGATACCAAGGAGGAAATAATAATAATTGCTTACACTTACATAGCACTTTTTTCTGGACACTCCACTCAAAGCGCTTTACAGGTAATGGGGATCCCTTCCACCACACCATGACGGCAGCCATAGTGCGCCAGAATGCTCACCACACACCAGTTATCAGAGGGGGGAGAGCAGGGTGATGAAGCCAATTCAGAGAAAAGGATTATTAGGAGGCCCTACTCTTATCGAGAAGCACCCTGGGATTTTTAATGACTACAAAGAGTCAGGACCTCGGTTTTACATCTCATCCAAAGGACAGCGCCTGTTTACAGTATAGTGTCCCCGTCACTATACTGGGGCATTAGGACCCACATGGGCCGCAGGGTGAGCGCCCCCTAACATCACTTCCTGCAGCAACCTTAGTTTTACCAGATTGTCTCCCATCCAGTTACTGACCAGGCTCACACCTGCTGAGCTTCAGTGGGCTGCCAGTTGTGAGCTGCAGGGTGATATAGCTGCTAGCTAGCAGAGATAAGCAGATAAATAGAAATAAGAGTGGTATAAACCCCAATTTTTACAGTGACTCTTGAGCACATAAAAAAACAATCCAACATCTTCATGAGCTTAGCATCTGCTGTACCCAAGCCAATATCAAAACTGTGAATGGTGAAACTAAAAAGCCAGAAAGAGGAAAAGAGAATGGAAGAATGACACTGCTTCAGATGCCCTGCACGTTTTAAGGGCAGAAAGAGGTAGTGCGAGTGGGCTGGGAATTCGGAGAGCTGTGTGTTACCATAGTTCAGGGCTTCGGGGGCAGTCCACTTGACAGGGATCTGCTTCATCCCTCCTGTTGTAGAGTACACCCCATCCTCCTCCTCGCGAGACATCCCGAAGTCACTGATCTTCACCACGTAGTTCTCGGCCACCAGACAGTTCCGTGCGGCCAGGTCTCTGGGGAGAGGGGTGAGTTTCAGAGAGGGCAGAGAGGTTTCATGGCTGCCACTTGCAGAGAAGGCATTTAACAACAAAAAGGAAGACTGCAAGTAACTGACGTCCGCCTCACCGGTGGATGCACTTCTTGCCCTCCAGATAGGCCATGCCCGAGGCAGCGTTCTCCACCATCTTAATGAGCGTCTTTGGCTTCAAACGCTGACCCTCACTCCGCAGAAACGACAGGAAGTCTCCTCCTGCGGGCCACACAGACAGACAGGAAACCTCAGACGCAATCCTGCGGCCTAGGCAGCGCTGGGGTGCTGCCGTCCTAACTCTTCAGAAATGCAACTGGGGTAGAGTAAGAAAATAAATTCTCCCCTCAGATCCAGTCATTTTTTAAATACGTAGGTCATCGTTGGAACAATACAACTTCATGCATACGAAACAGATAAGAACAAACTGTGTTCTGTGTCTGGGGTAGAATTCTGATTTCCTGGCATGGGACGGCTGTTTTGCTTCAGTGTCATTGTTTCTTCAGGTTGTTTTTCTGATTTATTTAAATTCAAGATCAATTTTGAGCAGCCAACCAAGTTTCACGTTAAATTTCACTGGTCAAAGAATTGCTCATGTCAGGTTGCTTTATAATGATTTCTTTTTAATGACTCTGGCTTAGAATTTCCATCTGGCACATTCTGCATGTTTTGTTTTCTCAGTCAAGGTTGTCATAGTTACGATCAGAATTTTTAGCCTGCCTAAAGATTCTTGAGGGGCAAAATTTAACATGTAAAAAAAAACATTTAAAAACATCCACTATATAGAGTAAATAATTCCAATTTCTGTTTAACTCCAAAAGCTTTTCTACCAGCTGCTGATAATTCTAAAAACCTTCCCTCGTTGAGAAGGTTTGATCCCTCACCCTGGACCAGCTCCATGACAATGTAGATGGGCTGTTTCTGGGTGCACACTCCAATCAGCTTCACAATGTTGGGATGGTCATACTGCTTCAGAATCCTAGAACAAAGGTGAAAGTAGCAGTGGGCATTGCTCAGAGATTCTGTACTGCCAAGGCATAGTATATTCAAGTTTATTTTTTTAAATTATGATAAAATGTTTACATTTCACACCTTCTGGCAGTTTTCACAGAATTGAGTGCATATACAATGATGACAAGTTATTAAATAGGTCTAAACTTTTAGGGTCCTAAAACTTCCTACAGTAGAGCAAACAGGAAACAATGTTCAAACCCTAAGACCGCCACAGCCTAACAAGCATGAGAACAACTTCCTTTCTGAAGGGAAACTGCTCATCTTCTAGGGGCATACAACAGAAATAGCCCTGGTTCCTTTTTTTCTGGCTGTCAATAACAAAGTTATTTCTTTAAGCAACCAGCCTCTCCCATGGCATGCTACCTTAATATCAGATGAAGCTCATGCCCTCGCTGTGATCACGTGGATTTTTTGCAGACACTTTGGGTTTTCTCCACCCTACAAAAATGTGCTGTGAAGGTTAATTGGTGTCTCTAAATTGCTCCTGTGTGCCTCTGTGTTTGCCTTCCGATGGACCTGTATCCTCTCCAAGATAGACCCTAGGTTGCAGTGACCCTTAACAGGAATCTGTGGGTTTCTGATAACAAACTAGTCATATCAAATCAGACCCGAATTGTGGTGAAAGAAGGAGGTGACGTGCATTCCTCAACTAAGACGAAATTGAGCCCTGAACCTTGTGTAACTCCTAAAGCTTTGTCTCTGTTCCAATCTTGCGTACAACCTGGAAGCCAATGAGTTTCTGCAACATGCTGCAGTCAAAGGGCAGTAGGAGACACTGCTGTAATGTCAGGGTGCCTACGTGTCCACTGACCTAGCCTCCATCAGGAACTTGTTCTTGAGGTCCGCAGGCAGGTTCGCACGGCAGGTCTTCACCGCCACTGGGGTGTTATCAGATTGTAGGCGCCCACTGTATACCTCCCCAAAATTTCCCTGGGAGAGATGCCAGAAATTTGCTTTGAACAGAGTTCTGTGAAAGTTTGATCTAGCAATTACTATGAATGATATACAGGTTTTATCAAAGTAGTGATTGTTACAGTATTATATTTTAAAAGTATACCAAAAGGGATTGGAAAAGCAACAGTTGAACACTGGCACTAAGATGATTTATTGCATTTTGAATACCTTGTAATAAATTGTAACACAATTGCTATTTGTGGTATAATACCATTAGAATTATAGATACACTATATTGTCATTTCTAATACTCTGTATGATAATAACCAAAATGCCATATTTCTAGGTATTTTTCAAAATAGGTATTTTTTAAAACATTAACAACATCTGTTTTAAATGGTTATAAACAATGTGTAAACATTAAATTAACAGAGCGGATAATATGAAACATAAAAGTAAAATAAAATCCACAAGCTAATTCAGTACTTCATGTCTAGGGGGTGTGTGTCCTCTTTGACAAGGTACTAAGTCATACAAGGTGTTAATTTTAATGTGAGAAGCCATACCCTACCTCCCCCCTCTCCAACAGATACCCACAGACACCCACACCTTGTCTGACAAGGCACTAAGTGACAAGAAGTTAATATTTTTCACTGTGAGGTGTCCTTGCCCTGCCGCCTGCCCCTCTGTTTATGGGCTCACCCGACCAATGTGCTCCCCAAGAATGACATCATCATGGTCTAGAACCCACTTGTCCTGGAAGAGACAGACAGGCATGCACACGGACAGGGTTAATCCACAAGCTGGAACTTGTAACGTCACTGCAAAGGATGTGCATTTCCATTGTGCACTATACCGATCTTTTTAGGTTCCACTTTTAGCACAATGTTGTGCGTTGCAAATCTGGGCAAGTGTCCCAGAAAAAAGCATCTGAAGTTCATTAAAAAAATGAATCCTGAAAGACAAGTCACTTTTGACAGCTGGCACAGGTCTTAGCCTAATCAGAGCAGCTGTTTGTTTAGTGTCAAGTCATTTGCCATCCATTCATGCTTGATGCCAGAGCATCCTACCTTTCAAAAGCAACCAAGAAACCATGCCAGAGTTAAGACATTAAAGAACAAAGAACACTGTGCCAAGCCGAAATGTCACGTAGTTGGCTCCGAGCGCCAATGGCCGCTTTATTGATGTGCAGTTAATGGCTTGTGATTTACAAAGCAACTTGTTAAAAGCCTTACCCAGCAGCTATGCCAACAACTTAATGAAGGCGAGGCATATGATTGCAGACATGCTTATACTTCATGCAAACCTTGAAACCAGATTAAGTCAGTTATTCACTTTGATGCCTTCTGTTACTCAAAATGATTGCCACAAGCTTGCTGTAATTACTCCAGCAAAAAAAGAGCACACTGTGAATCTCGAGGACAGCACACTGCAATTATCATTAAAGCTCCGAGTTGTTTTTTTTTCTCGAAAGGCAAAAGGTTAAGCATAAACAGACTGATTAAAAATAAGCCTGGCAAGCTTTTCTATTTGCATTAGCATTTCATGCTGAAGTTCAGCGCTGCTGGAGAAGCTGACACGGCCCCTGTGCAGCACAGCCCAGGCGGAGAGGGTACCTTGAGGATGGGTCTCTTCAGGACTATGTCTGTCTTCTTGGTTACATGCTGTCTCGAGGTCACAATGTGATTGATCAGGAGGGGAATCGTGGGGAAACCTTCGCCATCCAGCCGGTACATATTCTGCAAAAGGGTGGAGGAATGTCAAGGCACCCTTCTAATTCACACTTTGACATCGCCTTCATTACAAGCAGCTCTTCTCCGGCCCCAGCACGACAGTGAGTGTTTGCTCATCACTGCGTCAAGAAAATGTGTGATGAGAGCATCCTGTTCTCCGCATACCAGGTCTGCTCCATTAACAGGAAGAACAAAACCATACCAGTGTCAGATCTCTTGATAACAATATTAGCACTAGCCAGAAGAAAAATCCACCCACATCCATGATAACTAGTTGTGAATCATAAAGAAGCATTAATGTCCTGAATCTAAAGGACTGCTTTTGAATTAACATGTACTGATGAAACTCCCAGCTTCCTGCTGCTGTCGCGTAAACCTATACGATCATTCCAGCACATCGATTTGACTTCCTAGCAGCGCAGACACAGGGAGCACTCTATTGTAAGAGCTACAGCCTGTTTTCCACAACAAGCACTAAAAATACTGAAACACTGTAGGTTTTTCCTGGAAAGCGTGGAGGACGTATTCCAATGCCAAGCCCAGGAAAGTCCAATGCAAATTCCAGTTTGGTGCAGAACGCGGGCCCCCCGGCGCACTCACATTGATGCTCTGGATGATGAAGTGGCGGCACTGCCCACCCCAGCACACCGAGAGCACATACTCCTGCTTGCCCTGGCTCTCCCGCACCAGATAGTCACCGTCGCACGTCAGCAGCTCCTGCACCTCCAGCCGCGGGATGGCACCGTGGTACCACCCTTGCTGGCACAGGGGCTTCTGCACCTCTGGGATAAGGGGCAGAGGAGGGGGCACCTGGCCAGAGGAGAGAAGGACAGAGGTGTAGGGAGGCAGAAAAACAGGGACCTCAGATCTGAGGGACCTGACTAATGAAGGGATCAGTTATTCCCCACATATTCAAGGAGGGAGCTGCGTCTGCATGCAAAGGAACAAGTAAAGGTTTATTCCATGCTGAAAAGAGAAGAAAACTAGCACAACACCTGAAGAAGGGTCAGGTGTGTCTTTTCTTCTCTTTTCAGCATGGAATAAACCTTTAATGCTTACCGCATATAGTAGCAAGTGAGAAGGATATAGTGCTGCCTCAATGATAAAAGTGCCTTTAACACTTTTCTTCCTGCAGACCTTCAAACACTGACTCATGACTTAGCATCTCATCAGAAGCAGTTACCTACAGCTTCTCATAACTGCTCTTCTCTGCAGAGCCCTACGCTTCACTTTCTGTCTGCTCCCCTGCAGACAGTGCTGTGTTTTTGAGCTCAATGCATGATCGGCATCAGTTCAGAGAAAAAAGGAAGAGCACTCATTGTGAAATGATGGAGAAACCCTTTTCTTTTAAGGAAGTCCACTGTGAAGACTTTGCTAGCCTGTTAGTGCAGTGCAAAGCGGCTCTTACCGTATATTTTGGTTTGAAAATGCCAGAGATGTGACTTTTGAGGATCTCCAGACTGAGGACTTTATTATTGTCTTTTTCTCGCTCCTGCAAAACAGCAAGAGACCACTTGAACATCGATAGGTAGGCACAAGCACGCATAGAACATGGAACATCATTGTGCAGCAACTGAGCAATTCAGTACAGAGAGCAAACACTTCCTCATCACATTTAGCCTTCAGCTCTGCCCTGGTTCTTGTCTGTAAGCTATTCCACAAGCACAGTTAACTAAAATCAAATATAATTTATTTTTTATATAACGAAAAGCTTTAGTTTCTTTCATTACCAGTATAGGTATAACTATATCCGTCCATCCATGGTGGTTATCCATTAACCAACAGAGGGTCAAGGAGGAGCTGGAGTGTGTCCTGGCAAGAAACAGGTGCAAGGCAGGATACACCTTGGACAGGACGCCAAGTGGCACACACAGGCACAAACACACACACAGTCACACCAGGGCCAATTTTCCCTGAAGCCTGTGGGAGGAAACCAGAGTTTCCAGAATTGAACTCCAGCGCCAAAAAACCACAATGCACCACAGTGCCACCCCTAAACACATACACGTGGGATAATACATACGAGTATTTAGAAATCCAACAGCTGTGTGAAGCCAGGAGCTCTTAAATGGTCAAGCCAGGTTGAGCCTGTTTCCAGCTGTGTGACTTAGTCCCAGGGCCACAAAGTCTTTAACAACATCTGTCTTTCTACACAAAATTAAATTGGATCCCTGAATAGGATTAATTTAATCATGGAATTATGCATTCTCATTAACCCCACATCCATTTACATATTTAAAGGAAATTGATTTTTATGACAGCTTTTGCTGAACCACATAAAAAGTTGTAATTTTTTATAAAAGTTTTAAACGTTTCTATACAAATGGAGACTATTTCAACAGTGTAGAATGCCAGCCAGCTATTTATTCACAATTCAAACACCTGCTCAATTTCCAGGGCAAGAGTCAAGTCTGTTTGTCTGTGCCAGTCTATGTTTCTGAACACATTGTGCTGAGTCATTAATCTCAAAGATAACAAACACAACCCCCCCCACTAAAAGGTGGCTCTGATGGGAAGTTGGTATGATGTCATGTTTCTATTTAAAGAGCTGTTTGTTGGTTTAAGGTTTCTGTTGAACTGATGTCTTTGTGAACCTCAGTCCAACCAGTTTAATCAGTAACCAACGTCAAAGAATAATTTCTTAAGCAAAATCTGAATATCCCTCAGCCTTAAGAATGAAAGTTCCCTTAATTAAACAAATTACTTGCTTAATCGATAAACAACTTTCTCACTGTTTCGGAAGTGGGTATTTAAGTAATCTATAAGACTAAATACATTGCAAAATTACAAGTAATTTTAGAATAACAGTTACCTACTTTCTATCTCTAAGACTATTTACTATGATTCATTTTATACTGCAAACATTAATAAAAGTTTGATATGAGATCACGTTTATAAGAAATGTCCATACTCCAGTTCCAATTCATACCATAAAGAAGATAAACAGGATTGAGGAGTTTAAGAAAACACTGACACAGCTATTAGGCAATCAACTTAAATAATTTTAAGATCCTGATACAGCCTGATAGATCTGACTAGGAAAACGCTGAGACTTTTTTCTAGCATCTTGAATAGCAGGACAATGACAGTCTCGGGTCACTGCAAGGCAGAGCTGCTTGGTTGGAAAACATATAGCACAGCACCCTATCAGCACTGTCCTGTACGACACAGGTGAGTAGCAGGAAGTCACAGTTCCCATCCAATGGGAGAGCAGAGCATACTCAGCTGAACTTCAGTGGCTGTGTGAGGGGGAAGAAAATGAAGAGACACAGGAGGACTGCAGTAAGGGCGTGGGGGCAGAATGGGGAACTGGCCTGTGATTCAGAGAAATGGGAACAGTGGAATTACATTGCTCTGAAGAACGAAGAGGAAGAGGAGCATTAGGTCATATAGTTCTACAAGGAAAGTGAAAGAGAAAGATTAGTGAGCTTTGTGAGCTGTGATATGAAGGCTGTTTTTAGTACAAGGCTGTAACTGTGGCCAGACAGAGACTTACAGCAGAGGAGACAGAGAGACGATCATCATCTAGGATGATTGCAGGGGGCTCCTGGGAACCCAGGGAGTTGATTTTCTCTGACAGGATCATCCTCTGGGCCTCTAGCCTGGCACGGTTGCCCATTGTCACAAGCAGTTGCTGACGGCTGTCTTCTAGGGCGTTACGCTTACTGAACTGGTACACCCTGCAAGAAGAACCAGGAGCCAGCTGACTACAGCAGAAGACCAGGACTAACCCGAAGATCCACTTTCTGATCGCTGGTTTTTCACCATTAAAGAAATAACCAAAAGTAAAGCAGGCTTCAAACACTTAAAGTTTAGACGAAAGGTTCTTTAGCAAATAAGACAGCGACACAAACAATTTATCATACATCAATTTATAACATACATGGAGCTCTAAATTCACCTACCCATTCAAACATATTTATGTTTCTGACTTTTTCAGCATCTCAATTACAAACGCTATAGCGTTTTTAAGAGCTGCTCACCTGTGTCCAAAGTTGGCATTCTTCTCCTCCAACTGCAGGTCCTGTTCCAGCTGGTTAACGGTGGCCTGCTGAGAGCCCAGGGAGTTGGAGATGGACATGAGCTCCTCCTCTAGAGATGTCAGCCTGAAACATAAGTAGGCAATGCACCACAGCAGAAACAATAATGTGGGACAGGCACTCAATGATGAGAACAGTGCCTGTGGACAAATGTGCTAAGAGATCTTATAGGTCACATTAAGGAGGGGATTATGGGTCTGGGGCTAATAAGGGTCTTTGGACAACCCAAAGGGAGGTCTGGGGTATGGAGTCCCTCATTGCTTATTTTCTTTGTGGGCAATAGAGAAGAGGGCCCAAATGGTTGGCTGTATTTCACGATACTGCAGATCTAGCTAGAAGTGTTGATGGTTCTGATTCACTGCAGCTGGGACTGGCCCTGCCCCTGCAGGTCGGTGTGTCTGTGTGGCTATGGCTGGGCGGCAGTGGCTGTGATGGAAAGCTTCAGTGACAGCACTATGCAGCAGTGGAAACAGCGGTGCTATGCTGAGTTCCCTAGGTGTCTACACCCCTTCACAGTGCAGTGCAGGGCTTTATGTTGCTGGCCAGGGAGGTGTGGAGGCTCACCGGTGCTGGATGCCCTCCAGTGTCAGTTCGTTCAGCTCGAGCTCTCCTGCAATCAGATTGTCTGTCTCCTCCAGGAGACTAGTGTCAAATACTACGTTGGGTGGCACCTCCACGACAGACCTGTAATGGAAACCAACTCCTGGATAAAACAAAATCTAACTGACTGAGCATGGCAGTGGCAGGATTTTGAGTCTTTTTTTAAGCATGACAAACGTTTGACTGAGGCCTTGTTTTTAAACTCAGGCCTGATATGCTCAGACACCAGCTTATGATCATAGACTGTTTGAAGTGTCAGACATCAGTGTGTGTTGGTCAGCTCAAAAACAAACCTACTGTATATGAGAACTGTGAAGTTTTTTAAATGGACGTGTTTTATTTTCATAGCAGCCAGCAGCTATATCACTCTGCAACTCACAACTGACAGCCCACTGAAGCTCAGCAGGTGTGAGCCTGGTCAGTACCTGGATGGGAGACCTCCTGGGAAAAACTAAGGCTGCTGCTGGAAGAGGTGCTAGTGGGGCCAGCAGTCTGTGTGGGTCCTAATGCCCCAGTATAGTGATGGGGACACTATACTGTAAACAGGCGCCATCCTTCGAATGAGACGTAAAACCTCATTAAAAATCATGGTCATTAAAAATCCCAGGGCATCTCTCGAAAAGAAGTAGGGGTGTAACCCTGGCATCCTGGCCAAATTTCCCATTGGCCCTTACCAATCATGGCCTCCTAATAATCTATGAATTGGCTTCATCACTCTGCTCTCCTCCCCACTGATAGCTGGTGTGTGGTGAGCGTTCTGGCGCACTATGGCTGCCGTCGCATCATCCCGGTGGGGCTGCACACTGGTGGTGGTGGAGGGGATCCCCATTACCTGTATAGCGCTTTGAGTGGAGTGTCCAGAAAAGTGCTATAGATGTGTAAATAATTAATAAATTATTATTATCATTATTTTCATCCTCCAAATTTGAAATTAGTTTGAACCTGATTAGGCTTCTTTGATCTATGATATTTTCCATTAAACATAATGTAAATATACCTTCTAAGCACGAAAGGAAAAAAGCAGTTTAAATGTTAAGCAGAATTAACAGCTACTGGCATGAAAACATCATGTTCAAAATAAAAGTATAGTTCATCACTGGATTCACTAGGGAACACTAGATGAGGTTGCGATGACATCAGTTTGGGAATGAAAGCTCAAGTCTTCCTGATGGGTTACAGATGAGCTGCAGCAGCAGGGACTGGCACTAATGAGCAGCTGATTGGAAATACCTGTTCTGCTGGATGAAGCTCTCATACTCTCTTCGGGGCTCAATGGCCACAATAGCACTGGCTATCTCACCGTGGACAGACACCACTTCTTCTTGGACTAGACTGGAGAGGTCAAAGTACTCCTGCAGGATCTCCTTCCTGAAGGAAATAGCAAGTGTCAGATCTGGCAGCACCAGGGTGCAAACCCATCACCCGCCCCCACTCGGCCCCTCACTCACAGCACCAGCACCATCTCCTCCTGGAGGGTCTGCAGGGCATTGAGCAGCGCGGGCTGGGCCTGGCTGTAATGGTGCTGGTGGTGCAGCTGTGCTGCCTTCACGGACAGCACGTATTCATTGTGCATCTCGTGCAGCTTGAGAGTCTGCTTGATATAGCGTTCCCTGGCCTTCTCCCGGTCCTTATCTGTGGACGCAAAAGCGGCACATCAGGAGGAGTCTGGAAATCACGGCTGCACGAATAGAAATGTAACAACACAGGGGCCTTTCACCCCAAAATGACTCAACGACCAGGTTACGAACTCAGACGAGACACTGAATTACAACAAGCAAAACTGCAATCAAAAAGCACGTTTGATAAGCACTCAGAAAGCTGTTATTAGCACCAGACAACACCAATAATTTCAATGATATCTAGACCTTCTTTATGAATTATTTATTCTGCGGCATTTGTTTCATTGACCTGCTTCAAGAAAGACTTGAAAGCTCCACTTAGGATACTTGATACAGCTGCATATGTCCTACCTGAGCCATGCCTCTTGCCTCGTTGGTGATTTTGGAAAGGCCATAGCAGATGCAAATACCTAAGAGCTCTGATTTACTATTAAATAAAAATTATGTTTCAAGTGAATCAAACCTGAAGGAGCTACAGCTCAAGGAAGAGAGGGAGACGGGGACTATTGCTGTGTTCCCACCAGAATGGAGTCTGTGTCAAAGGCTCCCTACCCTTGCAGGCCTCTTGGTACTTCTTCTTGGCCTGGACTGTGTCCCGCACCAGCTGTCGGTAACAGCTCTTCATTTTCTCCAGGTCAGCTTGTGTCACCTAGAAGTGGCAAAGGCCACAGAGAGATCACACTGAGACTGTGCCCGTGGGAAGTTACTCTTGTTATTGCAATGGTCTGAGCTTCTGAGATGCAGTCTGGTCTGGCTGAGGGTTTGGGGACGTGTAGTCATTGGAGGAGGAGGAATGGCGCGGAGGTGTGCACCTGTGGGGGTGCACACAGAGTGAATGATGTCATGCTTAAGTCAATGCTTGACTAATTGGGGCGGAGCGGTGGCTCTGTGGCTAAGGATCTGCGCCTGTGACTGGAAGGTTGCCTGTTCAAATCCCGCAGCCGGCAGAGGAATCCTACTCCGTTGGGCCCCTGAGCAAGGCCCTTAACCCCACCTGCTCCAGGGGCGCTGTACAATGGCTGACCCTGCGCTCTGACCCCAAGCTTCTCTCCCTGTCTGTGTCTCCATGGAGAAAAGCTGGGATATGCCAAAAGACGAATTCCTAATGCAAGAAATTGTATAGGGCTAATAAAGAAAAATTACATTACATTCTGTTAGTGAAGCTAATGTTTCTGATAGCTGTGAAAACAGAAGAGAACAGCTTCTTCATATGGGCACTGAACACTACAAACAAGAGAAAGTAGGCTGTCTGGGTGACAGGTCTATCATTCACTATATAAAGCACAGAGAAGATTGGACTAAAAATAACGTCTCAGCTCTGCAAAGCCATATCATCAAGACATAAGTGCGACTACACCTATATGTAAGCTGCTTTTGGCTTCTGTTGAGGTGCATGCAATACAACAACAATACATGCAATACACTCCGACAGCAATATTCAAATGTTTTATAATACTTAGAGCAACAATCTGGCTGAATTAAAGTGTAAATGCCTGTTATGATATTTGATTCAACTCATCCTTAAATTGAGGACAAGAATATTTTAGCAGACAGAGCAGTGTCTTCGTCTTACATTAAGCAACAGTAGTGAGAGCAGTGCCTTTTTTGCCTGTTAAAATTGGTATTCAGTATTGATACCACATACAACTGAGAGCACTAAGTCAGCAAGAGATGCCAAAGAGAGAAAAGTTCCCTTCATCGCAGCAAATAATAAACTTGTGCCCATGTAAAGTACATAAACAATTTTAAATGTATAATTGTTTCCAAATCAATACTTGAACACTATGGGATGGCATGAAGTTTTCAAGAAAGTAATTTTATAATCATTTAAACGTTTTACTTGGCAGACATCACTTCACGGCTTTATACACATCACCATACTAAATTCTTCCCTAACGTTTTTTCCCTAAAAACTTCCCTTTTCATGATACCCATTTTGTGTGCCTGTAGGGTATTCCTGCTTGGTCACCTTCTTGCTGAATTTGTAAAAAAATGTATATTCTGATAAAGTGTTCAAATTTGAATACCTTTTAAGAAATATTGTTTAAACAGTCACATACAGAAACTGCATTGAGTGCATCTGTTCATACATTCATCTTGGACTTCCTCTGAGGATTAAAGAGTGCTCGTGGGCTATTACTACCAAAGCTAACAGGTATAAGATGAACTACGTACAACAGGGTAGAGCAAAAGTAAAAGCAATAATACTAAGCTGATTTAGTTTCTTAATTTGATGTTATTCTTTTTTTTTTCAAACAAAAATGTAGTTCCATTCTTTAGAAATATTTCACAAAGGAAATGAGGTAATTCTACCTATCAATCCTGGTTAGTAGTTAATAGTCAATTGATCCCAGGATCTTGCATTTCTTTTCTTGAAGGAAACCAATGTACTGGCTTCAACTACATAGCTGGGTAGCTTGTTCCATACTCTCACAACCCTTTGGGTCAAGAATTTACAAAACAAAAAACCTTGCTGTTTAAATGTGCAAGTTACTTGTGTTGCAATAGTGTGGAATCCAAAGAGACAAGAAAAAGTGATTGAAGAGCATTATGATTGAAGTCTTACACCGCGCACTGAGTTAACTTGAACAAACAGTGTAAAAGTCTTAACGAAAACGCTGTCCCACTGCATGTAGCCAGACTTACCCGGCTCAGCTCCTGGTTCAAATTATTCCACTGCTCTCCGTAGGTCTTGCGGAGCTGCTGCTTGTCCCGAATGAGCAGGGTGAGTTTGCTGAGGGGTCCTGAGGACAGATCCTCAGAGTGCTTGCGTAGAATCCGGCTCAGGTTTTCAGTCTGATTCACCAAAGTGCTCCAGGACTGAGGAGAGAGAGGGCTGGTATGACGGAGCTTCACAATATATTAAGAAACACTGGTTAAGGTTCTCTGTGAGATACCACGCTAAAAACTGTAAGACCATGGTGACACACAGAAATAGGTGATATCTCTGTAAATATAATGAAATTTTTAACTATATATAGTTGCAAATATATTATATTACAAATTATTAACATAACACATCATACAAATTGGGAACTGATAGGAAAAAAGGTCAACACATTGCATGAGCTTGACAAAAAAGTGGGAAAATACTTTACCACAGTCCACACATTTACCACCGTCGCCTTTCATATGTGGACAAAAGCAGGCCCGGGCCACAGAAGAACCAAAACTATTTTCTGTGCGCAAAGGCAATCCCTGTCACTGCCACTGCCTGTCACTGAGGTTTTCAAGCCGGACACAGACGCCCCACCTTGTTGAGCTGGCTGATGTAGTCAAGTCCTCCGCCATGTTGGGGCCCGTCTAACTTCTCCACTGTGACCGACATCTGGTGCAGCTGTGCCGAGTACTCGCGGTCGCTCTTGGCTCTCTGCGTTATCCACTTCTTCATGACCTCCATGAGGCGCAGCTCGGAGTCCTGCAGGCGCAGCAGGGAGCTGTGGGCCTGGGCACACCACAGCTCCTCGCCAAACCCCATCGTGTCTGGGGCACAAGTCGTTTCAGCCACTGGAGAAAGTGTCTGTGCTTGCAGAGCTTATCTTGAAGTTCAACCAGCAGCTTCAGCTTTGGTACATTTGAGGAAATTATTTAAAACTTCATCATAATGCTTTATGGTCCCTGAAAGCAAAAAAAAATGTATTCTCTTTATGGCTTTATAATAGTTTTACAAACTACTCTAGTTTGTTCTTTGAAACTTAGTGAGTTTCATCTCAAACAAATAATACTTCGCACCATGTTCCTTGTCTGGTGAAAAGCTGGTGGCATTTGTAATACTAACTATGTTGCAAAACAGGGAATGCATCCAGTTTAGACATACTGTAGCAGGGCTGCAGTTTTCACAGTGCTTGACCTAATGTTCTGAGCACAAACCACAAAGTTTATCTTACAACTGTGCTTCAAACAGCAATGACACCTCAAAGAAACACTTTGGGACATTATCATATTCCCACATGAAGTCTGTTTTTACACAAGATAAACTCTTTAAAAGGGACATCTAAAATGTATATACCACCTAAAGACTAATTTCAAGCAGCAGTAAGAAAGACTCAATTCATATATGAAACCAGTGGAACTGGAGCTATTTCCTTTTTATACGGCTAAGCTACTGTAAATACTTCCTCTTATAAAAAAGACAGCTCAATTCAGCATTAAAACTCTTTAAGCATATGTTAAAACATCAGAAGCTATATAGCAATATTTAATCACCTTTTGAACTGCTGAGAGACAGAATATATCTTGGTGATAGAAAATGACGTAATGATGTAATTTGAAACTTTTAAGCAGGATGTTTCTAACTTTACTGACAAACTGATGAGTTTTGCAATTTAGGTGACAAATACTAAGTGTTGTATAAGATAATGCTCCAGTCAGATCCATCTGCCCCAAAAGTATTTTGTCCTTCATTGTTTGTTTTTACCACTTAATAATAATAAACATATTACAAATTTATAACAAGTTAGAACCTAGTTTTCTGAAGCATCTAGTTTTCTGAAGCAGTTTTAGAGAACACTCCTTAAGTACAGTATATGTTTTTTGTTGGCAAAAAATAATAATATGCAACTACAATGCATTCCTATCAAAAGGACATGTTTGAATAGATAATAATAAAAACAGAACTTTTTATCAGTATTTAGCACATTTTAAGCTAGTCAGAGAACTATACAACATTTTATCTTGGGGATAATGTTTTTCATAAAATGTTAAATATTCTGCTGCTTAAAATTAATATGTTTGTCTGGGAAAAAGTATTTTCAGCATTTATATTTCAAAGTTAATACCACATCGTTATATGTAAGTTTTGCAGTAATGGAAAATATATGTTACTTGAAATGTAGTAAAATCAAAGCCAGGCTTACTATTTAAAAACTTCAATACCCATACAAATATCTTACTAGAAGTGTGAATAAACTGAGAACATGATGCACTTCTATACCCTCCTTTTTGATGGAAAAAATACTTATCTTTTAGTTATTTTTTTCATATTAGTATTGAAATACAGATATACTGTACAGACTATGAAGAAGAGTAATGTCAATTATTTTCTAAAAGAGCAAAGGTTTCAGTTTTCCATATATTTTGCATGAGGTGGGTTATATTTTGTTTTAGAAGGATAAAATCTGGGAATTATATTCTTAGCCTCTATCACATCATTCCACCCTTGAGTGAATCATTAGTCAGGTTACATATGCAAATATATACAGACAGACACACTATGTTTGACATTCACCATGGGTCTCATTCAAACAAAGAATTCATTCTAAAATGAATAACCACAGAGGAAGCAATATTACAGCCATTGGCCTAAAGTACTGTGCATGTTGTTCAATGTGTCAGAAAATATAACAGATATTTTGTTAATGTCTGTAAACATCTAAAGGTTAAAATAATATAGAGTACAACAGGCTTGGAAAAATGTGATCAATGTTTGATTTGATTTTAAGGGAGAGAATTGTTGTGGAATACAAAATGAAATTTCTAACTTTACATTTGCTGTGTATATTTCAGCATGATAAAGCTGGATGCACTAAAGACACCATCCTTCAAAAGGTTTTGCCCAGCAGTCATTTGAAGAAACGCACTTTATTAACAATCAAAGGGCAGGCAGGGAACATAATATGAAATGTACTCCTGTGTTGCTGTGAGAGGCCTGCTCTTTCTCTTGCACTCTGTAGTGGCTTAGACAGAGATCTGATCTCACATATATTGCATCTTTGCATATTTATCTGACACTGTCTGCCAGCACTGTCTTGCAAAACACACCAGTGTCCCAACTGCTTTCCAACTTTAAATACCAGTAAACCACCAGAAAATAACACTGCTCCTGTAATCCAGAAATGACTTTGCCCCATTTACAGCAGAGCACTGAATGGTGAAATGGTAAAAGTGACAGTTATCATAAGCAGTTGTGCTGACCAGCATCTTGTGAGCATCTATGACACCAGCATTTCAATGCCATAAGTAATATATAGTCATTTCAGCCTTAGACATTTGCTTTCTATTTAACATTGTCCGAAAAAGCTCCTTTAAAAAAGAGCCCGCTTTAAGTAATGATACCAATTTAAGTATTAGGTTTGGGGCTGCAGTCAAAAATAAAGTTAAAGAGCTATATTTTACTCCTGCAGATTAGTAGCATATCTTGTTCAGATATTAAAATCTGAAGGGCCTTGCTCAGCGGGCCAACAGAGTAGGGATTTAATCAGTATTTGACTGACATAAATTCAAGTTAAAAAAAAAGAAAAAGCTCAGATATGACTTCATAACACAGAACCATCCCCCAAAGGAAAATTCCATTTAGCTTGAATATGGGCTGGTTTTAGAAATGTACCCAGAAGATAATGAATAAGCAGCCATTATAGAAAATATATGTCTTCCACACTAAAGCCATTATATATCAAGGAAACCGGTTTAACAATATCTCTGCTAGCAGATCTCTTTGCTTTTAGAACAAACACCGAAGATGGACGCTCACAGCTCTTGAATGTCCAGAAGGTTCTGTAGAGAACCCTTGAATTTCAGGAGAAATCGAACATTTTTCACCGTTACTGCTCTGTAAAGGGGATAATTCAGGGATCGTTTGGAATGAATAAATCCACCCCCACCCGAACTGAATAAATAACTTGCTAACAAATATTTACAATCGGTGGTTCAAGGGATCAGGACTGCCCTCTTCCCTGTAAAGGAGATGTGTTAAGAACTCAAATAAAAACTGCATGTACAGTAAGAACGGACATTCACGGCAGGTGTTTCCCACATTTTTAAAAAACTCCAACCCCAAACCAAAATCCAACGAAAAAAAAAAAACGCAATAGACTTTCTGCGCTGCACATGGCGCACGAAGCAACACTTGTTGATGGTGGTCTTATTAAGTAATTGTTAATATCCTTACCCGGGTCAGAGGAAATTCACAAGGTATGTACAGAGACAGCGTGAGCCACAGGGGTCGAGACTTCTGTAAAACACCTCTCCATATCCAAGTTACAAACTTCAGCGTTTCGGGAATTCAACGTCTTAGTAGCTGTCGTGTCTGTAGCTAGATATGACTAATACGACGTCCCTAAATTGCGATGACTTTCGCTGACTTTGACACTTTCTTGCTGGACATAAAAATAAAACTCTCTGGCAGCTTGTTTGTAGTTAGCTGTGTTCTTGCAAGAAACTTGTCTCTTCAAGTCCACTGGGTGTTAGACCGAAAATGCCTATCGACCTTTCGCTCAGCGCAGTTCTCTATTTCCTTCCTGTAGGAATTTGCAAACAAGCGACATGAGCTGCTCTTAACCCTTCAGGGCTTAAAGCCATACCTTCCAAAAGGACCCTGAAGACAAAACCTGTTGAAAGGGAGTCCTGTCAATTACAGTGAAGCTGTGAATGTCAAAGATCAGGAAGAGTGGTCTGTACAGAAGTGGACGCCTATATCTGTGGGGGGAACTAGACATCCAAATTAAGAATTTGTGTAAGTTTCCCAAGTTGAACTGACAGCATGGGAGTTACAGACTCGCTTTGTGCTTTTCTGTTTGCGTCTTCGGTGCACAGATACAGGTACGCACATTTTCAGCCTGAGCAATTTCAGAAAAAAACACTCAAGGAAAGGCGTCGCGGCGTCTTGCGCACCTTGATGATCTCCATTCTTTTTAGAAGGTTTGGATTTTTCAGGCACAAGTTCCACTTTTGGGGACCGTTCCAGAAAGGAGAGCATACACAATAGGTCTGTACGGCTGGACGGCAGGGTACTGAATAGCACGTCCCATGTTTGGAAACGAGGTGATCCGGTGCCACGAGTTGAATAGATTTGGGGAGGGAGATACTGCTCATAACCGCCACCGTTCATGAACACCTTGCTATACCTGAAAGAGCCGGACGATTTCCTTTTGACAGTTCTCACTGATGGCAGGGTATCACGACAGCAATCACTGAAATAACTGACAAAATCCTTGCAAATAAGGTTCACGTTTTCCACAGATTGCGTTAGCGCAGTCGGTAAAAGAAAGGAAAATGCAGCGAATCACAACATCCCCGTTAAAAGGCCTATTTAAGGTTTTTGCCACATGACGTACAGTACGACACTTTTGTTTAAAGCCCACACCTTAAATACCTGATGTACTTTGACACACTCTCCTGAATTCCACGCCTAAATGTGGCTTGTTTACTGAAGCGAAATAATAGACAATGAAACTGGTGCTTCGTCAACCATGCCACCAAAAGACAGTGTAGTGGCCCACGAATCAATAGCTACTGTAGTTCTCTAAATGTAGCGCCAAGTAGCTGCAAAAAAAAGAGGAACCGGAGGTTATACTCGGTGCAGCTGTGTAAAAAACTTAAGAATACGCACTTTGAATTTCTACGTTTAATTCAATATTTAATAAACCAGACAATATTCCCTGTCCAAATATAGCATTGTAATAAGCGTTACAGTATGTTGCACACCTCTTGTGAGTACTATTTAGGTGGAGTTAAGAAGACGTCTTGCAAGAGAAACCAAGGTTATGCTGTACTTGAAGACCAGGGTTCTTTCTGTAACGGTTCTGATGCTTTTTTTAACTTAAAGAATAAATATTACTTTCAGAGCCGATGCGGTCAGAAAATCTTTCACGATGTTAAAAAAAACCATGTATGCAAACCATTGCAAAAATTAGGCGTCCACATTAATTACAGTTTCCGTAGAACAGCGTTCAGCGTCTGTAATATTAATTTACCACATAACCAGAGTTCGTCGTCACATTGGACAGCAGTGAACTCACGAGAAAAAACACAGTATGTAGTAAGTATAATATACAGACGTTTTTAAAAATGTCCACTCCAGCTTTGTAAAATTTTACGTTTGAGACGGTCGTTGTCATAATTAAACGCACTTCATAATCTCTGACTTTGTCAACAGGACTTTTCTTTTGTTGCTGTGCATGATAGAATCCTTGTGTTCATTTCATTAATACCTCTCATGATTCCAATCTTTTTTTAGAACACTTAAAAGCACTGACTTATGGTGAAAAAAATTACTCATCTTCATCCTGGACATCAACTCAAGGCTGCATAATATTGGAGCAATAGTTGTAAACTCCCATCCAGAAGAATGGATGATACGAACTGTATACACCCCTAGCAAAATACTTTCCTTGGAGATGTCCCATCCCAGTAGTGATCAGGTCCAGCCATACCCTCAGAGATCTGATGACATCACATTACAAGGTGGCGATATTCATCCAGGACTAACAAATGCCAACTGCCATCACAGTTGCTTCATTGGCCTATTAATAGAATTGATCAGACTTTGGGCTCGTAAAAAAAGTTGTAGTCTGAGTTTGGTATGAAGATTTACTAGCAAGCCTAAAACCCCTGCTTGAAGCAGAGTAGAAAACAGAGAAAGATCCTAACAGAAAGTCATCAGTTATACCTGGGATTCTGTACCTCAGTTGGAACAGAGACGACAGAGATGGACTTGGATAAGAAAGACCCACATTAGGATTGCAGCATTACATTTATTTTTTGTAAAGAGGAAGAGATACCAGAAGCACCGGGCAAATTTAATATATAAAAAAGATAGGAGTTTTACTGAAACCTAAATGTCTTTTGAAACCATACTATTACCAATCATTTAGAAGTTGAAATTAAATGTTCAAATATTGTGAACGACCACAATTGACTCAGTGGAGATCCTGACCACCGAGTCTTTAAAAACCCCATGGCAATGTTCATAAAGGGAACCTAATCCTATTGCCTGGCGAAGCTTCACTCTGAGTTTTCACAATCTAACTTGATAAAAGTTCTTAATTGAGTCTGTGAAGCTCTGTTTCACTTCTCTACCCGATCAGCTGCTGCCTTATAATGACTACTGTGTGGCATGCAGGTGGTATTATACACTTCTGTGCTGGATAAACAGCAATGTAATCTGCAATTACAGGCTAGAGAAGATCTTTCATCACAGCCCCAAAAAAGAAATGATTCCTAAATTAAAGAATAGTCTACTTTTGCCAGCAGCCATATCACCCTGCAACTCACAACTGGCTGTCCACTGAAGCTCAGCAGGTGTGAGCCTGGTCAGTACCTGGAATAGGAGACACCCTGGAAAAAACTAAGGTTGCTGTTGGAAGAGGTGCTCGTGGGGCCAGTAGGGGGCGCTCACCCTGCTGTCCATGTGGGTCCTAATGCCCCATTATAGTGATGGGGAAACTAGACTGTAAAAATATGCCGTCCTTCGGATGAGACGTAAAACCGAGGTCCTGACTGTGTGGTCATTAAAAATCCCAGGGTGTTTCTCGACAAGAGTAGGGGTGTAACCTGGCCAAATTTCCCATTGGCCCCTACCAATCATGGCCTCCTAATAATCCCCATCTATGAATTGGCTTCATCCCTCTGCTCTCATCCCCACTGATAGCTGATGTGTAGTGAGCTTACTGGCGCACTATGGCTGCTGTCGCATCATCCAGGTGGGGCTGCACACTTGGGAGGGGATCCCCATTACCTGTACAGCACTTTGAGTGGAGTGTCCAGAAAAGTGCTATATAAGTGTAAGCAATTAATTACTTTAAGGTGCATGGGAATGCAAATAAATTTCTCCATACCAGTGTTTGTTTAGATGGAAGAGAATAGTTATACTACAAATCACTTATAAGACTGTAATACACAGTGGGGCCATTAAATAACGTAGACAAACATCTCTGATATTTTCTGGGTGGGAAAAAAGCATAATGAGCGGAGCAGACGGCGCGCGGAGCAAGCTGAGAACGCTGCCATTATATTTCGAGAACAGAAACACAAAAAGCATTCCTCTGGGGCTGGGTTAGCGAGGTAAGACAACGGTTTTCAAAGCTATCAATACGGAGACCAGAGACCTCAACCATAATTACCTCGCGCTCTTTATTACTTGTATATTTTTAAAAATCAATGTTGTATCAAATTTGATTTGAATTATGAAAACCTAAAAAGATCAATTGTGACACTTATCAAAGCATATTAGACAGATTGCAGTTTCTGACTCAAAGCCAATGTTAAAGGACAAGAGAATCAAAGCAGTGAAGGATGAAAAACATATTTCAAAACATCGCGTTCTGTCTGCAACTAATTGAGAAAGTTGCAGAGGTTCAGAGTACACGGTATGCCATGCTCTTAATTTCAGTTAACATACAGAGAACTGTGAAGAACAGGAACCGCAGCCACAATTTACACTTTGTAACTTAATCTGCAGAACTCTGCATTTACCCGTTTCATCTGTTCCACTATTAGGTTTAATTGTGGTAGTTTGGCAATTGCTCCACATAATGCACCACATTGATCTAAGGTAGGAGAGGAATCCACATTTTACGTATAATAGAACCTTAAAATGGGTGATGGGGCTTCCAAAAAAAATCCATGCCTTTCCCATAAATATCTGTGGCAGGACTACAGATTGCAACTGAGCCACAAATATTACTTATCTTTATACAGTTCAGGCATCATTAACTCTGTATTACTCTTTATAATAGACACACAAGATAGTCTGTTAGACCACTTAGGCTGCAGGTTCTGAAGAGTGTTGCAAATTGATTGATGCAACTGCCTACAGTGCCCCCTAGTGGATAGAGCTGGCTGTTACCGTTTATTGTACGGTATTGATATGTTTGGATTGGCCCCAACGTCTGGATACCAAAGTTTCTCTGATCTTTTACCAAATAAAACAAAAGATGACAAGACATTTAGTTTGCATAGATTTTTTTAATATTTTGAATTTTTACTTAGAATCTATTTTATCAGTATATTGACATCAATTAAATAAAAAGGAAACAGGCAAAATAACTTTTAAATTACAAGAAAATGACTGTGCACCATTGATAGTACAAAAATAGGCCTTGTTTTAAATTCTTTTTCTCCATCCCAGGCAGTCACACACGATCGTATTCATATAAATCACCATCGCTAATGTAGGGCAACCAAGAGAGGCTGCCAACCTCACCGGGAGAGACGGAAGAGATGGGGGGTTCCTAAGGGCTCGCGGAGTGAAGCCCATGGAGGTCCGACAGGCTCAGGTGCCCACAGGGCTTACAGGCCCCGCAACAGACAAGCAGCTTCTTCCAGACGGCAGCGGGGCACTCCGGCCCTCGGCTTACAGGGGGTTCCCCGTGTCCATGAGGGGGAAACCTCCAAGCACACCACACCCCTCAAGGATTGTCACGGGGCATCCACACACCGCAAACCAACGCCCCTCATTACGAGGGCATTCGCTTTGCTGTATTGAGCACAGCAGCAGGTGCCCACTGGTTTACTCATCACCCCCCTGAGCGTGAGGGCAGTATCCTACCCTTCCTTTTTTATAAGCATTCACATAAAAAAAAGAGAAAATGCATACATTCCAAGAAGCAGGGGGAAAAAATACATTTTCCATCCTTTTCTCCTTATTTTGCCAACTCCATCACACACGTTTCCACAATGACAAGAGATTACAGACTGACAGGCCGGGGATCATCACCAAAAAAAGTTATATACTTAAAACAAAGTACATAGTCTTTGGTAATTCTCTCTAAGCTGCATATGACGGGTTCACCCTTTCCTTTCATTCCCTGCTGTGAAAACTGACTACAAGCAACACTGCAGAGGATATGTGACTTTACAGCTGTCCAGCCGTGTGGACTTTGCATATAAGCAAAAGAAAGTTCAATACTCAAAAACAGCAGGAAAGATTAAGCCCCACCACCACCAAACACGCTTTAAAGAGCACATTTGCACACAGTAGAAGGTGCCAATAAGAGTTAGAATGCATTGGTACCAACAGCAGATGGAGCTCCATGCTCAGAGCTTGAACAGTTGATACATTTTCAAGAATTGTAGTTAATGCTTCCATGTCAGAAAAAAAATAAAGATGTTTGTGTTGCTCATCATTCAAAGTTGACATTCCTCACTCCCTTCTATCACTTTATCTTCCAGAGTCCTCTAATCAATGATAAACTCTGATTAAGGACATTCAGGTAGCATGTTTAAATGGAGATTGTAGTTTTGCTTTAAGCCTGAATTTGATTACAATTTGCAGCAATCCCACCTCTCTCCCAAGCCTTTATTGTAGACCAGGAATCACCACATCTTCCATTCCAGGCTTGGACTGCCTACAGCATGCAAGAGACCTCTCAAAAAATAACAGAAGAGATGAGAGTTCAGTGCTGCAGCATGGAATAGATACAGGTCAAAGTGCTTCACATCTGATGTATAGAAGAGGATCCAAGCTCATAAGGAAACGCTCTTATCAGAAGAGGAAAAAACCTCTCACACATTTCCATAGATGTCCCTCAGCGCAGTTAAGAAAAATACCTTAAAAAGCAGCGAAGCATTAATAACCATAGCTGCCAACTGCATAGTACATATTTTAAAGTCACCTTCTTTGAAGCTGACTAGACAGCATGTGTAAATGTTGCCAGAGATCTCATTTGTTCTTGTTAGTTTGCTTGTTAATGCCAAGGGCAGCTCTGTAAAGCCAGCATTATCATTCTATATAAAATAATTTATGCTCTTAAAAGTTGTATCAACAATATAAAAGAGGATAAAATCTACATGTAGCAAGCCTTCATCCAGAGCCACAGGGACACGCCCACATTAACAAGGGGTTCCATTTATTGCACACACAAAACGCTCCATTTCAAGGTAAAATGAAAATGGTTGTGCTTTGGCCACCCAGCTGAATTGAAAGATCCATGAAAGATCATTAGGAAAAAGCAGACTAGCATTGGTCACAGAGCATGGCATAAAATGTAGCTTAAAGATTGTCTTGGAAGCATTATTGTAATTGTTCTGTAGTGCATGAAATCCAGCCTATTAGAGAGAGTCCTCCATTACTGCCAAGCTTAGGAGAAGTCTATTGGAGCCCTTTAACAGGATTCACAAGTTACACCTTCAGCTGCTACTCCCACCATTCCCCTTCATCTGAAATATTGCACGTGCATGCACATTCAAAACCATTTTGGTTAATTAATCCTCACCTCAAGTGGCCATTCAAATTTACAGACCATGACAAATCAGGCATTGCAGTGGTGATGGGGGAGGTGCACCTGTATTGGACAATACGGCTTTAACCTTTGTAATGTGCCAGTGATTACAATAACTGAGCTCCAACTGAGGGATCTAGCACATTATACGGGTTGCAGCAGACATGTTTACTGAGCTGCACGTCAGGGAACAGTAGAGCTGACAACTGTCAGTGCAAGAAGTGATGTTAGATACCACTGCAATGTAATCTCAAATCTGTCGGTCACTGGGGAAGCAAAAGAAAATAATTTAAAATGCAGCGGGGATGTTTCCTGGCCCTTAGCTCAAAACCAAGGAATAGTACAGACTGAATTTCTCTAGCTGCTGCTCAATTCTGGTACCAGCACTCAACATGCCCCTGGATGGGTGCGTGAAAAATCGCAGTTTGTGCAAACATGACAATGTGATGCCAATGCCATTGCTTTAGAAAGCAACAGAAAAGCACAAAAGGGCTTTACAGCAGTAAACTGAAAAGGGTGGATGTTAACACTATTACTATTGTATGAGGGAGCTTACAGACACTTGCAAGTGCTCATGAAGAGGCAACAGCTCTAAATTCCACTATTGTTGTTTTTATTCCATGAACAGGATGAGTGCTTTCATTTTTTACCCAATGCATCTGAGCTGGGATCCTATTCTTAGCCTGCATTCCAAAACCAAGGGAAGCTCCTATCCCATTAGGAAAAGACATACCTCTTTCCAGAACAAACGCAGAGGAGGAAGAGTTGAGCTGCATAAACTAGGATTAGGTGTGCAGCTCTAAGCCTCATCTTTGCTAACTCATCTGCTGGTGCCCTGCAGCTCCAACAGCTTAAGCTGAAATCACAGAACGGGCAAGTGTTTCCTGTGCATCACGAGTTCACCTCTCCATGGTACTAGCACCAGAGCAGCTCCATGGAGAGGGGAAAACAAAACAACCAGAGGAGGGAAAAACACCCAAGAATAACTTACATTTATTTTGAAACGTGTAACAGATTGCGAAACTGGGAACTTTAACATCTTCCAGGCCATCTCTCCCAAACCCATTAATACCCAAGACCCCAGATGTGAGAAGTATGGGAGGAGATGGAAATCCTCTCCCTGCCTGAGAGACCTCCCCCACCCCTCTCCTACCCCGAGCCCGCTGCGATCTGGGCTAACTCTCCATGTCCTCATCCTCACCGTGCGTCTCCTCCAGCCGGACAAGACCGGAAACCTCCATCAGACCAACGGGGAACAAAAAAAGAACACCACGTAGAATAACAGAAGAGGAAGAAAATCAATAAACATCTCCCAAAACTCCAGAGAGAACAGAAAAGTCCATTGAAAAGTAAGGGTCTTAAAGGGAGAGAGGGTGAGGCGGCACAAGAAACAGGGTGGCAGAGGGGGTTAAAGAGCACTTTGCGTTTTGATGAAGGCAGTCCTCTCGTTGTGGGCATCAAACTCCTCGTTTTCCGACTCGGAGTTACAGCCGTCCTCCCTCCACACCGAGGGTATTCCCTTGTAGGAGACCACCCTCCCCCGGCCAATGCCAAAGCCCACCCGGATGCCCCCCCCTGACTCCAGGGAGTGCAGTTTGGTCTGCCCGCCACAGGGGGCACTGTCCGAGCGCAGCTGCAGCAGCACGAAGACCCCCACGAACGTGGCCACGATGAAGGCACAGCTGAGCACCGCCATGGTGACGGGCAGGTTGGAGGACAGCTCCGGGCTCAGGAGACCCCTGCTGTCGCCAAGGCGGGCCAGGCCAGGGGACTCGCGCTGGATCTGGTTCTGGTGCAGACAGACGTGGGAGAACGAGTCCAGGTGGTTGTGAGGGGGGCAGGAGAGGCAGTCAGTGGGGAGCTGGCCCACACAGGTCAGGCAGGAGGGGTGGCAGGGCAGGCAGGCCTCAACAGAGGAGAGCTGCACCCAGTTCTCCAGGGAGACGTCCAGCTGTTTGGTTCCGGGAGTGAAGCCTGGTGGGCAGTCTGTCACGCAGCCCTGCTGGTACAGGTAGAGCCCAGGACTACACTCTGCAGAGACAGAAACACACACAGGAGAATGACTGCAGAGGGACCACTAGAGTCAGAGACAACTTCCCAGACAAGAGAGCAACAGGGAGTCAAGTGTGAGAGTGAGGGAGGAGTGACAGGAATGGGAGTGGAAGAGTTCCCAATTGGTCCAAATGCAAAAACACAGCACATCCGTTGTGTTGATTAACGAAGCTTAACTTAAAATACTGACATGAAGCGTATCTCTTCACTACCACCTCGGGCATTCCCCAGTGAGCAGAGCTCAACCTTTCTGGGCTACATGTGCAAACCCCATGTATAAGTGAGCCTTTAGTGCTGATGTTACACTGCTGTAAACACCTCACTGTTTTAATTAAAGAATGAAGAAGGTATTCTGTAACTGATGGTACACATAAGAGACAAGGCAGAGCCCATTTGTAAGAGTAAAAGATAAGAGAAAACACAAAACCTCCCCCGTCAGGGAAGAAAATAAGTGTAATGAGGCTCTTTAGACTAATTGCTAATTTAAGGAAAAGTTTTAACTTGCCTCAAATTTACAGAATGTTTATTAAACCAAAGATATTACCCATAAACAATGAAGTGGTTATAAAATGTAAGTTTCAATATCAATACAATGGCACAGAAGTTAAGAATTTGTATTTCTTTCCATCAGTTTGAAGCTTTTTTTTAAATAATGCTTTACTGCTCCATCAGTTCATTCTGTTTAACATGTTTTATATTATTAATTCATTTACTATACTTCTCATTCCAGAAAAAGACCAATTACACTGCGGCAAACATCTTTTCACGATACTGTAGCACAATGAAATGAAAAACAAAATTGGGGTTCACCTGGGGACAGCGAGTGGAGAAAACCAGGGGTAAGTCTACCGAGACCTTCCAGCTCAACTTCCAATATACTCTCCCCCTCTCAGGTCTATAAATCACCAGGGCTGTAATATTCAAGGTCAAAGGCTTCTGTCTCAAGCCAGAGAGCGAGGCTGGAGGTACTTGGTCCTGCCTGTGGGAGAGTCTGGCAGGCTAACAGGAGCCTGTGTAAGGTCACAAGACGACAACCTTCTACTGCTCCCTTCAAAACGGGAATAATTAACAGCCCCCCATTTTCACATCTCCGCATGGATCGTTTTATTAAGTACACTTTTTACAAGCTGTAAGCGATCGACTGAGATGAGGTGAGTAGAGGCGAGAGCAAAAAGGTGGGATCTGAGCTTTCATTTGTATTCCTACCCTAAGGAAGGCAGTGCACCGCAGTGTCAGCCAATGTACCAGTTTAATGAGGAAAAAATGATTTTTTAAGTTAGATTATCACAAATATTACCACACTTCAATACATGGAGAGAAGTGCATGATCATCTCTTGCAAAATTAATACCTTCGGGGACAAAGATTAGAAATGAAAACATCTCTTTATAATTGCCCATTCTGACTGAATTTCCAATGACTAAGATGTTCAATTTTTTTTAGAGCCAACAGCATATTAATACAATAAACTGTATACACAGGCAGTGGAGTGCGGTAGGAGTGCTTTAATAAGCTTTGCTGATTGCAGAGCGATGCTGATGCAATGCTACATTATTGCTTTAAGACATCCACTGCCTAAGGAGACCTGGCAATTATTTTTTTTATTTATGCATTTTGCAACCGTGGAGCACCAAGTCAATTAAAATAATATCGACTACACCCGCTTCTTGTATTAGCATTATCACTGCAAACCTATTTATCTTTTATTGCAGCTGACATCCTTATAGATTTCATTTTTTATTACAGAGAATAACTGAATTTATTAGTTTTGTTGTAGCTCAAATTAAAAGGACCTCCTGACCCAGCATCCAACTCTTTTTTCTCCTCTCAGAAGAAATTGTCTAGACACTGCATTTTACTCTGGACCTCCCAATTCAAAACTGTTTTGTTTGCAGCATTTTGAGAAAGGTTCCTGCCACAAAATGGTTGTTGCACTCAGCTCCTTGCTCACAGCAGACAGAGGAAAGCAGGCCAGTGAGCCTGTTCAGCCCCAGGAGCTCAGTGTACAATAAGGACAAGGGAGTCACCAGGGCTCAAACAATGGCTCTTCATCAGCACCGCCGAATGGCTCACACCACACTCCAGCTCGGCATCCATCAATTGTTCAACAGCAGGACAGAAATAACCACATCCCTTCAGCGAAGGGCGTGCACTGGAAATGGAGTGGTCCTAGAAATACGCATTTTGCTCCAGCAGTGCTGAAAATACCTGGAAAGGCATTTTACACGGCAAATGCAGACTCGGTTTAAGGATTTACGACTATTTCTGTAAAAGAGGTATGGAGGAAAAAATAATTTTGGTCACGGTCTTTAACAGGGTAATAAATCTGATTATTCCCCAAGAGAGCTGTATATTAGAGGCAGTAATTGCACTACAGACGCAGTGAAATAAAAGACAGGTGGAGGTCACGGTAGGATTGATTTGAGCTCCTACTGTAGTAGATGTTTTTCTCCTATAGAGAGGAACGCAGTGGTGAAGAGTAGGGAAAGGGGAGGAGGGACAGTGACAGCTCCCTATCTCCTGTGGAGTGGCAGGGCCCAGCAGAGCTCCTACGACATGCGTCGTTGCTAATAAAAGCTGCCACTCATGGAGATGGGCCCAGCAGCTCGTCTCCGGCACTGAATTATTAATCCAATTTTAAACCAATTTTAAGACGCTACCGACGCCATCGACTCTGACCAGTTCTCACAAGGCTGCAGTCTGTAACATTTTGGGGCATTTTGAGGAAGCCGAACTACACAAAAACATTAGAAATAAATAAGTGAGGCATATAAGGGCAATTCAAAGAAATCTGAAAACTGTAACAGTGTAGTTTGCAAAAGTAATGCCCACCCACACCAAAACCAAAAGTGCTCATCATCCTTCCATGTTCTGACTTTTGCAGAGAGCAAAGGAGTATTGTACACTCCCCGCTGCTTATTTTTAGACAGTTTATATTTAAAAGCCCAGAGAAAGGACAGGCAGATTGCCATGAATAGATGTTGCCCTGGAGACTCTTACTGATGAGCGTCCCACACAGCCAAGGGTCAAAGGGACCCGTCTCCACTTGAGGAGGCTGAGCAGTCGCAGCAGCAGCCTGCTGTAACCTGTAGCTCGACAGGTGCACAAGGGAGGATTCCCACTACAGAGGAAAACGCCATTTCATTTGATTTCACAGACTGTAATTATCGCTAACTCTACTGTAATGATCTGAACTCAGCAAGCAATTCTGGGACTATTGGCAAACAGGATCTGCAAAACTAATCCGTGGGCTTTAATAATTTACGATGAGAGTGGCAGTCAGTTTAAAGGCAGATTTTATAATATTGTTGTCCACTTCTAAGTTTGTAAGAGTTCCGATTTCTAAATAAGTTTATTTTTTGGGTGATGGATAAGATGAGTTCTAAGCAAACGGCCACCTTTCCTCAGTCTTTAATAGACTGGTGCTCAGAATCAGATCGAGTGCCAAATTCTGCCCCCCCCCCCCAATGCCAGCCCAAGTGAGAGTGAGCTCAGAGGTCACCAGTGGTGCCCTCTGAACCCCACGTGAAAGTGCCAATCGTGTCATGCAGCCGTGCTCACTCTCAAGATTGCTTCCAGGAAGTTGTCAGGTCACTTCAAGCCACCACCAGCACCTCAGAATACCTGTAGCTTGCGATACTCCCTGAGCGATGGCGTCCACACCCGCAGGGGCCTGTGGAAGGCGGGCGGGCAGGGGACTCCTCTCTCTTCATGGCACTGCCCCGTCAACTGAAACGCACCTGCTTGTGGCTCACAATATGCCAACTAGATGGCGCGTTGTGGCCTTTTCACTGGCACGCCCTGGCACTACAGCTCGTTTCACACCGGCTGTTTTGTTGCCATGGTACACAGTCCTCACAAGCTGCCTGGCACTGGCTGGGGGCCGAGATAATCATGCCAGTCTGTCACAGAACACTTGAAAGAGAAGAGCGACCATGGCTCTCTTCTAACACTGGAAGCTCAAGAGCGTGTACAAAAGGCAGTTTCGCAAAAACAATAGTAGAAAATTATTCTGAATAAATGTTCAAAGTGAAATGCATTATGTGTAAATTTGTGTTGCAAAAAGAACTTACTTAGGAGCTCAAAGATCAAGGCATTTGGAACTGAAATAACAGAGAATGTAGCTTGCTTGTTGTGGATTTGCTAATATGACCAAGTATTGATTTGCAATTTTGATGGGTAACAAAAAGAAAATGCTGGCTAAGCTTTTGTAACATTTTCCAAGTGACTGCTCTGCATCTGTACACTAAGTGAAAGGAACAGGACTGGATCTCGGCAGACCCCACACCTGTCTCCCTGTCCGCTGACTGCGCCACCTTGTGGCTTGTACTTTGAATGGCACGAAAAGTCCCGAACTGCGCTGGGTAAGATTCTAGTCTACTCAGGTGTGCCAGTGGGAAAGGGGCATGCCAGCACATCGTGGTTGTTTCTTAGCTGAGTAGCAGCCAGGTATGAAGGGGCATTTTACCGCCTTCTCTTTTCATAGCCTGCGCTTAGACGTGCCAAAGCAGACAGCCCGGGTCTTAGGAGCTGTCTGAGACTCCTGGGTGCAAAAGATTTCTCTCTCTCTCTCATGATACAGGACTTTAGGCCTACACAGATCAAAGCTTCACACACAGGACCAAGAAGTTTAAGTCTTTCATTTATGCTATTAAGTGTGGAGACTAAAACTGATGTATGGTTTTAGCACTTCAGGCATCTGTTTTTACAGGCAATTTGTTTTTCATTGATGAGCAGCAAGAGACACCTTTTTACTAATCCCATACAGAAAAAGCCGATGGTCTCCACCCCAGTCCTGAAGAGCCCAGATCCTGCAGGTTTTGTAGTTAACCACTAAATCACCATTTCTAAAGACGTGACGCAATCTGTGATAAATTAAAAAGGGAATTTGTCAATTAAGCGACTTAAAGATCATGGGGAACATAAATCTGAATACCATCCAGCGCTCGAGGATCAAAGTTCCTTTAATTACTTCCTTAATTGCTCAGTAACTTCCAAGTGTTCCCAATATTTAGAAACAAGGCTTTGAACTACAGGACTAATAGGACTGAGGCTCTCCAGGACCAGGGCTGCAGACGCCAGATCCCTCAGCTCACCTACAGCCTGGACAACAATACTAGGTGAAGCCTGCAGAGGTCACTGCCTCCCCACTGTTTCAACACCTACCTATGCAGACCTGCTCCATGTTGAAGGTTTTGCAGCTGGCGTTCGCCGACTGGCTGTAGTCAGATCTGGAGACGTTGGGGGAGCTGTCGCCAGTGCCATACAGAACCAAAGTGAACTGGGTCAGGGTCCCTGAACGAGAGAGAAGTGGGCAAAGAGACCAGAAGTACAGTCAGCGGCTGTGGGAAATGCACCTAAATTTATGAGACGTAAGATCAAGTTTAAAAAAACTCCCCCTTTATACACACGTCTACAGATGAACACACTATTTTACATCCAGTTTTGCGAACATGAAAGTAAAATATCTGTATTCCGAGTGAAAATCCTGCTTTCCCGTTACTAGAAAAGGGGTCCCCTCACAGGGTCCAGTTCTCCACACCACTCCCACTCCCACTCGCAACCCCTGATTTACGGCCACGCTGCCTGGAAGATAAATGGAGATGACAGCAGGCCGGGAGTTCTCCAGCATCTGATTTACTTTGGGAGATTTAATTAATCTGATTTATGGGGAGGCGTGAGAAACAAATGGGCTATGATGCAATGAAAACAAAACGCGTACCTAGTGTATTACTTCACTTCCATATCGCTCATCCCTTAGCATCGACACTAGACCACACAGTCTCCAAGTCCTTAACCTCTAGCCCTTTCAGAGCACTGCCCCCTCATTCCTCATCTCCCAACCCCACCACAATCCCATCTCCAGGCTTCTCCTCTCAAAACACTCAACAGCAGCTGCGCCAGGCCTGCTCTTACCATAGTCACTGGCCCCGGCCACATTCTCAATCTCCAATGTCCATTCCCCTCTCGGGTCCTCGTCCCAGGAGTGGGTGGTCATGAAAGCCCAGTCATTGAAGCCCTCGGAGGAGTAATCGTGAGGCCTGGGAGCAGAAGAGATCACTGAAGGGTCAGAGCCCAACCCTGTTTCAGCATAACTGATACATGCTTTAATATTGCTTCTTTAACAAAATGGAAACAGTCTAGCTGTATATGCTGCCAACACCCTAGGTTGCCATCCTGTTATCGGAAATAATATATGAATTGGAAACTGATCATACGACCTTAGAAAACAAGAAAGAAATGTCAACTTTATGTGATGACAGGCCCCCCAAGAGCCTCTCTCATGCCGGGGCCATACCTGGGAGCAAGGAGAGTGGAACGGGTTCCTCTGGGGCTGGTCAAATAAATGGCCAGATTCCCTCGGCGGTTGTAGGTCAAGGTGAGCCGCGCCTGGGCATGTTCGAGGGAGCTCACAAAGTTGGTCTTTCCTTCGCACGCGTCCGCAACCTTAGAGATCTGCAAGTGGCTCCCAATATTCCTGCACAACAATCAAAGGGATGAGACAAAATGAATACCATGGCAGCTTGCTTTTCCTGTTTTTGTCACCTTAAACACAACAGGGCCAGGCAGCTGGGCTTTAATTCCACAGTCTCCACTTCACTCCTTGTATGTGTGAACACCAATTCATTACCCGGGACAATGTACCAGCCCTTCAGCTTCTATACTGGGCATCAAGAGGAAGTTATCAACTACGCATGCATGGTTATAGAAAAATAAATCATGCAGGTTTTGGAGCTGGAGCCACCGTCTTTAGTGTCATTTTGATTAATTGATCGCTAATGAGTATGATGTACTTGAGTGACTGTTGAATAAGCATTAATTCACCTCATTAGTGAAAGAGCAGATCAGGCACAAGGAATGAAATTACTTAACCTGTTGAACGTCAAGCCTTGTGGAAATCGATATGTCCTACTTATCAAGAGAATAACACCTTTGGCATTTTGGAGAAGCTCCTCAAGTGGATGCCTAGTGGAGCCAAGTGTCATTTAGCAAGATCAAGGTTTTGTCTAGACAGCTGCGATCGATGTCGGGAGTGTGGCACAGACAGACGAAATGATAGGCTAACTGTCCTGTAAACAGCCCTTTCTATAGGGATATTCAAGTGCGGTGGTCTCGGCTGTAGATCAGTAGTGACTCATGGCAACAAGACCCGGGGCCTCACTTGAAAGCCTAATTGCCAGACATGAGAACCACTCAACATCTGGGAGATTAACTGGGACAAGTGAGACATCGGGGCTCAGAGACCAGTGAACAGGCACATGGTTGTCCCCCACTGTGAGAGTAACAAGATCTAATCCCACAAGACAGTATCTGCAACTTGCTTTGAAGCGTACCACGCAGATGTACAGCTTGTATTGTTAGGAACAATTGCCCCCCACACATTACTAGTCTACATCTCTCACAGCAGACCCTCTGTTGATCATCCCTGTGGATGACAAAAGCATAATGGATGACATATCAGCATAATGAATCTGAGTCACATCTGATCAACAAAATGTGTTGTTGTGCTTTATAAGAAAAAGACTCACTGTCCTGATTTTGTCAGGAATTTTAACGCTGCAAATTTGGCCATTTTGTCACAGTTAGAACAGATAGATTTCTTTTGACACTCGGTTAATCAGTTAATCACGTGTTCTTTGGACAGCACCTTCACACATATGCAACAATTCGCCCTATGCTATCATTAACTGTGGCTGAAAAGCTGATCAACATATTTGTATTCTCTCGAATTGACTACTGCAATGCTCTGCTCCCTGGAGTATCTAAATCTACTCTGAACAAGCTGCAGTATGTCCAAAATTCAGCAGCCAGAATCCTGACCAGGTCTAGTGCAAGTGTTCACATTACTCCTATCCTGGAGTCCTTGCACTGGCTTCCGGTCAAATTCCGCGTAGACTTTAAAATCCTCATGCTCACCTACAAGGCTTTACATGGCTTGGCACCTCAATACCTGTCTGAACTTTTATCGCCCTACTCCCCACCTCGCAACCTCCGCTCTTCAAATTCTGCCCTCCTTACTGTCCCCCAAGCCCGTCTACATTGTATGGGTGACAGGGCCTTCTCCTGTTATGCCACAAGCTCTGGAACTCTTTGCCCAAGGATATTAGAGAGTCACCTTCTCTAAACTCCTTCAAATCCAGACTCAAAACCCTCTTCTTCAGAAAAGCCTTTACTTAACTGGTTCCATTCTTCACCCCTCTGCTCTTCTTAATACCATCTTCCACGGTCTCCTCTATTGTTATTGTTGTATTGTTGTAATTTTAATTGTGTCCTGTCTTGTGAAATTTTCTTATTTATTGTTTTAGTCTTCTTATTAATTGTTATTGTCATCCTGTAAAGCGCTTTGAGAAGCCACCTTTAAAGGCGCTATATAAAATAAAGTTTATTATTATTATTATTATTATTATTATTATAATTATTATACTTCTGTAGAGAAGGGTAAAATCACAAATTCTCTCTCCTAACTTTTCTCCTGCTTTGTCTGTGGGACAGACATAGGACTACCCTGCTCTGTCCCTAGGCTCCGCTCGTGCCCTTTGTAAAACATCTTGCTCCCTGCACTCTTCCGCCAAACCCTTTGAGAAGATTATGGCATTCTAGAACAATTCATTTGGCGTGGTGTGGGCATCTGGGCAGGGAGGCTAACAAACAGCTTTAGTACCAGGCTGGTAGGGCCCACTGTTACTCGTGCTTCATAATTGAACGCTTTGCAATCAAAAATACTTCTGTTCTGAGTGTAACACTCCTGAATAGATCTCTCTTTCCCTCACTCCCACATCCCTGGCCTGTGAGAGTTAATGAAATCAAGAGACAGTCACCAGGAAGTTAGTAGGCAGCTGGTCGTGCATGCATTGATTACTGCACAGAAGGCTGAAGATGGTGTGGAAAAAGTTATAAGTTACTTTAAATACTGCTGGAGGTAAAAGTTGATTTATTTTTAACACATCAAAAACAGCTCTGTGACACAATCAGTTTGCAGCTGCATGCTTAAATTGGAAATATAACAACCAGCTGGAGGCTTCATGGCAGTGCTACAGGATAGCCAACTTGACATTTCTCATTACAGTATTTTGAAGGAAAAATATGGGACCCTGCATTCTATCCCTTTATGTATTTTACTGATGCTCTATACAAGGTTAGGATATAAATGCATTCAGTCATTGGCAGTACAGGTGTTCTAGGCTCCAGTGCGGTCTGTCTCTTTGCCGTCTTCTCACCTGGGCTCTGAAAGCATGGTAAGCACGCATTTCTGCTGCGGGCCCATATTGGTCCAGTTCCTGGCCAGAGTGACCATAGCACCAGCATCCAGAAGCCCATAGCCGTAGGAGTGACTCACTGCACAGAGAGAGGGAAAGAGAGAATAAAATTAAGTCGTACTACAGTACATGCAAAGTTATTTCATTTAAATTCAAATTTTATTTGTGAAGCAGATCTCCTGCCATTGCAAATTGTGTCTGTTGGGGGGGGAATGTACATTTCCTTCAAAATGGTTAAAATGCTCTTTTTTTGCTCAGCGACAAGCAGATATTCCTGTTTGCAGACCTCTTGTATTCGAGTGGTTCTCAAATGCTAGAGGACTGCAAAGAGTGCTTAATGGAATCAACGATTGGTGCAAATCACGTGCATATTACAAAACAACACAGGCCTTGAGCCCCGTCCTCTTGCCAGCGGTCAGCTGCACCCCACGCATGCTGGGGTGTGGTGGGTTTACCTTTGCGGCCCACTCCATTGGTGTTCCAGTCGTTAGTGTTGAGGTGAGCTGGGCGCGAGGTCCTCACCACCAGGTGCTGCATGTCCCTCCAAGTGAGGTTCCGGCTGTAGAAAGAACAAGAAAACCCCAGTCACAACCTCCTAGGCAAAGACCACCACTGCTGTTAGACACAGGCACGAAAGAACAAGTACAAAAGGTTGTTTCGGCAGGTGCTATTCTACTGAAACAAGTAACAAAGCTACTCGTAACCTGGTCGGCATACCTATAATCACACACACACACACACACTGTGTGAAGAGTCCCGGGACTCATTTTATCTTGCTCACCTGAACAGTAAAATTCATGCTCACGAAAGTGATGCTTTAATACTCGGAAAGAGACAGGATGCTTGACGGCACTGTTCTCTCCTGACAGCTCTCAAGAGACACAGTGCAACCGAGGAGAAAGTCTTGGGAAATTGGAAAGCTTGCAGATTATTCTTGATAGCGGCTCAGACCAGGAGCTGCTTTGCCAAAGAGGCACAACCTGACTGTACGTCTACTCCTGTCTCTGGGAAGAGACCAGGGTCATTTGTCATTTGCCACAAGCACAGCTCTTTAAGGTTACAAACAAGAGGTGGCCATTGAACCCGTCATATGCAGAGAAAATCAGATACGCAAAGCAGGTCAGGCTGAGACAGGCACTGCGGCACACAAGACCCCACTCGTACCCCAGCATCCCCAACACTTACTTGGCCTCGAGGGCTAGAGCGATGATCCCAGCAGCCAAGGGTGCAGAGGCAGAGGTTCCTGTGTGGGAGTCTGTGCACTTCTGCCTGAGGTCTGTAGTCACCTGGGGGAGTTGAGAGAGAGTGTGAGTGAGTGTCAGGGAGAGAACCCCTCCATTTACATACCTAGAAGCTTGCAGCCACTGGAAAGGACATCATAAATAATTAGCTTCCCACGCTGCAGATTCCTGCCAAACAGCATCACCCCATTGGAGGACACTGAACTTAAGTGTTAAGTGATGTGTGCTAACCAAGACAGCCCAGAGAGCACGAGTTTAAGCATAGAGAATTGCTCTCTGCATGAGTGACAGAGCAGGGGGTGATGACAGGGAGAGAAGATGAGATTTCAGCAGCGCCTTGTTCCAGATTCAAATTAAGAGACTAGGGAAAAGGCACATATTGTCTCACACAGCTCTAAGGGAAAGAATCCTACAGGCTATATAATTGCTGCAGGCAAAAAAAAAAAAGCTTTAGAAATTAGATGCAATGATTCACATTGAATGAGTAAATCCCAGAGCAGGCAAACATTTATCTCTCTGTTTTTAAAATAAAAGCATCCTTTACAATTCCACTGATTCACGTAAATGGGGACAGAAACACATGATCAAAAGTGAATCTAAAAGGCAGCATATTTCAGGCACAATTTAGGGCATGCTCATTATATTCCATATTTAATTATAGATTAAATCCCTAAAATCATTAATGCTATTCCACATATATTTTTAACATTAGAAACAAGATACTATATATACTTTCCAACCAGGATTGGAAAAATATCTTCCTCAAGTCACCTGCAGCAGATGAGCAAATGTGCAGAGGCTTACCACTACCTCCAACTAGCTCAGTACTCCTGTGGTCATTTTTAATATTCATACTGTAGATCAGAAGCACAAAAGCTTTGAGCTGGAGAGGATGTGGGCTCTGCTTCACAGCTCTGGCAATGGATTCAGAAATCTATTCCTCCACATGGAGTGGTGAGGTTTCGAGTACAGATTCCAGGACATGCAGTGCATGTACTTAAGCGTATCAGATCAAACACATTTCTCTTTCCAGAAGCCCGACCTGTACTGCCTGAGAAAAGTACACTCTGAAACCCTGCAGATTTTCTGCTGCAGCAGAAGCCCCCCGCAAAAAGCAAGTGCTAAGAGAATAAGGGCATGTTGTGGTTATAATACCAAAACCCTGGCAAGTCTAGAAAAGCAGGTCACTCCTGTGCCCCACTGCCAGACATGCCCTCTGCCATGGCAGCATATCTCCACCCAGTGCAGACAACACTAAACTCTCTTCTGTCAGCGCAAGGAACACTTTGTGGCACCCATCTCTGGACTGGTCTGTCTCTGGCCTCCGCGCCCTGGTCCCAAGACAAAAAAAGACTCCCTTTCACACCCATCACTCCTGTATCCTGAATCCAGTTCAATCTCTAGGCTCCTCCAAGACGCACCACCCCAGACAGCAAGGTGCTGACAGTACCTAGGATCCCCATCCCAAGACTTCATTAGCAGACACTATACTACTCTGGATATAGTGTAGACACCACAGGGAACTAAATGATCTGAGAGTAGCACAGTCTTCACTGCTCCTCACAACCTGAGGTACCCGCAGAAGGCACTCCAGATTACCACAGATTTTCAACGGATTTTAAATCCCTCTGAAAACCAGCAGAGCTAGGAACCTAAAAGATCAAAGGAGGCATTTTTTTTTTAAAGTCCTTCAATAACCGAGCATTTTGAGAGCCACAAGTGTTGCAGGCTCCCAGTGCATTTTGGCATTTAATAAAACATGGTGCCTACTGATTTCAGCCGTTGCCATGTCAACATTTTAATAATGATGCTTCCAGTTGCCTCAACCCCCCTCTCACATGCACACCCCTTTCAGGACATTAGCAGTCACATGAACATGCCTGGAAATATGCTGAATACAAATAAGAATGATTATGCATCAGTTCTAAAAACATGCCAGTCTTTACTACTGCTAATCTTTGTTGCACGCGCCACAAAACGCCCGTCTCCAAAACTGAATCCTGCCAAACCACACAACACAGCAAGCCCTGATGGAGCGCGAAACCGGAAGAGATGGTTGTGCCCCTGGTGTTCGAGAACCCGGTGGAGAAGCTGTAGTCTGTGGGTTTTAAAGCATTTCATTTTAAAACTTCAATTGTGGGAGACCGCTCCTTAAGGACGTCCATCTTCGGTTGATGTCTGAAAGCTAGAGTTATATTTTCTCATCACCTTGGAGCCACACAAGAACACAAAAGGCTGCCGATACCTGGCCAACGTGAAACTACGCAACTCAGGGATGTATGTGTCCCCAATCTTTCTGTGCAGTCTGCCATACCGGTATGGCCCTGCTACAGTCCCCAGTTCCCAGAACGGCTCCATTACATTCCCTGATCCCTTTCCCTAGTCCCTGGTATGGCCTAGGACAGTCCCAGCAGAGCCTCCAGTAGAGCTCCTTGAAAAGCGCCCTGATACAGTACTACAGCCGTAGTAGAGTTCCCCCCCCCAGCGTCTGTTCCTGGTACAGCCCCAGCAGAGTCTCCAGCAGAGTTCCTGGTATGGCCCTAGCAAAGTCCCCCAGTTTAGTGCTGGTATGGCCCTGATTCAGTTTCCAGTAAAGTCCCCGGTGATGTTCCTAGTCGTTGGTACAGCCCTAGTAGAATCCACCCCCCCAATACAGTCTTGGTATGGCCATGGCAGAGAGCTGAGGGACTATTCCCAGTACAGCTTCATTGAGTCCTCCAGTACAGCCCTGGTGTGGCCCCGACGGGGTCCACCAGTTCGGTCCTCGGCACTCACGATCTGCTTCTCGTCCAGGTTCCCGCTGCTGTAGGTGGTGGCGAGGGTGGAGGAGCAGGCCTCGCTGTACCAGGGGACGTTGCCTTTCTGGGTGGTGCTGCTGATGGACAGGGTGTAGATGCTGTTGGTGTAGCCGTCACAGTTGCAGCTGTCTTTCTCCCGGCCGCCATTCCCCGACGCCCAGACGAAGATGGAGCCCAGCCCCCCTCGGCCCTGAGCGGAAACAGACAGACAGCAGCTGAGGGCCCGCGCGCTGCGTGTGCGTGAAGGAGTGCGCTCCACCCCTTCCACCTCCCCCAAGGGCGTGAGGCTTGAGACGGCAAGAAAACATTGACCTGCAGGCTGTATCGCAGCAAATACAACTGTGCTCAAGGGTTTGATACTAAGGTCCTCTCTTTGCATCTAAAAGTTACATCCATTAAACTTGTATGGGAAAAAAAGTAAATAATGCAGAAATTTTTACTAAAATACAAAAATTCCCCACACAAGATCCAGAATTACAAGACAGGCTTAACCAAAAAATATAATACAGTCATATCACAGCACTGATATGAAAAAAGTATAATTTATGATGTTTATATTTTTTTACACTGCCAGATTGCCTCCCTGAACTACATAATGAAGGGAAAATGGCTCTGGGAAGTTTACATTTGTAATTACTGGACAGAGGGAAGAACTATTATTTTGTGCAATGAAATATTAATGCAATACGATTTCATCTAGCTTTGTCCTTTAGCTATTGTGCTCTGTATGAAATAGTCTGAACTCTGGTGCAGACCTCTCATGAATATCTGTGCATCGTTAACATGCCAGGATCAGCTTCTTTCAATTCACTGCCCTAATCATATTCTACTTTAGTTAAAACAAAGCCAGCTGTTTAAACAAAGAAGATCCTACACAAAAGCAAACTGTACATGACCTTCTCAACACACGAATGACATTCTTTAGAAGAAAAGGCACCAATGTATGCATGGGCTTGATGTAATGTAACTCCACCATTAACAGTACAAAGCAAGGGCATAAGCTATTCAGCCCCTTTCGCTGTATTCTGTTTCTGGGTTTTTATGTGCGCAAGACCTTTGCTTTGAGGGCTCTTTTGCTTTTCACAGCTGCCCTGAACTGCTCACTAGGTCAACTGCAGTCCTATTCATCCTCTGAATGATGAAAGAACTGCATAGAGGAATAACATGATGCACAAGAATTACAAATAAAACATTTGCTGAAACAAATGTTTACCAGATGTAGCCCCCTTAGAGTGAGTGGTTCACCGCTGTGGACATTCATTTCCTCATTAACAAACCTGCCTGTTTTTGCCCTGTTTTGCGGCTTATTTGCACAGCCAGAGACCTGAATACAAGGATCCGCATCTTAGCAGCAAACAATGACTTTCTTCTGAGGTTCTGCAGGCCTTATTCTGTCCCTAGTTTCCATTCTTTACATTCAAAGCCCTGATCACTCACATTTGTGTGCTTCTGCCATCACTTTCATATGTACCTGCACCATTATTGTGAAGCTTGCTTCTTTGTTTAAATGCTTGAATAGGAGACAACTGTACTGTACCTCCATAATTTCCCAACTATAGGGATGTCATACACAAGCAAAGCCACCAGGACTGCATTTGACAAAGGATAATTCTATAATGACTGCCGTGCATCCTCAAAAAACAGATCAGTTTTAAAACTCGATAAACATTTATTGTTGATCAAAAATATGTAGAAAATGTAAACCGCCGATGACGAAAAAAGCCATTTTGGCATTCGGTGAAGAATTTGTTGACTGCTTCATCACGGCAGGATTCTTTTACCTCTGCACCCAATTTCCATAAGATTAATATCCATGTGTTTCTTTCTAAATGCTCTAGCCCACTGTGTTCAGCATTCAGCTAGCCTAAATGGACTTGAAGGGCAGACATGAATGACCATAAGTAACTGGAGATGCTGATCTAATATTTTAAAGAAAGCCTACTTTAAAAAAAAAAAGCACAAGCAAGTCTGTATGAGAAAAGTACAAACTACTAAAAAGTGTAATATTAAATCTTAACAGAAGAGGAACGAGCATCTAAATGCCCTTTAATAGATAGATAAGACTTTATTGATCCTGTAGGGAAATTGATGATTAATTAATAATTAATTAATTAATATAACATTGACTTCCTAAATACCAGTCACGTACTGTTAATGCTGCAAGCCTTACAGATGTGCATATTACATAAAATGCACCTAGAGTCTTCTGTAATTTTGAATTAAATATAGTGCATCTGGTCATAAAATCTGTCGTCGTTTTTTTTATAGGTGCTCTGTGGTAAAATACATTATCTCAGCAACTTTTCAAATGGTCTAACTGTGAAATTAAAGCAATTTCTCTGGATAGCAATCATTTCTCACCAGGAGTAAGTTACCACTAAGGTAAAGCAGGAAACCTAAGAATTAAATCAAACAATGAAGGGCATTCTGCCAAAGGACTGGATTACTTCACACTGTGGTCAATCTGAGTCCCACCATAGTCAAAGTAAGCAAGAAGAGGTGGTTACAGAAAAAAGGAAAATAACCTTTAGAAACATCACAGCAGGTTATTTTGAACCTGAAAGTATTTCATAAAAGTTTTCCAACATTATTCATCATAGGACTAGAGACTTACTTAGACTAATGGCCACCTTCCCTAAAACCATCTTTGCTACACTTTCAAGGCACAAAATGCCATTTTATTGATGTAACAAGTAAAAGGTTTATTCCATGCTGTAAAAAAGAAGAAAAAACACATTTCGGCTGTGGAGCCTTCGTCAGGTGTGAAGGCTTCATGGCCAAAATGTTGTTTTTTCTTTTTTTCAGCAGGGAATAAACCTATTACTTGTTCCTTTGCAGCCTATGCATGCTGATGCAGCTACCCACCTGAACTACTATATTTTATTGATGTAGCTCCACGTGTGTACTAAAAAACAAAACCCAGAATCCATTATGAATATCTTTCTACATAAGAACCATGTAACCCCATGCAGGGGAGAATGAAGGAGTCCAATTCCTTTAGCCATCCTTTCTTTCAAGACACTTGTTTTTTTTTAACACTTTAGGAAGGTTCAGTGGAAATTGGAGGAGGGGCACAATTCTGAACAACAGCACCACACGCACCCAGAAGAGGTCACTGTTACCAGGAGTTGAGATACCAATCCGGCTTCTCCCACCCTACTCTCCACTGCACATGGTCTCTTGGGGAATCTGGGTCCCAGTCTGCTAGTGACATGGCTCAGGTGGGAACCTGCCTGGACCACTGAGGTTAAACTGCATGTGAGGTTACCAGTTGAACCACTCAGCACATCTTAAGTTCCTTTTGCAAGAAGTTTTGCAAAACAGTCTGATGGCCCATCACTTGCCTGAAATATGCTGAATAAGGATAGCACACGCGCTTCATGTTGTAATAGAAGTGGCTAGTGTCATTCTGTCTGGCACAGGAGAGAGAGAGAGAGAGAGAGAGAGAGAGAGAGACTCACCTCAGTGACACCACGCAGAAATGCCTCCTTGGCCAGCTTGGCTGGACCATCCACGGTCTTCCCATCATCCTCCGGGCCCCAGCTGGCACTGTAGATATCGATGTGCTGTGGATTGAGGCTTAGGGACTGGGCTTCCACTGCGTCGGTCACCTCGCCGTCCAGCATGCGGACACCTGCCAACAGACACCCTGTGAGCCGGAGCCATGCATTCACCCTTCTTATCAAAGCCTCAAGAGCCTGAAGGCGACCAGGAAAGATGCCCACTGTCCACGTCCAAGTCCAGGAAACTGGCCTGTCAGAGTCTTGCATCGCTGTAGAACATTCAGCATTAAGCTTGCTTTGCCGGTCAGGCAGCAGAGGTGAGTTTAGGACCGCAATTCGTGTTCTACGATGATGCTAAAATATCTCAGTGCAGACTTAATATTACATTTAAGTAACCCCTCCCTTAGAACTTTCGGAATATGGCTATCATGTCACTCTCTTAAAACTTAAACTGGCTTTAAGAAGTTCAAAGACTTGCCATATAACAGAAAAAGTTCCTTGCAGCATGTGACTACAGCTCCAATGAGCGCTGCCAACTCAGGAACAACTGAAGGTTCAAGTAAATACTCTTCAATTGTTAGAGAAAGAAAAAAAACATGTCCATGAGAACTAGTCCTTTTTTCTTTCCCACTTGAAAAATGCAGACACACCAAGGACAGCCAGAAATACCGAACAAAGTGTTTGTTGAAAGAATAGCGAGCTTGTTGAAACTCCAGCTTGCGCGTATATGGTGGCTTACGCTGCTGTAGAAGTCAGAAAAAGTCATTTCCCTTCGGCCTGCCCCCTGGCAATACACACTGTTAGTGACCACACCCTACAAGGGCTTTCAGGAGCTACTCTCTCAGACTGACCTAGAACAAAAAAGTAAAATAGTCTTTAAGTGTCTAAATGATTGGGGAATGTTCCAAATATTAAAATATTGTCACAGAATAGTTAAGATCCTTGGATCAATAAGCTGCTAACAACAAAATGGACCAGCTTGGCCAAAAGTCCTCCTCTGGTTTGTAACCTCTCTTATGCTCTAAAAAACACTAACTGGAAGATTATCAATTTAATTTTGGGACTAATTCCAGAGAAATGTTGTAAATGTTTAATATTTCTAGATCCAGATGCTACACTCAATCTTCGATCCCCGCTGTGAAAAGGATAACCTTCTGAACAAACTTGTTAGTTGGGTAGCAAGGAAGATCACGGTGCTCAGCACTGCCCTCTTGTGGACAGAAAGCAAGTTCAGAGATGTTTTATTACAAAAAAGTTCTGAACTCAGAATTTCACCCCGGTTAAACTTAAAGCAACTGCTTTCAGGCTTAAGGAGACATTTTTAGAAAAGACCTTCTTAACTCTCAGGCTGACAAAGTATCCTAAAAAAAGCCAGTTAATCTCTATTAAAATCATATCGCTCCAGGTGTTCGATATTCCCACTGCATTCTAGAACAGAAAGGAGATAGCTAGAGTATACCTCCAAGGGCTCTGCTCTGGCAAGATTAAGGCATTAGTGAAGACATGCCAGAAGCAGAGAAGCATGAAAAAAAAAAGAATCCTTCTGCCACCATGAAATCCTCTTCCATCTCAGATACTGGGTTTCAACTGTGAGCTTGAAGGACTCGTCAATACGGCTCAGTGGGAGCAGAGCCCAAAGAGAAAGTCCTTTCATAATCCTGCACTATCAAAGAACCGAGCTCCAAAACACCTCATTTACATTTTTTATAGCCTCCACAGAAAAATGCTTGTTGATACTGAATGACAGTAACATAATTAACCAGGTTCCTCTTAAAACGCTGCATGAATTTAGGACAGAACATGAAGCACCTGGCGAATACCTGAGACCCTTATCTCACACACAAGACAACCCCGTGAGACAAGGCTGGGGTCGGGGACAGGCAGCATTGTCCCTAACACTCTGGTCCTCTGCCTTGCCTCCGATATACAGTACACACTCAAGAAGGGGCCTGGAAGGATTTTTTTCCTGTCCATCAGAAAGCCTATCCAGAATCCGAGCCGAAACAGGCGTGGGTAAGGATGGCTACTGCGCACACGCTCCTTCTCATTAACTACCTAATTGACACACAGTCTCCATTACAGGGAAATGAGGTCATGTCTGCCTCTCCTTCAGAAGTCTGTATCCTTCTTTGTACTGAAAAAGGAGAAAAAAAAGGCAAAACAAAACACAAACATGCACAGACTGGCACCCCCTAATGTGGGCTATGACTTTGAACTGCACTTGCTCTCCATACCAATATATACCGCTCAGAATATAAGGACTGTAATGGGATGGTCCTGAAAAGTGATTCATTAGCTGTCCAAGCCAACAACACAGTATGATGATACCCTACCCTGTCTGGTTATAGATTGTTTAGAATGGCTGCACTCTTCAGGGACAGAGGAAACTCATCCAGACTCAATGTGGAAAAACCTCGAAAGCACGCTGTATTTCTGACAGTGCGCAATAAAGGGAAAATGTACAACTCTCATGCTGGTCCAGGCTTGTGTTCATATTTCTGGCAGTGTTACTGGGTCATACACCCAGTGTGGAAATGTAAAACTATGATTTAGGGATGACCTGTTTACACCCAGTATTGAGGAGATCTTTCCATTACTGCAGCAACATTCCTGTGTGGGTCTGAACACCACAGCCAGACAGCCTTGCTCATCACTCATCATTACAGGACTGCGCTCAAGGCTTGCCAGCGGGCTCTCATTGTACTGCTCAGACAAAGCTCATCTCAGAACCTGACTGGACTAATGAGAGGCAACTGTTACTCCTGTAGAGGCTCCATCAACTGAGCGGCTTAAGAAGAAGTCCCAAACCCCTCCACTGGCCGAAAACACACAGAAGACTAATGCGATAAAACGCATATTGAAAAAGACAAATGCACTGCTGCAAGTGCCAGCTGCTAATTAAAAGGATTACACTTGTCCAAAATCTTTGGCGCAGAGGTTTTGCTGTGGCTGTAATTATGGTGTATTTATATTTTTAACATCTTTACAGATAAAGGTAGTGTCCCCTGGTAGTGCAGGGAAATGACCATGAGAAAGACAATTCAGTTTTTTGCACATCCATAAACAAATACAAAGGCAGTTTTATACTTGACTTTCAAATCTCTGTCATGGGTGCATGTTCAACCAATTACACTTTCAACTCCAGAATGAAAACTTAAAATGCATAAGCAACTTTTGTTCTTTCTATGCTGCTGTTCACATTAATCTACAGACATTTATCTCTGACAGAGGAAAAAAAACAGCATTTCAGGCCATCTCACGGATCAGTGGGATCTTGTATGAGACCTGAACTGGGTGATAAATTCACAAAATCATACTTCAGCATGTTCCTGAGCTGCACTACTCGATTGAAGTACAAAAAAATATAAAATGATTGTCTATGGCAAAAAGATGCTCCATTATCAACATTACCCAGTGCCGTGATTAGCCGTAATCTAGGACTATTTCAGGTTTCATTAGGAGCATAAAATATTCTTCTCTGTGAAACAAGCCCTTTGTCTTTTTGATGTCGATCCTATATTCGTATTAGTGAAAATATTAAACCCATTGCAGAAAAGTTCATCCAAGAAATGTACTCTTATATAAATCTGAACCAAAAAACTGTCAAGATACAGGTTAATTAAAAGTCCACAGCAATGTTTCCTGAAAACTTGCGTTTGACCCTCAAAGCAAATCAAATACATTTGGAAATATGTGGGAACCTTGATTAAATTACACAGTAGGTAAGTATATTAGGATGAGCCTTATCGATCTGTAATTGCCTTGAGCATCATATAATCTTTCATTATAGGCAACTTTTTTTTTTAGCGAGGCTGAAACAGTTGCACAATGAACGATTGAGCTTTCATTCTCAACTGATGCTGTATTTGTGTATAAATACATTAAAAACTGCTATGGTCTTCCTGGAGATCATTAATTTGGTCTATTTTCTTATGTCAAAAAGCAGAGGCGATTTAATGGCACACATTGTCACGCATCCTGAACCAGAACAGCTCCCAAGAAGGATCCACTCCCCTTGTAGGAGCCCTGCCTGGGTCACACCCACCTCCGATCTTGGCGTTGTAGGCCAGCCCCACTCCACAGATGCCATTGTTGGCCACAGCTGCCACCTCTCCTGCACAGCGGGTTCCGTGCCTGAACACAAGCAGATGCAACAATTAGTAAACCTTCCAACTCCTGCTAATAACCCTCACCTGCAGTCCTAAATATAAAAAAAAACAAATGTAACAGAAAAAACAAAGCCGAAAAGGGTCTGTCGTTCCATTTTGCTTCATCAAAAGCTAAAGGCAAGGTGGATTCAGGAACTGCACTGGATGTTGACTATAGGTAGTGCTACAATTCGTGAAAAGAGGTCGCGAATTCTGCCATTTTAAGAGCCGCCTGAACTTTTGACAAATTCGATAAATTTTCTCATCTCTTTTCAAACCTGCTCCAACACGAACATTCGTCCGTGCCACCCTCTCTTCCCCTTCCCAGGAAGCTTTGCTGTAAGTGAGTAGTCAAGTGGGACAAGCACGCACCCATGTGCAACACCCATGATGGTGTCAAGCACAGCGAGGAGCGCAGTGGCGAAAACAGCTGTCAAGGGGAGAGGAAAGATTCCCAAAGGAAACGTTTCATGAAAGTGGCAGATTGATGGTTTGTACAGAACAAGATGTTGCTATGGATGTCAAGAGAAAAGCAAACCGGGTAAGTCTTCAATCAACTGTGGACAGCCAGGACAGTGAACAAGCTATTTGGCTCCAGCCCAAGAACAGAAACATCAGAAAAGAGTTACAGAGGCTTTCTGTAGCATTGACATTCCTTTAAGCTCATCTTAGACCACCGTTTCTCACATGTAACCATAGCAGCATCCTGACAATCACCGCTCAAGCAGCTTTGTAAAACAACATTAATAAAATTTGATTCCACTCTATTATGTGCATTACAGCACCTGGGACATACAAATTTATCTGTTTCTTTTCAATTCGAAGGAAAGCTGATTGGCAGCATCTCAAACTTTTTGCTCCAAAACACGACCCCAAATCATTTACACCTTTAAAAAGTTATTAAAGCATTTTGTTGCTTTTTAAAGCTTGTAGTCATGACACTTTGAGGTAACAATTAATACATTATATATGCAGCCTACTCCACACAATCCAAATAAACACTATGTAAATAGAATATGAAAAAATGGAACAGCAATGATTTCATAAGTATTCAAAATTCCTTGCCTTGGCAAATCTAATTTAAGTGGACAAAACTACCTTTATGAGAGACAGATTGAGTGGCCTCTGTCACTGTGTAATATTAGTGGTTCACATGATTTCAGAATAAGAACACCTGTCTCTATCAGGCAAACGTTAGAAGAAAACCTTCATCAGTCTTCCAAAAACTTAAAACTGGAATTGAAGTTCACCTTTCAGCAGAGCAATGGCAGGCAGCTGAAAATAATGGGCTAACATTGCACCAGAATGATAAGTTGATAAAGACTTAACCAAATCTACAGCTGTATGTGTTGTCAAAGTTGCTTCCACTAAATACGGAGTTCACAAGCACATACTTATGCAATCAACATCAATCCATTTTCTAGCTACTTTGCTCAATTCAGGATCATAGGGCAGCCGGAGTCTATTCCAGCAAGCAACGGGTGAAAGGCAGGATACACCTTGGACAGGACGTCAGTCCATTGCAGATGCAATCAACATATTTAAATTTTCTCTATTTTTCTCTGACATTTCCAGTAATGTCTTAGCCTTACTCTTTTACTCAAGCATTCCACATAATTTTGAACATTCTTTTTAAAAATTTCATTTTCTAAAATCAACAAATTGATGCACCACAGGAAAGGGTCTGAATATTTATGCAAGTCGCTGTATTAACAATCAAGAGGATTCATCTGTTCTGAAAAAAGTTTTTTTCACGTTGAACTTGAAGAGTGGCAAATGCAATTTATTGCATTTCTCAAGTAGCCTACCTCACAGCAAACTACAGTCGTCGCAGTTTGAAAAAAAAAGAAAATCAATCAAATGAAGATGTAAACCTTAAACACTAAGGCACCTACTTCAGCTGAAAATCAAATCCAGAAAGATTTAAATAATGCAAATTCCAAGCTGGAAAAACAACAGCGAGCAGAGGTTTTTCTTAATAAAGGACAAGATCTATGAGGCTACTTTTAAACTCGAGTAGTTATGGGGGAAGAAGGAAGAAAACATTTCACCGACAGTGAGCTAATTAAGACGACCTTTACCAAGTATAAAAAACAGATCAAAGAAAATTTTAAATTTAAAAGTAGGATCAATGGAGCGAGATTTTAATTAAAATGGGTTCTGACACCCACTGAAATTTCAGTTTGGTTACATACAGACTCTAAACTTCTAAATAGATAAAAAGTGCTTTATTTCTTTGACTTTGAGAAGATAATGTCCTAAGTGAATCCTAAAGCTATACAAAATTAATTTTACTGTACGTTATGTAACTAAGAATGTGAGAATTATTGAAACGTTAAGAACGACCATCTTTCACAACTCTGCTATCGGATATCTACATCTCCAAAAAGCTTGCACTCAGTCTAAACTTATCATTAGTAAAAAAAAAATATTGCTCTATGTGGAATTTAAAAGCTTCTGTGCTGATGTAATCAAAACAATATGACATGCACACCCTTCTGCTATTGTCAATAGCCACGTGACTTCCTCTTGCCCTTTGCTAAAAGCACCCACGCCAAAGCAGTAGCCCTGGGTCACTACCTCAAGATGCAGGGCTTCCTTTGTATCTGTGGGGGAGGCCGTGTCACATATGTAGACCATACCATACCTGTTTGAATCCTTAAGAGTTTAAACCTGCTCTCAGCAGATGGTTTCTACCTGTAATGCATGTCTCACCTCCCTCCCCACCCCAGTAAAAAAAATGTTTTATGTTTAAACTTGAGAAATACCAGCAGCAAAAGTTCACTGTGATACAAGAAGCCTCCACTGCTCCCCTGTGTGCTTTACATCAAAATCAGCGTGTATTTTGCTGCTGTAACCAGCTCCAGTGTAGTGGGCTGTGATCGCACAAGGGAAAGGGCAAATTAGAAAGGGCTATGCCAGCACCCCCCTCACCGTGCTGCAGCCGGGGGTCTGGGACAGGACTGCCGATTTCCCCCCTGGAAGGATAATTCTCCCGGATATTCGCTGGTCCCTTCGCAAAGAACCGCCTGCTGCGAGATTCCGCCCAACCCGCCACCCCGCTGCTCTGAACTGCTCGGCAAAAGCATCAAAAACCCTCCGACTCATAACTAATGAAGCAGGAGACTCTGCTGGAGCAGAGGTGCAACGTTCTGTTCTGCAGTCTAGTGGGGTTTTTTTCCCCCCCGTTTAGGTCTGTTTAAATCATCACTACATCAAAGAGGAAGAAAAAAAAAACTTTAACTGGTCCGATTGAGCACGTAATTAGTTCAAAGAGGTGATTAAGAAGTCAGGTGGAATGAGCACAAGACCCAGCAGCGCTGGAGGGTGGGAGCAGCTGCGCGTCTTCAGGCTCGGGTGAAGGTGATGGGGAACAGGGCACGTCAGGAAATACACTGTTCCTTCGGGTCACTCCCTGCTGGACCGAATGAGGGTGTTTCTCTATAGATGCAAACACACATGCGACTCAGGGACTACAAATAGACCGTATCTTGATCTGTCCTATCGGACCAGGATTTGCTGATGTAATGACTGTCATATAACATGAATAACTGAACCCTGGCTGAGATCTACGATCTGTCGAGCCACACATGGGTGACATCCTTTACCTGCTGAGCATTTCAGGGGGCCCAAGGCAGCCATTTTACAGAAACACGCATGACGACGATCGGAGCTCTACAGTGAGCTTGTGGGATTCTTAGAGGCCCCCCCATCAAATAACATTACTGTCCCACATGCTGGTTGAACACCACGAATTAAATCAAGATCACCCACAGAAAGAGATTCACTTCCGTTCAGGCACCATGTGGAACACACTAATTCTCTGTAGTGCTAGTCTACAAAGCACCGTACTGGAAGAAGCTTGGAAAGCTTGGACTAAAAAAAGCTCTGCCTTATGATTGGAAAAACGTAAATGAAAGCTACCATTTCATGAATATATAATAAATTAGGCTTTTGTTAATACAGAGTCCAAGCACTTGTGATAGAGTTTTGGTCAGTATTCATTTTACCTCCATTCTTTTTCTGATAAAACTTTTGCATCACCAAGAACAGTGCTGGAGAAAAGCAAAAGCCCATCTATGTCAAAGACTGAGGCCATGGAGATAGAGATGCAGCTTTCCAGCCATTTGCAGATTAAGCTCTTTTTGAGCTGCACCATACAAGACTTTTTAAACAGATGCTTAATCCCCTCTCCCTGAAGGCCATACAACCGTAACGGACATCTTAATTCACCAGCGACATCCAGAATTGTTGAGCAAGCAACACAACCTGCACCGTTTGCTGTAAAGGCCACATTGTCAGAAATCACCAAAACTGGGCACTTTAGCGCAGCTTATTTTTAAATCCAAGTTTAAATAGTAATAAAATTTATTTAAACATGTTCATGCTGCAAAACAGAATGCAATGTAATGACAGCTCATGCTGTCCACTGACGCTTTTTGTGGGGTTTCAGTCAGACTCTTGCCAGAACCAGGGCTTTGGATGCCATTTAATCAAGGCTGCTATAGATAATCATTTCTGAAAAGCAAGTAGGAGCTCAAGAGCAGGTGCAGAAGAAATAAACTTTCCATTTGCAGTCAGTAAGTAGCCTACACTCAGAGCTTATTCCTTTTGTTTTACAAAATATGCAAGAAACAGAGGAGTGTATTTTCTTTTATCCCAGGGTAATTGGATATAAGGCTGAAGGAGACCTGCTGTAAGTTGCATTAGAAATGCCTGGCCTTACCCACCACCATAAGAACAAGGGCAGTATCTGGTGGGACAAGGTTTCAGGCATGAAAGGTTTCCCTGTCAGGGCCATGGGACTCCAGCTCCAGCATGGGGAAAAAAAGCATTGTAGCAGAGCTTCGGTGCAGCCTGTTCTGGAGTCACCCGCTGTCAATGTCACTTGAAAGCACGCACACTTGAGAGAATCGTCAGGGCAGTGAGAGTAAGGGTCATGAGCTCAGGACATCACCAACACTTCACCAGTATAATTTAAGGGGC